TGAAAAAGGTGTTGGTTATAGATTTGTTGTTGACAAAACTCTTGTCTATTCAGCTGTTATGGTCCCAGCTGGATTCGTCTGAATATCTGGCAACCTGAGTCAGGGAGAGTGGGAGAGGCTGCTGTAAGTAAGTAAGTAAGCTTTATTTATATACCGCCTTTCACAGACCAGAGTCTCAAAGCGGTTTACAATTGTTATATTTTGGGCATTTGTCTCTCACTCCACACAGAGATGGGAGCGGGGTCGCCGAACAGGAGGCGCATGCTAGACCTATTGTACATATTTTTAGTGGTAGGGGAAACCGGAGAACCCGGAGGAAACCTACGCAGACATGGGGAGAACATGCAAACTCCACTCAGAAAGGCCCTGGTCCGGCCGGGATTCGAACCCAGGACCTTCTTGCTGAGAGGCGAGAGTGCTATCCACTCAGCCACCGTGCCGCCCGAGTACCACTTTAAACACTTGAACATTTCCCTGACTTCACCTCTATGTTTAAAATATCTTGCTTAAAGTTCAGGTTTATTCATTTTATCTTAATCCATGTTCGTGCCGTGACATTTGATTGACAGCCGTGAGCGTTTGTGGTGCGTCCCAAATGGGTTCTAATCCCTCATAATGTTTTTAGCCGTGGTTTGGTTTGGAACAGGTCTTGTCACGGATCCATCCTTTCTCTCCCTGGAGTGTTGCCGATGGGTGCATCTGAAATAATATGATGGCATTAATTATAGGACTATGACAGATTAACCCCCCCCTGCCCCCCCCTCGCCCCCCTCGTTGCTTAGCAACGCTATTACAGTTCAGAGGCCGCTGCCAAATTATAAACATTAATCATTAATTATTGTTTCATTTCAAACATGGGTTTATTGAGCGTCTGCAGGCGATCTGGAGGTTATCAGATTACAGTGGCTGAGTGGTTAGCCGAGGAAGTCTCAGCAAGGAGGTCCTGGGTTCGAATCCTGGTCGGAACAGAGTGGAGTTTGCATGTTCTCCCTGCGTCTGCGTAGGTTTCCTCCAGGTGCTTCGGTGTCCCCTATCACTTTTTTTTTTCTGCCTGAGATGTTGCTGCAGTTTAGTGTTCATGGTTTTACACTGGTCCAGACCAGAGCAGAGAGGATTCATGGTCCAAACCAAGTGGATCGAACTGAACCGAACTGAAACTGAAACAAACAGTAAGATAAGATAGAGTTTATTGATCTGTGATGGAGAAATGTACACGTCGCATCTGACACAGAGAAACATCAGACTGTGCAAAAGTGAGAAATGTGCAACATGTTAAATGCAGGAAATATTATGTACAATAGAAAGTGGCAATTAAAGAGACAGTGTCAATAGCAGTGCAGGTTTTTAGTCCTAATGCAAGTGACTTTAAGTGACTTATTGTACAGTCTGACAGTAAGTCACTTAAGTCACTCTGCAGTAACTCTCAGCCCGCAGGTGATTGGATGAAAAGCCCCGGGGCTGACGGAGCCCGTGAGCAAAGCAGAGGGAATCCCTCCAGCGCCTGACGCGTCCTTTACCAAGAAACCCACGCGCTCTGACGCTCTGACGCAACTGCCCATTTTAGGAAACATGCGTCAGTGACCACAGCAAGTGAGAAGAGTTCACAGTGTGTTCTGACGTGCGTGGGTCGGACCCTGGATTCAGGGGGTCTCTCACTCTCTGCAGACTCCGAGGGTCTCTCAGACTCAGACTCAGAGGGTCTCTCAGACTCAGACTCAGAGGGTCTCTCAGACTCAGACTCAGAGGGTCTCTCAGACTCAGACTCCGAGGGTCTCTCAGACTCTGCAGACTCCGAGGGTCTCTCACTCTCTGGATAAGTCCCTAATGTCCGCAGACTCCGCTCGCTCCGCGCTGTTCCAACACAAACCTCTCCTTTTGAGGCTGCACGGCTCCGGACCCTCCCTGAACGCCCTGAACGCCCTGGACGCGCGTCGCACCGCCCAGGCGTGACGTCAGCCGTGTCGTTGGTGTTGAAAAGCCGATGCATTTTCTACATAGTGCCATTGAAGTGAGTCATCTGGAGGAAGTGAGGTGAAAAGGAAAAGAAAAAAAAAGTTCCAAGTGTTCGGAGAGCTCAGATCAGAGTCAGAGGAAAGTAGAGCTTCTGCCGCGGCTCCTGAAGCGCGTTCAGCGGTGACTCACGGCGACTCACGGCACTTGTCTCCGGTGGATCCGCGGAGAGCTGTGCGGACTGAAGAAGCACCTTTAGAGCAGCAAAAGTAAAGAGCACGTAACACGCAGACAATCACTTACGTCCAGGCGCCTCTAGATCCTGCACTTTATACTTCTATACTCGATACTTTTTGGATTTTTTAACAATTATCTGATGTCAGGGGGATTTGTCTGAATTCCTGGTGCCTTTCACTGAGGATTTAGGACACAGGGTTAAGCTCCATCTGAAACCTCGCTCCTTCCTGGACCATGTACCAGGACTACCACGGGAATTACGACACGTCCTCCCGCGGCAGCAGCACCTCTCCCGCCCAGCCCGAGTCCTTCACCAGCGGCAGCAGCACGATCGGGAGTCCGGTCTCTGCCTCCAACTACCAGGTGAGCCACACGCAGCCTCCTCGACAGCATTAGACCCTGGAAACCCGCTGACACGTCTGTATGTTGTAATTATGAGCAGATATTATCGAGTCACTGCTGTTATCGCTGTTTCCCGCACGGACCGTAGCAGTGCGCGCTTCTGACGCACGCACGGGGTCTTGAAGCCGTCTATAGAATTACACACTATACACACATTATACACACATTATACACAGATTATACACAGATTATACACAGATTATACACAATCGTTTCACTCTCCGCCCAGGGTCGACCTCTCTGCAGCAGCTCAGTGTGAACGCGCCTGTTCCGTGTCCACTGCTGAGTCCGTGAGTCCGACACAGACTGAGATCCACCGTGGACCAGACTCAGATCCATATTTATCTGAATCCACGTCTCCATCGCTGTGGAAGCCTCAGTGCGTGTTCCATCCTCTCCCCGTGCGTGCCCCTGCAGCTTTACTTCACATTTCCCTTTATTTAAATCACCCCCGTTTACTTTTCACTCTACATTTCCTGTTTTTTATAACGCGCAAAGACGCACGTATAAAGACACGCACGCCCGTAAACGTCTCATAATTAAACAAGAGAATGCAACGTTATGGCTCCATAAAGTGGCTCCTGACTCACGCAGCATGACGCTAAACGACTTTTGGCCCCGTGTCTATTATTGCGTCTTTCCCTGTAATCATTGAGCACAGTCTGCTTCCCATTACGGCGGGTTAGAACATGACCCCTTCAGGTTTTACACTCTCCAAGCCTCTGTAAGTCCTCTGTAGGTTCGTCAGCTCTGAAGGGTGTCTATGCCTGCTTCATATTGGTCTGAAACACTAAGACAGAAGACATAATCAATAAATATATCAATATAAAAGGTTCATTTGTAAAAACAGACATGTCCGGGTTTGAGAATTAGTCAAAAAGCAGTTTTTTTGTATTGTCTTTAACGTGTTTTGTTGCTTAAAATGAGATAAACTTTATTGATTTGACAATGTGGAAATGTACACGTCACATTTAATATGGAATTAATCAGTGTAGAAAAAAAAAACAGGAAGTGTGCAAACATGTTATAAAGGTAAAAGTAAAGTATTTCATTTCATTTTTTAATCTAATCCTTATCTAATGAAAATGCAGTTTTGTTGGCGGTAAATGTGTGAAACTTGATTTGTATGGGGTTCAAAAAGATCAGAATTTTCATTAAAAAAACGAGATGGTAAAGGGTTAATTCTAAGTCTTTCAGAGATTTTTTTCTAAAGTGAAGTTGCGTAAAAAATATTAGAAAAAAAGTCCTCCCTGTTCCTTCTGTGGAACTGCACTTCCAGCTGCTTCCTCCTTTTACTGGAACTGCGTCTGCTTCACGTGTGCTTAACAAATCCCATCCACACTGACTCACCAGATAAACAAAAGGTCCAGAAGCACGAGCGGGACGTCCGTCGGAAAATCGGGAATTTGGAGAATGAAGAACCGTGGGACGAGGACCCGGGACTGGGCTCAACACAAACAGATTCCACACTCACAAAAACACTTCTCTCTCCTTTAAACTCATGAAGAATCTGGAGCGAGACTTTAGACTCGAGCCACAACAACAAAAACCTAACACAGAGTTGGTTTTGTGTTTTTGAGCAATAGGTTTTAATCCAATTTGTGGCAAAAATGGAAAAAGAACAGGGTTTTTTTAATTGTCTGTGAAGCAAACATGTTTTTATCTTTCAGGAAACTCAGGATTATGGATGAAAAATAGATACTGGACTGATTCTGGCAAATTTACAGAACTGCACTGTCCCTGTAATACATTAATACATTAATAAATAACCAGAAAACATCTGAACCTTTCTCCAGCTTAAGTATTGACTGTGAATCCAGTGGTTTTTCTTTCATAAATTCACTGTTTTGAAGAAACGAGCAGCGGGTCTCGATCCTGTCCTAATTATCAACAACTGCACATTTCAAATCAAATCTCAGTTAAAAAAATCTAATTATAAAATCAAATCAAAACTTGAGAATGAGCAATTCAACAAACTAAGCTCCCCTGGGTCGCCTTTGGCTCCAGGTAAACATAGACTGAGACCTAGACCTAGACTTAGACTTAGACAGACTTGATCCACAGGTAAACTGCGTTGTCACAGCAGCTCATAGTTTTCCACAATAAAAATAACCAGAGAACAAAAGAGTAACAATCTGAAAATAAGAATAATAATGAGATAATATTGTGAGAATAGAATAATCTGGATTTAGGTGCTCATGAATATAAACATCTGAATAAATTATGAACACATTACAGAATAAATACAGAGTTATAGAACACACATATATAACACTAATATACAGTACCATATAATCATGAATACTCAGTACACACAGATACAGCAGAGTCTGAGCGGCGCCAGAGTAAAGTCCAAATCCCGTGAGTTTTATCTGCGTCGAGGCGTTTGGTGGCTCCTCGGTGTTTCCCGCATGAATCACGGCGTGTGTCACGGCGTGTGTCACGGCGTGTGTCACGGCGTGTGTCACCGCCGCACTCCAGGGGCTACACTTACTTCCTCTGAATCACGACGCCTCGATACGTTCCCGTTGTTCCCGCCGCCGCTCACCGCTCTCGCTTGTTCTCCTCCGCAGAAGTATCGAGCGGACATGCCCGGCTCCAACAGTGCCTTTATCCCCACCATCAATGCCATCACCACCAGCCAGGACCTGCAGTGGATGGTCCAGCCCACCGTGATCACCTCCATGTCCAACCCCTACTCCCGCTCGCACCCCTACAGCCATCACCTCGGCAACGGCCCGGGCCTGCTGGGTCACAACGCGCTCGCCAGGCCCGGGGTCATACGCTCCATCGGGGACGCTCGGAGACGGAAGAGGGACGAGCAGGTGACTGTGACCCACCACACTCAGAACCAGAACCAGAATCAGAATCAGAATCAGAGAATTAGAGAATCAGAATCAGAATCACAACCAGAACCAGAATCAGAATTAGAATCAGAGAACTTCACTCAGAATCAGAATTAGAGAACCAGAATCAGAATCAGAACCAGAATCAGAATCAGAGAAGCAGAGAATCAAAATCAGAATCAGAGAACTTCACTCAGATTCAGAATCAGAGAAGCAGAGAATCAGAATCAGAACCAGAATCCTTTTATTGTCACAAACCAGGAAGTATCTTTGGCTCTCGGTGCAAACAGGTTAAAGGTGTTTTTTATCGTAGACAAAAATATCAGACAAAAAGTGACTTTGAAAATATTATTTTTCGCATCAGCATCTTTTTATTATTATTATTATTATTATTATTAATATTATTATTATTATTATTTTTTTTTTTTTAATTTTATTAACATTATATTCAGTTAAAGGAAACATTTGACAACATAATGAACATCATGAGATACCATCAGGAACAAAGAAAGAGGACCAGAAATATTTTAATATTTATCACAATCAGAACAAACTGTTCAAATGTAGAACTAAATAAAAACACAATTTTGTCGAGAATTAAAACTGGGAAAAAGAAAATCACCTGTCATTTTGTGTGAAGGGATTAAACTCAAACATATATTTAAAGATATCGTGACTTTATCGTTGTGTGTGTGTGTGAGTGTGTGTGTGTGTGTGTGTAGACGGTGTGTGTGTGTGTGTGTGTGTGTGTGTGTGTGTGTGTGTGTGTGTGTGTGTGTGTAGACGGTGTGTGTGTGTGTGTGTGTATACGATGTGTGTGTGTAGAGTTGTAGACGGTGTGTGTGTGTGTACGATGTGTGTGTGTAGACGGTGTGTGTGTGTAGACGGTGTGTGTGTGTGTGTGTGTGTGTGTGTGTAGTGTGTGTGTGTGTGTGTGTGTGTAGACGGTGTGTGTGTGTGTGTGTGTAGACGGTGTGTGTGTGTTGTAGACGATGTGTGTGTGTGTACGATGTGTGTGTGTAGACGGTGTGTGTGTGTGTTTCCAAACAGAAAGAGTCATCGCTCCAAAAAAACCATGAAAAGCGACTTTCGAAGGAAATGTTCTGGTTTGAGCAAAATGATCATTTTCCACTTTATCAAAAACCAAAACATGAAAAATAAGTTCAATTATAAAAAGAATCTTCAGCTGCGTCAGTAAAAAAGTAAAAACAGTGTGATCAGATAAATGCACTGAAATAAGTCTCTATTTTAACTTTTATATTTGTCAAAAAGAGTCACTTGTTGACTCTCGGCCCTGATTGGCCGAGAGGAGGCGGTCCCTTCTCTGACCCTTTAATATTCACTCCATGAAGAAAACCAGGTCATTTTATCTTTTGTTTTTAACAGTAGGAGAACTAAAAACACACATTTGTTTTATGTTTTTTAACCTTCTCCAGACATGTCAAACTCAGGCCAATGGCACGTTATACTTCATTTGAAGCTTATTTTCTCGACTTTATAAGTGTTTTTTTAATGTGATCAGAAGTGAAACATTTATTTTACTTTCATTATTATTGAACTATGAATCTTGTTGATATTCGGTCCAGTCGTGAGTGAATCCAAATCTACTCCAAAGACTTTCTGGTGGTGGGGGGGGGCTTCTGTCAGTGTGCCCCGGGGCAGCTGTGGCTACACTGGGTTTGGAGAGAGAGAAATATGATGTGAAGAGACTTTGAGAGTCTGGAAAGTGTTTAGATAAAACCTTTCATTATTATTATTATTATTATTATTATTATTATTATTACCTTCTTTTATCGAGTCACTTTCCGTCTGAGTTCGACACTACACCTGCGGGTTGTTCACTGCTTTTCAGGGAGTTGTGAGTCTACAAACACACACACACACACACACACACACTGAGGTTGTGTATTCTTCCTGAGTGAGTTGTGAGTCTACAAACACACTCACACACACCGAAGTTGTGTATTCTTCCTGAGTGAGTTGTGAGTCTACAAAAACACACACGCACACACTGGGGTTGTGTACTCTTCCTGAGTGAGTTGTGTGTTTATTTAACAGCTCACTCCTGAAGAAGAAGAGAAAAGACGAGTGAGACGAGAGAGGAACAAACTCGCCGCCGCCAAATGCCGCAACCGCCGACGGGAACTGACAGAGCTGCTGCAGGGGGTACGTACCATCAACCCTGAACCATCAACCCTGAACCATCAACCCTGAACCATGGACAGATCTGAACCATGGACAGATCTGAACCATGGACCGTCCTGAACCATGGACAGATCTGAACCATGGACCGTCCTGAACCATGGACAGACCTGAACCATGGACAGACCTGAACCATGGACAGACCTGAACCATGCACAGACCTGAACCATGCACAGACCTGAACCATGGACAGACCTGAACCATGGACAGATCTGAACCATGGACTGTCCTGAACCATGGACAGCCCTGAACCATGGACTGTCCTGAACCATGGACAGCCCTGAACCATGGACAGACCTGAACCATGGACAGACCTGAACCATGGACAGACCTGAACCATGGACAGATCTGAACCATGGACAGACCTGAACCATGGACAGACCTGAACCATGGACAGACCTGAACCATGGACAGATCTGAACCATGGACTGTCCTGAACCATGGACAGCCCTGAACCATGGACAGCCCTGAACCATGGACAGACCTGAACCATGGACCGTCCTGAGATATTTGTCATTGGTAATCCCGTGGGCAGATGTTAAATCCAGCCTAAAATTAAAAAAACAAAGTGAACGTGAGGGAGTTAGTGTTTCTCAGTGAGTCGCGAACAAAGAAACTGTTTTAGATTCTGAGACTGAGAGAGATTTGCTGATGAGCGATTAGCCTCCACACCTTAAACCCAAACCTGCCGCACAGGTTGAGGCGGTGTGGGCCGTGGAGCCGTGTTGACAGGTTCTCAAAAGCTTTTTGTCTGGAGCTGCACAGACAGAGGTAGGACTGTCTCGCTGGCCCTCCCCGACTCCAACACTCAGAGAATAATTACACAAAGTGAGCTTGTCAGAGTCACAGAGACAGAACGAACCCTGCTGAGGTCGCTGCAGGTTTGAAAAGTACATACAGCTGTTTAATTTTGTTTTTTGATTATAATTGGTTGAAATTTGCTTTGGAGGAAGTAGGTAATGTCCTTATATGGCCTTATGTTATTGATGTCAATGTGTTCTCCCTCCGGCTTCTTCAAAACAACTTCCTCCTACCTTTGCCCGGAGTCAAAGTTCTCAGAACGAGGTTATACTTTTCTTTTATCGCCTCAGCCTCGGGTTAGACAGACAACAATACGAGCCCTACAGACAACGATACAACAAAACTACAGACAATACAAAACAGCCGCAGCATCTGAATCTGAAAGACTTATTCATCTTCATAATTTTTAACCTGTTTGATGTGTTTCATTCCAAAAAGGAAGAAAACTTGAGTTTATATTTTGTGTTGTACTGATTTTACTGCAAGTAAACACTGCCCCCATGTGGCCAGCTGCTGCAACTGCAATTATGTGGCAAGTCAAAAAAATGCTCACATATGTATTTTTTTTTATATTTGTATTTTATTTAACTTTTCTTGAACCAGGAAAAATCCCATTGAGGCTTAAAAAGCTCCTTTTCAAGGGAGGGGTGGCCCAGAGGAAGCAAAGTTACACAGAAACACGTCAGACAGATACAATTAGATTAAATGACGACACACATCAAGTAAAAGGTTTAGAGGTGATCGAGGCGTCTCAAAAACTCTGAGATTTGAATTAATTATTGTTTTCCCCAACTCCCGCTCAAACTCCTTTTTGTCCCTTATGGACCACTTTATTTCAAGATGGCGCGTCCTACTGGGACTACTGTACTGGCGAAAATAATTGAAAAAATATCTGAAAATAGTAAAATACTGCTTGAAATAATAAAAAATTATGATAAAGATTCTTTAAAAAGTCACATTTAATATTAACACGTTTTTAATTTGGAGTAAAAAGGACACAGAGACCTTTAGGGAAATGTCAATGTGGTCAGAAAAACTGCTGTTGACAAAGCAGTGACCGCAAGCCCTGCCCGGAGAACCCTTTTCACGCACAACACACATGACCACACACACGTACGACACAAACGTGCAACACACAGGTACGACACACACGTACGACACAAACGTGCAACACACACGTATGACACACACACACACATGGTTATTTATCTGTAAAGTCTAAACACGTATTTTTGTGTCGCAGGAGACGGAGAAACTGGAGGAAGAGAAAGCCGACCTCCAGAAAGAGATCGAGACGCTGCAGAAGGAGAAGGACAAGTTGGAGTTTATGCTCGTGGCGCACAACCCGGTCTGCAAGCTGCCCCTGGAGGACCGCCCCCAGAGCAACGGCAACCACCCGCCCACGCACCACCACCACCACCCGGCCACGCACCACCACCCGCCCGCGCCCCAGCAGCAGTGCGCGCCCCTGCCCCTCACCATGCGCCCCGCCATGCCTCCTCGGGCCTCCCAGAACCCCGTGGTGGTCAAGCAAGAGCCCGAAGACGGAGAAAACAAGCACCTACCGCGCTCCGTCATCAAACCCATCTGCCTGGGCGCCATGTACTGCTCCGACGGGGACAGCCTGAACACTCCGGTGGTGGTGGCCTCGACCCCAGCCCAGACCCCCAACACCAACCCCAGCCTCATCTTCACGTACCCCAGCATGATGGAGCCGGAGAGCCCGTCGCCGTCGTCTGAGTCCTGCTCCAAGGCGCACCGGCGGAGCTCCAGCAGCGGGGATCAATCCTCAGACTCGCTCAACTCGCCCACTCTTTTAGCGCTCTAGAAAAACAGCCTGGTCCGATGTCTTTCGAAAACCAGAGCACATATAATAACGATAATCGAGTCCGGACCGAGCTGACCGAGCTGTGTTACGACTGCCAAGGGCTACGGGCGCAATCTTTACTCTTTTTTTTTTACCGATGTGTCATGAACGATTTTATTTTGCCATTTCAAAACAAGTGTCCGAGTGTTTACCGTGAAAACTCTGCCGTCGATATGGACCGACTACGAATTTCTATTTTTGACACATTACGAGAAATAAGCCATGTGGTTCACGATTGCACTCCAGACCAAGGAACGAGGTCAGACCGAAGAAACACGACAACAGACTTTAACTTCAGGAATCTTAACATTTCTGACGGTTTTACGGCTTGTGGGGAATTTTAAGCGTGATTTTTGTCCGTGTCCTTTATATAGAAAACTGGCCATTTACGTGCAAAGGAAGAAGCCAATTTTAAAACACAAATCCCACATTTAAAGTGGCCGTGGCTTGACTTTAAATGAGTATTGTGTGACTTTCTTCAGTGATGCTGTACCTGTCCATGTGTCTTTTATAGTAATGTCAGGGATGCGAACCCATCATCAGCCAGCCAGTGTTGTGGTACATCGTTCGTTTTACTGTTCCCAAAATAAGATCAGGTTTCCAATGCTTTGTATGACTTACGTAATCCTGTAATCCATCAGTTTTATGTCTACAAAAGAGGGATTGACGTTTGTTTTTCAGATTTGAAAAAGCCACTGTGGTCCAGCCCGTCTCCAGCTGCCTCTGATGTCAACCCTGTTTATGCTGTGTTTGTAAATCTGTCATTTTCAGTACAAAAAAAGAAGAAGAAAAAAGCCAATTTTGGGGCTTGCAAACTTCTACCACAATCAAAGTCCTCGGTATAAACTTCTAGATAAGCCATACGGGCCAAATGAGTATTTCCCTCCTCACATTTATCAAAAGGAGGTGGATTCTTTCGCAGCAGGCCTGAGATCGAAGTTTGGATGTTTTACAAAAGCGCGTTTTTTGAGTCATTTCTACCAAAAGAAAGGGAGATGTGGGTTAGGAGGCAGTGCACTGAGAAGAAGGACAATAGTGATTTATTTTATGTTTTTCTGACTTGGTACATTCCTGTCGTAGTGTCGCCATCTTTGCTTGTCTTTTGTTGCGCTGGAAGCAATTCAACAACTGCTGCTGTTAAGGAAGACCTCGGCCATAATGGAGGCTGTGTGTGTGTGTGTGTGTGGTTGTGCGTGTGTGTGTGTGTGTGTGTGTGTGTGTGTGTGTGTGTAAAAAGCCTCCATACAGACACATAGGAAAGCCATTCACTGTAGATTTTCTCGTCATCTCTCGTCTTGTTTTCGACTCTTTACTGATTTTCAAATGCTTTAACTGTTTAAAATAAATCAAAATGGACAAAAACAGCAATATGTAAAGCAGTGTTTGTTAATTTAAATGAATAATAATGATAATAATAAATCATTTTCATCTCGGATTCAGGTGTTTTCTTAACTCACGCTTGTCCTGGATTCACGAACTCCGGTCACGTTCTGTCTCATTCCTCACTTCTGTAAAAACAAAAACAAATTTTCACTCATGTTTTGACCGATAAAATGTTTTCTTCTAAGTCACAAATTTGGACTTTAGCGCTCTCGCTCCTCAGTAAGAAGGTCCTGGGTTCGAATCCCGGATGGAACAGGGTCTCTCTGAGTGGAGTTTGTAGATTCTCCCAGTGTTCCCAGTGCTCCGGTTTCCCCAACCACTAAAAACATGTGCAATAGGTCTATGAATTTATATTTTCTTTCCAAATATCTTTCTTACACACACACACACACACACACACACACACACACATGCACATACACACACATTTTCACAATTTGTAGACATTTAGATTTTTGGTGTAAAGCTTGTTCTGGGCCTTTACAACACTGAAGTATAAATGGGAAAATGGGGACCTAAAAAATGTCCCCGCTTTTACTCAGGTCCCCATATTGAAGGTGTGTTATCCTACTGAAGTCCTCATTTGTAGGCAAAACAAACACATATACACACATACACACACAAAGAATGTGTACTGTGAGGAAGGCCTCATAGTACACATCTCCATGGTTACGTTTGAGGATCGTCCTTTCAAATGATTCAGGGATTAGCTCCACTCGGTGAGTTCTGGCGCCCGGATCACAGACTTTCTGATTGGTGAAACGGTGGAGGGCGGGACATCGAAATGAAAACAATAACAAGATTTAGGGGCTGGAAAAGTAATTTAGAAATTCAAATAGTATTGTAAATGAGCAGTTTATTATTATGACAGATTAGGGCCCTTTAATGATGACAGATTAGGGCCCTTTAATGATGTCAGATTAGGGCCCTTTAATGATGACAGATTAGGGCCCTTTAATGATGACAGATTAGGGCCCTTTAATGATGACAGATTAGGGCCCTTTAATGATGACAGATTAGGGCCCTTTAAAGATGAAAGATTAGGGCCCTTTAATGATGTCAGATTAGGGCCCTTTAATTGATCACAGATTAGGGCCCTTTAATGATGACAGAGTAAGATCCTTTAATGATGACAGATTAGGGCCCTTTAATGATGACAGATTATGGCCCTGTAACGATGACAGATTAGGGCCCTTAAATGATGACTCGACATGAAAATCTTACATATTGCTGCTTTAATTTACTGGTAAGTGCAGAAGTAAGTAAAGTTTACTTATATAGCACATTTTCACAGACCAAGGTCCTGAAAGCTCATTACAATGTTCAGATATTGTTCCATTCTCTCGTTACATTCAGATCTATATAACATGTTTTTAGAGGTAGGGGAAACCAGAGCACCTGGAGGAAACCTGTACAGACACAGGGAGAGCATGCAAACTCCACTCAGAAAGGCCCCTTCTATGTGTCGTTTATATACAAAAGAGTTTGAATATGACGTAGTAACAGATATTCACCACAAGATGGCAGCAAAGACTAAGAAAAGCTACCTGCCGATAAAGTAATAAGCAACAAAAACACACTTAAAAGTAAAACAGAAAATGATGGTCTCTTCTGTGATTGGAAAAGAAACTATTAAAAAAATGAAAATAAATCAAGAAAGAAGTTCAAATAATATAAAGTTTACAATTTAAAACAAAAAACCTTTGATCATGTGGAAATCTCCTGAAACTGATCTTGAATTCTCCTATATTGGTGCAGAACATATTCTTCACATCATTCTTCACATTTTAACAACAGTTAATGCATTTCTCAGAACAATTAGTACAAACTGCAAAACCTCACTTTAATAATAATAATAATAATAATAATGCATTGGTTTTATACAGAGCTTTTTCTGGACACTCAAAGACACTTCACGTCATTATTCTTTCACTTCAAACACGGCGGTGATAAACTACTGCTGTCATAAACTACTCTCTCAAAATGAAAAGTTAATTAAATGAATTAATTAAAAGTTAAAAAGCACGTTTTTTCATCTTCATCACAGCTTCTTCTCTTAAAGGCAGCGAGAAACACACTTCCTCAAAGTTCAATTTAGATTTAGAAGAAAAAAAATGATAAAACAATGAAATTAGTTTGACAGATTTTGAACTAGGGGCGACAGAGGCTCAGTTAGTAGAGCCTTTGCTTGAAGGTCGTGGGTTTGAGCCCCCTACAAGACCTACTTCATGACTCCCACTGATGTCTGCTGTCGATGTGTCCTTGGGCAAGACACTTAACCCCACTTTGCCTGAAGCCCCCACTGAAAGATCAAGGCTCCTGTGGACTCAGCACCTGCAGGAGGATCAGTGAGGGGCTGGTGGCGCCTAAATGAAACATGAACAAAAGCATTTGTAAAGTGTTCAGAGGAGAAACTGCTGCGATGATCTCACACGTGACTCGATGATGTCACACGTGACTCGATGATGTCACACATGACTCGATGATGTGGAGGTTGGACTCGTAGTTTCTGATCTGAGAAAACTGTAAATGCTGCTGTGAGGAATTCAGTTTTATATTTTTCATCCGTTGCAGAAAAAGAAATCAATCCTGAACCTGATCCCGGCTCCTGTCAGAGTCTGCAGTTCTCCCCGACTGATCCTGCGGCTCTGAGAGTACCGTGGTCTAAGTTAGAGTCTGAGTTACTCTCAGACTATCAGACAATCAGAAAGTCTGTGATCCGGGCGCCAGAACTCACCGCGTGGAGCTAATCTCACTGGTAAAGTACCATGTGGCGCAGAACTAAAAAAGGTCTCGTTATGATTCTCAAATCATTAACGACAAAACAAGGAATAAAACCAGGATTTCTATCTTTGTGAAAAAGGTGTTGGTTATAGATTTGTTGTTGACTAAACTCTTGTCTATTCAGCTGTTATGGTCCCAGCTGGATTCGTCTGCATATCTGGCAACCTGAGTCAGGGAGAGAGGGAGAGGCTGCAGTACCACTTTTTTGCACAGGGGTGACAGTGGCTCAACATTGGCCTTTGGGGCTGAAAGTCTTGGGTTCGATCCCACCACGACACCACCAACTCCCACTGACGTCTGCTGTCGTTGTGTCCTTGGGCAAGACACTTTGCCTGAAGCCCTGCTGAAAGATCAAAGCTCCCGTGGACTCACACCAGCCTAGAAATGGATTAAGGGGAAGAAGATGGATGTCTGTGGAATATTTATTGAATAATGTATGAGTGCAAAATAAACTAATAAAACATAGTTTCTTCCACATCAATCTAAAACCACCGCTGATGTTTTTCCTGATTCCTCGTCCTTCTTATTGACCAACACTGATGACCGATCGGTTGAAGAAGCAGCGGGTTATTAAGGAGCTCATTGATTCTGAAACCACAGAAACTATTTATGAAGCATGCGTCTCCTCTGCCCTGATTGGCTCAATGACGTGGGCACAGTTCTGTTTGACGCAGAATGGTATAGTTTGGCTCAAAATCAAAGTATTCAATCAAATACATGTGACGTAAAGTCTGAAACTGCAGCGTCTGTCCGGGTCTGAACTAAAGGACGTCACGACAGAAAGCTTCAAAAACACTTCTATTCAACAGAAAAAGGGCGTTTCCACACATTATAATTCAGGCATGTCCAAACTCAGGCCCGAGGGCCAATTGGGGCCCTCTGTGCCATGTTAAGTGATCCTCTGCTGCTAACACAAAGTCACCATTGATGCACTTTGACAGTGTCATCCAGCCAACTTCAGCTCCACCAACACAGTCATGCTGTACCTTGATGTAAACCTCAGACTCTCAGGAATTCAGTTGTGTACTCTATTGTTATTTACTGACAATTATTTATGATTCTGTCACAACATTCCAAATAAAATGCAGCTGTGGATCAATAAGGACGTATCATAACACATTTTCAATTCCAGAACCCAATTTTTTTTAAGGGTTTGGGAACTAAAGTGGCCCTCTTACTATGGAGTTTGGGCACCCCTTCTGTATCTATGTATGTACTGTATGTATGTATCCATCTCTATAAATATCTGTGTATGTGTCCTTATATCTATCATAGTCTGAAAGTGTGCCGTGGCTCATGCTGCAACATAAACCTGGCTGCCCTTCACTTTCAGGACATTTTCGCTGATGGCGTCTCTCTTTGTGATGAACTCACCATGACTTTGAACAAGGACATTGGACCATGGTGGCTCTGCTGACTTATGCTGAAGCCCTAAAGCTACTTACCATTTCCCCAATAATTGAATCTGAGCTGATAATAAAGAAATCAGTGTATTTTCTAAACGCTGTAGAAAGCAGTGGAGGGCATCTGTGTTCACATCCGAGCCACTATCGATCGGTGCGGTCTTATCTGTGCGCCAGAACCAAAGCTACACGTTGATAAAGTGGACGAAGGTGATTGGATAAAACATTTAAAGCACAGAATTGCTCACGGATGCGGTTTAACGAGCTGCACACGTAAAGCAGAGCGAGTTGATGTGGGTTCTGCTCCGTGGTCAGGTCAATACAGTGGTAATTATATCGTTAAAAGTCCAATAAGCTCTGGGACAGAACAGTGGATTCAGCAGCTTATAAGAATCCTTTATTGACTTCAAGTGGCACATTGATTTATACGACTTTAGAATAATGATCCCGCGGTCTGCAGTCTCTCTACGAGCAAATATGAACGGAGGTGTTACATCGGGACGTGCATGAGGTTATTGGATCCCACTGCAGGCGGATGGAATACAGGAAGAATGATACGTCTGCAGAAACTATTGTATATCGTTGTGCGATGATGACAAAGGCTGGTTTGTCGCCCATGCAGTATCGGTCGCAGTTAAAAGATTGTACCATGCATTGTTCTAAGTCTTAGCTATTCTTGTAAAGGTCTGAGTTCATTTCTAACTGTGCGTCGCCGGATCAGGTCAAGCTGCTTTTGACTTTCATAAAATTTGGAAAACTTCTGGAAGATGTTTGTAATGGGAAGAGCCACAATCAGCAGCCCACAGACTATACATAAAGTTCCAATAATCTTCCCCGGGAAAGTGACGGGAAAGGTGTCTCCGTAGCCCACGGTGGTCATGCTGATAGTGGCCCACCACCAGCCCACTGGCATGGTCTGCAGAGTGGACTCCTCCGTCTCTTTCTCCACAAAGTACACCAGGGCAGAGAACATGGAGATGCCCACGGACAGGAAGAGCACGAGCAGACCCACGTCCCGAGAGCTGTGCTGCAGCGTGGCCCCGAGAGAGCGAAGTCCTGCGGAGTGACGGGCCAGTTTCAGAATACGAAACACACGCATCAGTCTGAGGATTTGGACGACTTTTCCAAGATTCTCCAGCTCAGGGCTGTCTTCTTCCTCCATCATGTCAAACACCATGGTCACATAGAAGGGCAAGACAGACAGCAGGTCAATCATGTTGAGAGGGCTGCAGAGGAACCGTTTGGCTGAAGGTGCAACAGCCAAACGAAGAACAAACTCTGCAGAGAAGAACAGAACACAGATGTTTTCAATCACAGTGAGCGCTGGGTTTTCAATCTGTCGCTCGTTCTCATCCAGCTCGTGGTAGTCAGGCATGCTGTGCACACACATGGCTATAATGGACAGGAGCACGGCACATAGAGACACCACAGCCACTGATTTAGCCAAAGTGTTGTGTCCAGGGTCCTCCAGATGAATCCAGATACTTCTCCGAGTGTCTGCACACCAGGATCCCTCAAACAAGTCCATGAGGTCCTCTGACACCGACAGCTGAGCACTGGAGGAGTCAGAGCTCTCCACATTCTCCTCGCTGTCCTCCGCCGCCTCCATTAACTCCACAAACTTATCGCTGCAGCAGAAGTCCAAGTGTCGCTCTTTAATGCCCCAATACTCAATCTCCTGAACGAAAGACAGCACACATACACCGTCCACCAAGTGCAGTTTCCCCGTCACATAGAAGTTCAACACGTAACAGAAAAACAGGGGGTTTCTGTCAAAGTAGTACTCCATGTCTGAGGGACTGAAGTCGTCACAAAGCTCCAGGACGGCTTCCTGTGAGCTGCAGCACAACAGGCGTCCGAGGCGAGTCTGTGGAAACTTCTTCAACATATGTGAGTCCATGCGCTGCTTGAAGCCTCCCACGTTGATGTTGATGAAGCAGTCGTCTCTACTGTGGGCCATGGCTCTGTACATCTGTCCGTACAGCATGACGGAGGCATCAGGGAGAGGAGGATTCCTGAAAACAACAGCAGACAGTGATTAGTACACCCTGGACATGCTGTTTACAGTATGTAGACTCTCCACTGGATCACCTTACATGGCGTTTCTGTGCGAGATATAGGCCTCTGCAATGCTATCTCTGACTCTGCAGCTTTTGTTTTAGAAGGCAACATGAGGAAATGGGACGAAATCCTATCTTTACCGCACAACATTAAAAGCAGTTTGTTTATTCTACTTTACAGACAACTTTAGACATGTACAGAACGACTTAGATTGAATGTCTTCCTTTCAATGACTTTTAAACGTGTGCAAGAAAAACACAAACTAAAACAACTGATCATAAACGCATTCTGTGAGAACATGGACAGAGGTCGTGCTGTGGTCCGTTTAGAATTACGCACAGTAAAGAAGCTCTAACGTTTCACACCTTGGCCGCGAAAACACGACACACGCACCTTTTACAAGTGTTAAGGAAAAATAAAAATCATTCTCAATATTTACCTCTCAATGTGGACGAATGAGCCGTGCGTAAAAGCGACGACCTGGAGTTTATCAGTGCGCCTGTGAGGTCCGCGTGCGTCCAGCCCTCCCCGCGTGCGTCCGATCCCCTCAGCGTGCGTGCGTTCCACTCCGCGTGCGCCCGGTCCCATCAGCGTGCCTTCAGTCCACTCCGCGTGCCCCTGTCCGGTCCCCTCCGCGTTCGTCCAGCCCTCTCCGCGTGCGTCCGGTCTCCTCAGCGTGCGTTCAGTCCACTCCGCGTGCGTCCAGTCCCCTCCGCGTGCGCCTGGTCCCCTGCGCGTGCGTCCAGTCCACTCCGCGTGCCCCCGATCCTGGTCTGGCTCCAGTTCAGAAGTAGCAGAATCCAAAACGCTGCAGTGACTTTTGCTCAGACTCAACAGGACTAACGTGGAGCATGCGCGCGCTCGGTTTACATACGGGTCAGAGCCATATTAATGACAGTGAATGATTCATGTGTTTCTGTGAAAAAAGAAACGTAAAGGTGCACGAGACACCTGCTTCAGCTGTGTTGAGTTATGAAAGAAAGATAAAGTTTGATAAAGATGAAGTATATTTTTCTAAAGTAGTAAATGAACAGTTCATGGTTCCATGTTTTATACAGAGACAAGAGAACTTCTGCACCAGGGGTCTCCAACCTGTAGCTCTCTCTTCAGGTATAGCTCCCCAAAGGATTTAGAATCAAACACATGATCCTGAATGATTCACTTTTGAGTCATTACACATCTATTATAAGTATAAATAAAGGGCGTTTTCCATGTTTTGTCATAATTATTAATCCATCCATCCATTTTCTACCCTTTAATCCATTTCTGGGTCAGGGGGGTGGCAATCAGAGATGCCACCCAAGTCTCATAGCACTAGCCCCTCACTGACCCTCTGCAGGTGGTGAGTCCACAGGAGGACGGCTGCTCTCTGACTGTGAGCATAGCCTTGATCTTTCTGCGGGGGCTTTGGGCAAAGTGGGGTTAAGTGTCTTGCCCAAGGACACAACGACAGCAGTGATCAGTGGGAGTCGGTGGAGAAGGTGCAGAGGTGGGAATTGAACCCATGACCTTCTGGCCTTAAGGCCAATGCTCTACCAACTGAGCTACTGTCGCCCTAAATAATTATTAATATATATTTTTATTATGACTGCAAAAAGAAGTAGCTCTCTGTCTCTTCTGTTGTATTAAAGTAGCTCTCTGATTGAAAAAGGTTGGAGACCCCTGTTCTACATCAAACATTTCATAAAGGGATGGATCATTAAAGGATTAACTTGTTGCACTATCATGTTTGACCAGTAGGTGGCAGAAGAGAACAGGGTTTCAATGAAAGGTACAAAGAGAGATTTATTATAGAAACAAACATTACATGAACTGATCAGTCCATAAACACTTCATAACTGTTGATAGCTCCATATATTATAAAATAAATACAAAATGTACTGTTTTATGCTGTGTAATAAACAATAATTGATGATATTTAAAAACTACTCGATGAGGCTGTGACACAGCGGGCAGCACGTGTATTTACTTATCTCTTGATCTAAGGCATAATGTTTACAGACTCTGCAGATCCACGGAGCCAGCTGGATGGGGAGACCGGTCACGATACAAGTGGGAAAGCGTCCCTCGGCTCTGAAAAGTACAATGACAACTTTAACAAATATTTTTTGTATTTAATGTGATATAAGGATATTTTACTCCTCCAGGAGGTTGTCCATGTGCTCCGTGCTGATTGGCCGATTGTCTTTGGGGGTGTGTTTGGTGAAGATCTGCAGAGCCAGGTCTTCGTAGGCCTGTCTCTGGTCCGCCGTCAGACTCTCCAAAGACTCCAGTTTGATGAAGGCCTGGGAGCAGGTCCCAAAGGCCCGGTTTGCAGAGGCACAGACGGCCAGGAGGGAGTGGATCTCCACTGGGGGGATGATATCTTCATACTCACACAGATGCAGAGCTTTCACAGAGAACACCACGTTACATCAGATTAACCAAATAAGGACTTATTTTTAAGTAAATGTCAGAATATACAAAGCAGCTTCCAGCTAAGTATGCAAACATGCTACATCACACCAACCAGGAAGTAGGACCTGCCACAGCACAAACTATGACTACACAAACTATAACAGCACAAACTATAACAACACAACTATAACAGCACTAACCATAACAGCACAAACTATAACAGCACAAACTATAACAACACAACTATAACAGCACTAACCATAACAACACAAACCATAACAGCACAAACTATAACAACACAACTATAACAGCACTAACCATAACAACACAAACCATAACAGCACAAACTATAACAGCACAACTATAACAGCACAAACCATAACAACACAAACCATAACAGCACAAACTATAACAGCACTAACCATAACAACACAACTATAACAGCACTAACCATAACAACACAAACCATAACAGCACAAACTATAACAGCACAACTATAACAGCACTAACCATAACAGCACAAACCATAACAGCACAAACTATAACAACACAACTATAACAGCACTAACCATAACAACACAAACCATAACAGCACAAACTATAACAACACAACTATAACAGCACTAACCATAACAACACAAACCATAACAGCACAAACTATAACAGCACAACTATAACAGCACAAACCATAACAACACAAACCATAACAGCACAAACTATAACAGCACTAACCATAACAACACAACTATAACAGCACTAACCATAACAACACAAACCATAACAGCACAAACTATAACAGCACAACTATAACAGCACTAACCATAACAGCACAAACCATAACAACACAAACCATAACAGCACAAACTATAACAGCACAACTATAACAGCACTAACCATAACAACACAAACTATAACAACACTAACCATAACAACACAAACCATAACAACACAAACTATAACAGCACAACTTTAACAGCACAACTATAACAGCACTAACCATAACAGCACAAACTATAACAACACAACTATAACAGCACTAACCATAACAACACAAACCATAACAACACAAACTATAACAGCACAACTTTAACAGCACAACTATAACAGCACAAACCATAACAGCACAAACTATAACACAACTATAACAGCACTAACCATAACAACACAAACCATAACAGCACAAACTATAACAGCACTAACCATAACAACACAACTATAACAGCACTAACCATAACAACACAAACTATAACAACACTAACCATAACAACACAAACCATAACAGCACAAACTATAACAGCACAACTTTAACAGCACAACTATAACAGCACTAACCATAACAACACAAACCATAACAACACAAACTATAACAGCACAACTTTAACAGCACAACTATAACAACACTAACCATAACAACACAAACCATAACAACACAAACTATAACAGCACAACTTTAACAGCACAACTATAACAGCACTAACCATAACAACACAAACTATAACAGCACAAACTATAACAGCACAACTATAACAGCACAAACCATAACAACACAAACCATAACAGCACAAACTATAACAGCACAACTATAACAGCACAAACTATAACAACACAACTATAACAACACTAACTATAACAACACAACTATAACAACACAACTATAACAACACAACTATAACAGCACTAACCATAACAACACAAACTATAACAACACAACTATAACAACACAACCATAACAGCACTAACCATAACAGCACTAACCATAACAGCACTAACCATAACAACACAACTATAACAACACAACTATAACAGCACTAACCATAACAGCACTAACCATAACAGCACTAACCATAACAACACAACCATAACAACACAAACTATAACAACACAACTATAACAACACAACTATAACAACACAACTATAACAGCACTAACCATAACAACACAAACTATAACAACACAACTATAACAACACAACCATAACAGCACTAACAGCACTAACCATAACAACACAACTATAACAACACAACTATAACAGCACTAACCATAACAGCACTAACCATAACAGCACTAACCATAACAACACAACTATAACAACACAACTATAACAACACAACTATAACAGCACTAACCATAACAGCACTAACCATAACAGCACTAACCATAACAACACAACTATAACAACACAACTATAACAACACAACTATAACAGCACTAACCATAACAACACAAACTATAACAACACAACTATAACAACACAACCATAACAGCACTAACCATAACAGCACAAACTATAACAGCACGACTACAACTATCCATCCATCCATCCATTTTCTTCCCCTTAATCCATTTCTGGGTCTGGGGGGTGGCAGTCAGAGCTGCACCCAGGACACATAGCACCAGCTCCTCCTGCAGGTGGTGAGTCCACAGGAGCTGAGATCTTTCAGTTGGGGCTTTGGGCAAAGTAGGGTTAAGTGTCTTGCCCAAGGACACAACGACAGCAGTCATCAGTGGGAGTCGTGAAGTAGGTCTTACGGTGGGCTCGAACCCACGACCTTCAGGCCCAAAGGCCAATGCTCTACCAACTGAGCTACTGTCGCCCGCTCGACTGCAACTAAATAACGAAAAATTGGTCTGTGAAATGGAATAAATTAATAATATTTAAAAAGTCTCTGTGAACACGTCAAGCTTGATATCACAAGAATCCATCCAAGCAGCAGCTTCACTAGTGCTGCAACCCTCCTCCTCAGCTCTTTCATCCCGGTCCTAAACTACCAGCACCAGGGTCTAGGTCCCGAGGGATTTCATCTCAATCTCTTTCTGCCTCATGTCTCTGCCGGGGTCAAAGGCCAAATCCTAACCACATTTTGTACAGCACCATAAATGTAATGTGTGTAAATACGTCATAGATGTGTAAATTATGTAGTGTCCAATTACTGTCAAACAATATACAATTCTATTAACACCCATGTTCTGTCTGTTCCAGTCTCTCCAGATTGATTCGCGCTGTCTCACCTGTTCTCATTGCGTTCTCTGTGTATCCATCATAGAGCTGTCGTTGAGCAAGAAGGAAAAAGTGGTAAGCTTCTGCTCCTCTCCAGGCGTTGTCCACAATCCGGGAATCTAAAATGGACACATCCTCCTCCAGCAACCCAGCCAGAGCCGACGTGGCCTTGAGTGAGTGCAGCGAGAAAGCATCAACACCTCCGATCAAGACCAAGGTCAATATGTCACAGTAAAACTCAAACTTACCTCAGATTTCTTGCCCTTGCTCTGCTGCGTGGCCTTCCCTTGTTCATGGTAGTTCTCAACAAGACGAGCCGCTAATACGTATAATTTTTTAACCCTCAAAGGACGAGCCTTTTTCTTGGCCTCCTCGTCTGCGATCTGAGAAAAGAATACAGTCAATATATATCCGTTTGCAGGTTGGAAATGTGTTCTCGAGTAGATACTTTACCCTGAACATGAGCTTTGCCGCTTCGAGAAAATGATGCGCTTTCCGGTAAAGCTCGACGGCCTCTAATGTTTTGTTCTTCTCCAAAAGATGTGACGTGTATTTGGAAAGAAGAGATTTGATTTCTTTCATGTTGTAGCTTCGAGCGAGATCCACAGCTTTATTCCACTGCGACAAAGACACACAATGTAGATGTAGTCACTCACTCACATATGGTAATGAAAGAGCTTTACAGACGCCCCATGAACACTAAAGCATGTGATATGGAGCTTAACATTTGGAGGGAGAACTTTTGTATAAATATTGCCCTCCATGAGTTTAGGAAATATAGAAGGTTATGTGTATTACATTGAGTGACTACTACTGCACAATTACTATACCACCATTACACTACATCTATACTATTGCACTATTACTCAACAGAAACACTAAAGTACAATCTGTTGAAAATGAAAACTGCTGAAATATTCCAAACTGAGATTAAAACATGTTGGAAAGTACTCGGAAAAGGAAAAAGGAAAAGGACAATGTTTTGAAAGAATCCTTATCCCTATCCTTAAAAGGTCTAGAATGTTTAAAGTAGCTGTTGAAGGAGTAGTTTCTCAAAATGCCCAAAATGGGAAAAATGTGTAGAAAAGAATCCACAGTGAGAGGACTCTAAGCCGTTATAACTGAAAGGTTTAATAATCATAGATTGTAATTTAAGTCTGTCGTCAGGATGTCACAGCAACTTCATCAACTCCCCGCACACCAAACAGCCTCCTTCCCCCCCCCAGTGCTTAGACCCAGAGGATAATAATCTTCTGTAAAGTATCACTCCTCACAGAGCAGGGCCACAGCTGGGGCCTCTGCGCCAAACTAATAAACTACAAACAAACTTTTAATCAATACGTATTTTAATACATCTCGTCTCTTGTTGTCTCTCCAGATTGAATTACTGTTTTACAACAACCTGCTCAGGGACAACAGGTGTAGACTAGCACTCCTGCGACAACCTGAATCTAAATACCATCATACCATACCATACCATACCATACCATACCATAGAAGGGGGTGTGCCAACAAGAAGTCCTCCTTATAGGCCCCCCCTCCACTCTCTCCAAACCCAACAGTTTTTCTATTTCCATTAATAGACCCTCACCCTCACTCGACCCTCACTCGATCCTCACTCGCCCCTCACTCCACCCTCACTCGCCCCTCACTCGACCCTCACTCGATCCTCACTCGCCCCTCACTCCACCCTCACTCGCCCCTCACTCGCCCCTCACTCGACCCTCACTCGCCCCTCACTCGCCCCTCACTCGCCCCTCACTCGCCCCTCACTCGCTCCTCACTCGCTCCTCACTCGCCCCTCACTCGCCCCTCACTCGCCCCTCACTCGCCCCTCACTCCACCCTCACTCCACCCTCACTCGCCCCTCACTCGACCCTCACTCGACCCTCACTCACCCCTCACTCCACCCTCACTCGCCCCTCACTCGACCCTCACTCGACCCTCACTCGCCCCTCACTCCACCCTCACTCCACCCTCACTCGCCCCTCACTCCACCCTCACTCCACCCTCACTCGCCCCTCACTCGCCCCTCACTCGCCCCTCACTCCACCCTCACTCGCCCCTCACTCGCCCCTCACTCGCCCCTCACTCGCTCCTCACTCGCTCCTCACTCCACCCTCACTCGCTCCTCACTCCACCCTCACTCGCTCCTCACTCCACCCTCACTTGCTCCTCACTCGCCCCTCACTCGCCCCTCACTCCACCCTCACTCGCCCCTCACTCGCCCCTCACTCGCCCCTCACTCGCCCCTCACTCCACCCTCACTCCCCCTCACTCGCCCCTCACTCCACCCTCACTCGCCCCTCACTCCACCCTCACTCCACCCTCACTCGCCCCTCACTCGCCCTCACTCGACCCTCACTCGACCCTCACTCGACCCTCACTCGACCCTCACTCGCCCCTCACTCGCCCCTCACTCCACCCTCACTCGCCCCTCACTCGACCCTCACTCGCCCCTCACTCGCCCCTCACTCCACCCTCACTCGCCCCTCACTCCACCCTCACTCCACCCTCACTCGCCCCTCACTCCACCCTCACTCGCCCCTCACTCGCCCCTCACTCGCCCCTCACTCCACCCTCACTCGCCCCTCACTCGCCCCTCACTCCACCCTCACTCGCCCCTCACTCGACCCTCACTCGCCCCTCACTCCACCCTCACTCGCCCCTCACTCGCCCCTCACTCCACCCTCACTCGCCCCTCACTCGCCCCTCACTCGACCCTCACTCGACCCTCACTCGACCCTCACTCGCCCCTCACTCGCCCCTCACTCGCCCCTCACTCCACCCTCACTCGCCCCTCACTCGACCCTCACTCGACCCTCACTCGACCCTCACTCGACCCTCACTCGACCCTCACTCGCCCCTCACTCGCCCTTCACTCGCCCCTCACTCGCCCCTCACTCGCCCCTCACTCCACCCTCACTCCACCCTCACTCGCCCCTCACTCCACCCTCACTCCACCCTCACTCGCCCCTCACTCGACCCTCACTCGCCCCTCACTCGCCCCTCACTCGCCCCTCACTCGCCCCACACTCCACCCTCACTCCACCCTCACTCGACCCTCACTCGACCCTCACTCCACCCTCACTCGCCCCTCACTCGCCCCTCACTCGCCCCTCACTCGCCCCTCACTCGACCCTCACTCGCCCCTCACTCCACCCTCACTCGCCCCTCACTCGCCCCTCACTCGCCCCTCACTCGCCCCTCACTCCACCCTCACTCCACCCTCACTCGCCCCTCACTCCACCCTCACTCGCCCCTCACTCGCCCCTCACTCGCCCCTCACTCCACCCTCACTCCACCCTCACTCGACCCTCACTCGCCCCTCACTCCACCCTCACTCGCTCCCCTCACTCGCTCCTCACTCGCTCCTCACTCGCCCCTCACTCCACCCTCACTCCACCCTCACTCGCCCCTCACTCCACCCTCACTCGACCCTCACTCCACCCTCACTCGACCCTCACTCGCCCCTCACTCCACCCTCACTCCACCCTCACTCCACCCTCACTCCACCCTCACTCGCTCCTCACTCCACCCTCACTCGCTCCTCACTCCACCCTCACTCGCCCCTCACTCCACCCTCATCACTCCACCCTCACTCCACCCTCACACCCCACTCGACCCTCACTCCACCTCACTCCACCCTCACTCGCCCCTCACTCGCCCCTCACTCCACCCTCACTCGCCCCTCACTCGCCCCTCACTCCACCCTCACTCGCCCCTCACTCCACCCTCACTCGACCCTCACTCGCCCCTCACTCCACCCTCACTCGCCCCTCACTCGCCCCTCACTCGCCCCTCACTCCGCCCCTCACTCCACCCTCACTCCACCCTCACTCGCCCCTCACTCGCCCCTCACTCGCCCCTCACTCGCCCCTCACTCCACCCTCACTCGCCCCTCACTCGCCCCTCACTCGCCCCTCACTCCACCCTCACTCCACCCTCACTCCACCCTCACTTGCCCCTCACTTCACCCTCACTCGCCCCTCACTCCACGCTCACTCCACCCTCACTCGCCCCTCACTCGCCCCTCACTCGCCCCTCACTCGCCCCTCACTCCACCCTCACTCGCCCCTCACTCACCCCTCAGACCACAACCATTCTTGTCCACAGCCTTGTTACTTCCTGTATTGACTACTGCAATTCCCTCCTCTTTGGTCTCCTCCAAAACTCTGCTGCCCACATCATCACCAGGACCCCCACCATTCACCACATCATCACCTGTCTCCTCCTCTCTGTCCCCTCTCTCCTCCTCTCTCCTCCTCTCTCCTCCCCTCTGTCCCCCCTCTCCTCCTCTCTGTCCCCTCTCTCCCCCTCTCTCCTCCTCTGTCCCCTCTCTCCTCCTCTCTGTCCCCTCTCCTCCTCTCTGTCCCCTCTCTCCTCCTCTCTCCTCCTCTCTGCCCCCTCTCTCTGTCCCCCCTCTCCCCCTCTCTGTCCCCTCTCTCCTCCTCTGTCCCCTCTCCTCCTCTGTCCCCTCTCCTCCTCTGTCCCCTCTCCTCCTCTCTGTCCCCCCTCCTCTCTGTCCCCTCTCTCCTCCTCTCTGTCCCCTCTCCTCCTCTCTCCTCCTCTCTCCTCCCCTCTGTCCCCCCTCTCTGTCCCCTCTCTCCCCCTCTCTCCTCCTCTGTCCCCTCTCTCCTCCTCTCTGTCCCCTCTCCTCCTCTGTCCCCTCTCTCCTCCTCTCTCCTCCTCTCTGCCCCCTCTCTCTGTCCCCCCTCTCCCCCTCTCTGTCCCCTCTCTCCTCCTCTGTCCCCTCTCCTCCTCTCTGTCCCCCCTCCTCTCTGTCCCCTCTCTCCCCCTCTCTGTCCCCTCTCTCCTCCCCTCTGTCCCGTCTCTCCTCCCCTCTGTCCCGTCTCTCCTCCCCTCTGTCCCGTCTCTCCTCCCCTCTGTCCCGTCTCTCCTCCCCTCTGTCCCCCCTCTCCTCCTCTCTGTCCCCTCTCTCCTCCTCTCTGTCCCCTCTCTCCTCCTCTCTGTCCCCTCTCTCCTCCTCTCTGTCCCCTCTCTCCTCCTCTCTGTCCCCTCTCTCCTCCTCTCTGTCCCCTCTCTCCTCCTCTCTGTCCCCTCTCTCCTCCTCTCTGTCCCCTCTCTCCTCCTCTCTGTCCCCTCTCTCCTCCTCTCTGTCCCCTCTCTCCTCCTCTCTGTCCCCTCTCTCCTCCTCTCTGTCCCCTCTCCCCTCCTCTCTGTCCCCTCTCTCCTCCTCTCTGTCCCCTCTCTCCTCCTCTCTGTCCCCCCTCTCCTCCTCTCTGTCCCCCCTCTCCTCCTCTCTGTCCCCTCTCTCCGTCCCCTCTCTCCTCCTCTCTGTCCCCTCTCTCCTCCTCTCTGTCCCCTCTCTCCTCCTCTCTGTCCCCTCTCTCCTCCTCTCTCCCCCTCTCTGTCCCCTCTCTCCCCCTCTCTCCCCCTCTCTGTCCCCTCTCTCCCCCTCTCTGTCCCCTCTCTCCTCCTCTCTGTCCCCTCTCTCCTCCTCTCTGTCCCCTCTCTCCCCCTCTCTGTCCCCTCTCTGTCCCTCTCTGTCCCCTCTCTGTCCCCTCTCTGAGTCAAATCCAGTTCAAAACTCACCTCACATGACCAGTCACATGACCAGTCACATGACCAGTCACCCCAACACCTTTGTCCAGTTCTGCTGTTTTAGTTGTTTGTAATAATACTAATGATTTTAAAATGCACCCTGTTTTTAACCATGTGTGTACAGTGTCCTTGGTGTTTTGAAAGGCGCTATTTTTATTATTATTATTATTATTATATTATTATCATCTGGTATCTGGTGTCTCTCACCTGGTTCAGATGCACACAGGTGTCCACAGCAGCTTTGGGCTGGTTGCACTTCAGATATGCATTAACTGCTTGTTCACACATTCCCACTGTAGCAAACATCTGTCCTATGTCCTAAGATGCAAACACACAAACACACATTCAGCCTAAAATATTCACTACACAATTAATCATTATGTCACACCCAAATGAACGTACAGGCAACAGTTTGTGGTTGTCTGGGAGCTGGTTGATTAGTCGTTCGAGGCCATCGTAATCCTCCAACATGTAGTAGCACTCGGCCAGACGCTCCTGGTTACGGCCCAAGAGGTAGTACTGGACCGCATTAACCCTGAACACACAGACACGTTATCATTAAAGGGCCCTAATCTGTCATCATTAAAGGGCCCTAATCTGTCATCATTAAAGGGCCCTAATCTGTCATCATTAAAGGGCCTTAATTTGTCGTCATTAAAGGGCCCTAATATGTCATCATTAAAGGGCCCTAATCTGTCATCATTAAAGGGCCCTAATCTGTCATCATTAAAGGGCCCTAATCTGTCGTCATTATAGGGCCCTAATCTGTCCTCATTAAAGGGCCCTAATCTGTCCTCATTAAAGGGCCTTAATTTGTCGTCATTAAAGGGCCCTAATCTGTCATCATTAAAGGGCCATAATCTGTCATCATTAAATCTGTCATAATAATAAACTGCTCTTTTCCAATATTTGAATTTCTAAATTACTTTTCCAGCCTCTAAATCTTGTTATTGTTTTCATTTCGATGTCCCCCCCTCCACCGTTTCACCAATCAGAAAGTCTGTGATCCGGGCGCCAGAACTCACCGCGTGGAGCTAATCTCACTGGTAAAGTACCATGTGGCGCAGAACTAAAAAAGGTCTCGTTATGATTCTCAAATCATTAACGACAAAACAAGAATAAAACCAGGATTTCTATCTTTGTGAAAAAGGTGTTGGTTATAGATTTGTTGTTGACAAAACTCTTGTCTATTCAGCTGTTATGGTCCCAGCCGGATTCGTCTGCATATCTGGCAACCTGAGTCAGGGAGAGTGGGAGAGGCTGCAGTACCACCTTTGGCCACATTTTTGCACACTGCTCCTTTAAACGTTGAAAATACTCCTACCATTTCTGTCTGTCAGCGAAGTAGTCGCCGATGGCGTTATGGGCCTGTTCCTGCAGCGCGTCGTCGCTGTCGCCAGAGCCACTTTTGAGCAGTTGAAGAACTCTGAACCAATCTCCCAGTTTGATTCTGAGGCTGATGGCCAGATCTCTTTGAACCAAAGTAAAAGCATAAGTTGGAAGTAATCATACAGTCAGGATGTCAGAGCTGTTGGTGTTACCTGCGGTCCATGTCCAAGTACATGCGCTCGGCCTCCTCAAAGCGGCTGAAGTAGGCAGCCACCTCTGCCTGCTTCATGGGCTCGCTCTTTAAGTTCCCCAGACGCTTCACAAACTCAATGCCCTGATAGTCTTTGCAGCGGACGAAAGCCTGCTCCGCGGTCTTTAAGTCTAGTTTCTGGAGGGCTGCCTCAGCGAGCAGACGCCTGGAAGTGGAATGGGTGAATATTAGGATCAGTAATATGGGCATCCAAAGCTGCAAAATACAAAAGGGGATAAACTGGAGCCAAAGCTGCTCAGAGTATTTTCCACAAACAGGCTTTTTGATTTTTCCATCCATCCATTTTCTACCCTTTAATCCATTTCTGGGTCACGGGGGTGGCAATCAGAGATGCCACCCAAGTCTCATAGCACCAGCCCCTCACTGACCCTCTGCAGGTGGTGAGTCCACAGGAGCTGAGATCTTCCAGCAGGGGCTTTGGGGTTAAGTGTCTTGCCCAAGGACACAACAACAGCAGTCATCAGTGGGAGTCGGTGGAGAAGGTGTAGAGGTGGGAATTGAACCCACGACCTTCTGGCCTTGAGGCCAATGCTCTACCAACTGAGCTACTGTCGCCCTTTGATTTTTAAGACAAAAAATTAGGATCAACTCGCCACATTCAGACCTTTCTAAGACTCTCACCAAATACGATCTACCACAAAACGTAAATTAATGACAAAACTATCAAATTGTACTGCAAATGGAATTGAAAAGAGTGTATCCAGTGAAATAAATGCAAGACTGGGTAGAAAACTGACTTTTTAAGAAAAAAAATCTTGACAAAATCGCTAAACCAGAAATATTCTTTACCAAAGTCTTGGATGAGGGTTGTCCTCAATAAATTGTGAAGCATCTTCAATTCCAACTTTTTCAATAAGAGCCCGGCTGTCTCTCAAAGATCTGATCTCAAAGTTAATCAGGCTGTCTTTGTTGGGTCGGTCTGGGTCCTGTAAAAATATAAAAATATAAAAACACATATTTACAGATCAGCTACTGTGTATTGTGATCATGAGTGTTTTTGCTTTGCCTTCATGATTTCATCCAGCAGCACAGACTTGATCTCCAGGTCCTCAAAGTTGCAGATGTACCCAGACGTTTGGATCGGTTCCTTGATAAAAGGGAAGTGTTATTTAAAACCCACAACAACTTTTATAAATCACAAATCAAATAAAGCTCTCACCTCTGGGTCCAGATTTCGAATAACATACATCCTGGTCTTCTCCATCATGGCAAACAGGTCTGGATTGTCCTTGGCCCACTTCATGTCCCACACATCCTTTCGCTCAAACTTGGAGGGGTCTCCGGCAGCACCAGGGTCACTTTTATCCTCACTCCGCACGTCCAGGTCCAGAAGAGTCAAAACGCCGGCGATGTCAATGACCGCCAGACGACTGAGGAAGTGACAGTTTCAACATCACAAGACAATCCCTGACTATCTTAAAGAGCGACTAAACACCTGCGCCCAGCCTGACTCCGCCCACATGAATATTTGAAAAAAAAATCTAAAAAGGGCGTTGCCTGAAGGACCAAGGGACAAGAAGGGGGGCTTAGAGCTGGGCGTGGTCTGGGCTGTGATTGACAGCTCACTAGTCACACAAATAAAAACAGACAGTTGTCATTGCAGCTTAAAGCAATAGTTTATACACCAGAAAGTCTCATTCCACCCTTGTTTACACACCTGAACCTAATCCACAGAATTATCTCAGCAGCAGTGGTTGTCAACTCGTGTAATTTGATTTTAATCCACTAGATGTCGCCAGAAAACTCCAACCTGCTGCTGGGGCGTGTGTGAGACTTGGATGCTTTTATACCACAGGCTCAGAGTGACGTCACACATACAAAATGACGTCACACAGAATTACAGAGTCAACGGCGAGGCCAGGACCAAATTCCAATGTAGTACCACCGAAAAGGTAGAGAGGGCACCACACAGACCTTTTAGGCTCAAAGGTGAGATTTTATCTAATTTGCACTAAAATGTCACCAGGACATGAGCACTGTAAGAGACTATAAGAGACATATTTATGCAGTTTATGAGTTTAAAAAAGTGTATTTGGTGTTTAGTCGCTCTTAAATGACTCGACTGTGTACCTGGAGTGGCAGTTCATGGAGAGAGAGTAGGATCTGTTGTTTAAAGTGTATTTCTGCACCAGTCCAACTTGTGGAAGAGCGTATCGGTGGATTACTCCAGACTCACGGCCCTGAAAATAACAAATCATCAATCAATTAACTGATACCTTTTCCTTTGTATCAATAAAAGTATTAAAATGTCCTTACAATAATCAGCGTCTTGTCTGAAGCCGTAATGGCACAAATTGGATCCGGAGTTGACTGGAACATAATAATTATTATTATTAGGTGGGGAGGAGGTGGAGAGGTGGTGGGGAGGAGGTGGGTAGGAGGTGGAGAGGTGGTGGGGGAGGAGGTGGAGAGGAGGTAGAGAGGAGGTGGTCAGGAGGTGGAGAGGAGGTGAGGAGGAGGTGGTCAGGAGGTGGAGAGGAGGTGGTCAGGAGGTGGAGAGGAGGTGGGGAGGAGGTGGAGAGGAGGTGGTCAGGAGGTGGAGAGGAGGTGGTCAGGAGGTGGAGAGGAGGTGGGGAGGAGGTGGGGAGGAGGTGGGGGGAGGAGGTGGTCAGGAGGTGGAGAGGAGGTGGTCAGGAGGTGGAGAGGAGGTGGAGAGGAGGTGGTCAGGAGGTGGGGAGGAGGTGGTCAGGAGGTGGAGAGCAGGTGGAGAGGTGGGGAGGAGGTGGAGAGGAGGTGGTCAGGAGGTGGAGAGGAGGTGGAGAGGAGGTGGTCAGGAGGTGGAGAGGAGGTGGTCAGGAGGTGGAGAGGAGGTGGGGAGGAGGTGGAGAGGAGGTGGTCAGGAGGTGGAGAGGAGGTGGTCAGGAGGTGGAGAGGAGGTGATCAGGAGGTGGAGAGGAGGTGGGGAGGAGGTGGGGAGGAGGTGGAGAGGAGGTGGTCAGGAGGTGGAGAGGAGGTGGTCAGGAGGTGGAGAGGAGGTGGAGAGGAGGTGGTCAGGAGGTGGGGAGGAGGTGGTCAGGAGGTGGAGAGCAGGTGGAGAGGTGGGGAGGAGGTGGAGAGGAGGCGGAGAGGAGGTGGAGAGGAGGTGGAGAGGAGGTGGGGAGGAGGTGGAGAGGAGGCGGAGAGGAGGCGGAGAGGAGGTGGTCAGGAGGTGGGGAGGAGGTGGTCAGGAGGTGGAGAGCAGGTGGAGAGGTGGGGAGGAGGTGGAGAGGAGGTGATCAGGAGGTGGAGAGGAGCTGGGGAGGAGGTGGGGAGGTGGTGGGGAGGAGGTGGAGAGGAGGTGGGGAGGAGGTGGAGAGGAAGTGGTCAGGACGTGGAGAGGAGGTGAGGAGGAGGTGGTCAGGAGGTGGGGATGAGGTGGGGAGGTGGTGGGGAGGAGGTGGTCAGGAGGTGGAGAGGAGGTGGGGAGAAGGTGGGGAGGAGGGAAGCAGGTGGAGAGGAGGTGGGGAGGTGGTGGAGAGGAGGTGGTCAGGAGGTGGAGAGGAGGTGGGGAGGAGGTGGGAAGCAGGTGGAGAGGAGGTGGGGAGGAGGTGGTCAGGAGATGGAGAGGAGGTGAGGAGGAGGTGGTTAGGAGGTGGAGAGGAGGTGGTCAGGAGGTGGAGAGGAGGTGGGGAGGAGGTGGAGAGGAGGTGGGGAGGAGGTGGAGAGGAGGTGGTTAGGAGGTGGTCAGGAGGTGGAGAGGAGGTGGTCAGGAGATGGAGAGGAGGTGAGGAGGAGGTGGTCAGGAGGTGGAGAGGAGGTGGGGAGGAGGTGGAGAGGAGGTGGTCAGGAGGTGGGGAGGAGGTGGAGAGGAGGTGGGGAGGAGGTGGGAAGCAGGTGGAGAGGAGGTGGGGAGGAGGTGGTCAGGAGATGGAGAGGAGGTGAGGAGGAGGTGGTTAGGAGGTGGAGAGGAGGTGGTCAGGAGGTGGAGAGGAGGTGGGGAGGAGGTGGAGAGGAGGTGGGGAGGAGGTGGAGAGGAGGTGGTTAGGAGGTGGTCAGGAGGTGGAGAGGAGGTGGTCAGGAGATGGAGAGGAGGTGAGGAGGAGGTGGTCAGGAGGTGGAGAGGAGGTGGGGAGGAGGTGGAGAGGAGGTGGTCAGGAGGTGGGGAGGAGGTGGAGAGGAGGTGGGGAGGAGGTGGTCAGGAGGTGGTCAGGAGGTGGAGAGGAGGTGGTGGGGAGGAGGTGGTGGTCAGGAGGTGGGGAGGAGGTGGGGAGGAGGTGGTGGTCAGGAGGTGGTGAGGAGGTGGGGAGGAGGTGGAGAGGAGGTGGGGAGGAGGTGGTCAGGAGGTGGGGAGGAGGTGAGGAGGTGGAGACGAGGTGGGGAGGTGGTGGGGAGGAGGTGGTCAGGAGGTGGGGAGGAGGTGGGGAGGAGGTGGTGGTCAGGAGGTGGTGAGGAGGTGGGGAGGAGGTGGTGGGGAGGAGGTGGAGAGGAGGTGGGGAGGAGGTGGTCAGGAGGTGGGGAGGTGGTCAGGAGGTGGGGAGGAGGTGGTGAGGAGGTGGAGACGAGGTGGGGAGGTGGTGGCGAGGAGGGGGTCCGGAGGGGGGGAGGTGGTGAGGAGGTGGAGAGGAGGTGGAGACGAGGTGGGGAGGTGGTGGGGAGGAGGTGGTCAGGAGGTGGGGAGGAGGTGGGGAGGAGGTGGAGACGAGGTGGGGAGGTGGTGGGGAGGAGGTGGAGAGGAGGTGGGGAGGAGGTGGTCAGGAGGAGAGGAGGAGGTGGTCAGGAGGTGGAGAGGAGGTGGGGAGGAGGTGGAGAGGAGGTGGGGAGGAGGTGGAGAGGAGGTGGTCAGGAGGAGAGGAGGAGGTGGTCAGGAGGTGGATGCGGGTTCAACGGCTGTTTGGTGTGCGGCTGCCCGGGGAGTGGATGAAGTTGCTGTGATGACTAGTTTTATGGGGCATAATTTATTTACATTGTTTGCTAGTGTTCGTCTAAATACTTACTGAAAATGCTCTTGTAAAGTCTGGGTCTGTGGCTGGATTATCATCAATGTGATAAACCCTGTGTACACGGGAAAGGCCACAATGTTAGAGGATATTATACATTTTTAAAGGCCAAGACAACCATGGAAATAACAGCAAGACAAAATTATGCAAAAGCCTGAACAAATAAATGTGTTTAAAGTTGACATGAGTTTGATAGAGCTGTGTCTGTGCCCTATAGGAGGCACAGACACAGGAGAGGACAGACCTGGCAGAACATCAGGTCTGGATCCCGAGTGGCATAATTCTGATGCTGAGCTCCAAAAGTCACGTTTATCTATAACCACATGAATTCTCTGAACATTGTAATAATCTTGTTTATTACATTAAACAAATCATTTAAGGAAATTATTTCTTAGGCCAAATACGATTCATCTAAATTACTAGTTTGATCAGTTTCATTTATTGTGGATGTTTTTTATTATATGGAAATTATTCGCTGGTGCATGTCCATATTAGGTCCAGGTTAATTCGTCACAGTTTAGTGTAGAATTTTTAGCCGATGGGACAAAAAAAAAAAATTCTGTTGGGAAAAGCAACATTTATTTATGGAACCAAAAATATGTTAGGTGCTAAGCTTTAAATAGAGAAATCTCTCCTCTACACTGAACCCATCCTTCCAACACCATTAGATAAGATAAGATAAGATTGCTTTATTTATCTCACAGAGGAGAAATTTACATGTCACATTTGGCATGGATAGAGACACTCAGATTGTGCAAAGGAGGAAATGTGCAAACATGTTACATGCAGGATATATGTACAATAAACTGACAATAATTATGTACAACAAAAGTGACAAGTGTCAATTGGAAACAGTGTCAATAGTAGTGCAGGTTTTCACACAGTGATCATTTAAAGTGACTTATTGTACAGTCTGACAGCAGTGGGGATAAAGGCCCTGCGGTAGCGCTCCTTCCTACACTGAGGGTGTCTCAGTCTTCCACTGAAGGAGCTCCTCAGCTCCTCCTCAGTCCTGTGCAGTGGGAGGTGTTGTTCATGATGGAGGTGGCTTTGGCTAGCACCCTCCTGTCCCTCACCTCCTCCACAGAGTCCAGGGGCCTCCTGTCCCTCACCTCCTCCACAGAGTCCAGGGGCCTCCTGTCCCTCACCTCCTCCACAGAGTCCAGGGGCCTCCTGTCCCTCACCTCCTCCACAGAGTCCAGGGAGCAGCCCAGAGTGGAGCTGGCCCCCCTGACCAGCTTCTTCAGTCTGTTTCTGTCCCGCTCTGTGCTGCCCGGGGCCCAGCACACGGCAGCGTAGTAAATGGCAGAAGCTACCACAGAGTCATAAAAAGTCCTGAGCAGAGGCCTGCTCACTCAGAAGGACCTTAGCCTCCTCAGAAGGACCTCAGCCTCAGAAGGACCTCAGCCTCCTCAGAAGGACCTCAGCCTCTTCAGAAGGACCTCAGCCTCTTCAGAAGGATCTCAGCCTCCTCAGAAGGAAGAGGCGACTTTGGCCCTTCTTGTGCAGGGCGTTTGTATTATGGACCAGTCCAGTTTATTGTTAATGTGAACACCCAGGTACTTGAAGCTGTCCACCAGCTCAATGTCCTCCCCCTGGATGTTCAGCAGCGTGTGGGAAAGTGGTTTTCTCCTGAAGTCGATGACCATCTCCTTGGTCTTACTGGTGTTCAAGCACAAGTGGTTGCGCTCACACCAGTCGAAAAAGTCCTTGATAACCGACCGATATTCCAGTTCGTTCCCCTCAGACACACAGCCCACGATGGCGGAGTCGTCAGAGAACTTCTGCAGGTGACAGCTGTGTGTGTCGTGTGTGAAGTCTGAGGTGTAGATGGTGAAGAGAAACGGTGAGAGCTGAGAGGACAGTGCCCTGAGGGGCCCCAGTGCTGCAGACTACCACCTCAGACTCACAGCTGCGCAGCCGCACGTGCTGTGGTCGGTCTGAGAGGTAGTTGATGGTCCATGCAGTGAGGCTACTGTCCACTCCCGCGTCCTCCATCTTCCCCCGCAGCAGTGCCGGCCTGATGGTATTGAAAGCGCTGGAGAAGTCGAAAAACATGACCCTCACAGCGCTCCCGGCGGGCTCCAGGTGGGAGAGCGTCCGCTGCAGGAAGTAGATGACGGCGTCCTCGACTCCGATGTTGGGTCTGTAGGCGAACTGCAGCGGGTCCAGGGTGGGGCTGACCACGGAGCGGAGATGGGTGAGGATGAGCCGCTCCATTGTCTTCATCAGGTGGGAGGTCAGTGCTCCATGGTCTTCATCAGGTGGGAGGTCAGTGCGACTGGTCTGTAGTGAGCCGGTTCCTTGGCGTGTGCTGTTTTTGGGACCGGGATCACACAGGAGGTCTTCCACAGGACAGGGACCTTCTCCAGGCTGAGGCTCAGGTTGTACATGTAGCTGAGGACCCCAGAGAGCTGGTCTGCACAGGTCCTCAGCAGCCTGGGACTGATCCCGTCCGGTCCTGCGGATTTCCTCAGCTTCAGGCGCTGGAGCTGACTCCTCACCTGGTCCGGTGTGATGGAGAGGGGGGGGACTGGGATGTACTGTCCGAGGTGGGGGCTGGGGATGCGGGGGCAGGAGGGCCCGGGGCAGCCGGAGGCAGTGTCCACTGGGCGGTGTCCACTGGGCTGGGGACGTGTGAAGAGGTGGGGGCGGGAGGGGGGGCAGATGGAGAGGGGGGAGAATCAAACCGGTTGAAGTGCTGGTTAAATTCGTCCGCCCAGTGCTGGTCTCCATCTGCTGTTCCTCTGGCACTCTGTCCAAAGCCGGAGATGTTCTTTAGCCCTCTCCACACGTCGCGGGCGTTTCCCTGGGCCAGCTTCTGCTCCAGCTTTTTCCCATAGTCCTTCTTGGCCCTCCTGATCCTCCACTGGAGCTCGTGCTGGATCCTCTTCTGCTCCTCCCTGTCCCCTGAGATGAAAGCCCTTTTCTTGAGGTTCAGGAGGGCTTTAAGCTCAGGGGTCACCCATGGGTGGTTGTTAGAAAAACACCGCACCTTAGTTGGTACAGTGTTATCCACACAGAAGAGAATATAGTCTGTAATGCAGTGTGTCAGGCTCTCGATGTCCTCACCATGAGAGCTGCAGATCATTTCCCAATCAGTGTTTTGAAAACAGCGGGCGACAGTAGCTCAGTTGGTAGAGCATTGGCTTTCAGGCCTGAAGGTCGTGGGTTCAATTCCCACCTCTACACCTTCTCCACCGACTCCCACTGATGACTGCTGTCGTTGTGTCCTTGGGCAAGACACTTAACCCCACTTTGCCCAAAGCCCCCACTGAAAGATCAAGGCTATGCTCACACTCAGAGAGCAGCTGTCCTCCTGTGGACTCACCACCTGCAGAGGGTCAGTGAGGGGCTGGTGCTATGAGACTTGGGTGGCATCTCTGATTGCCACCCCCCTGACCCAGAAATGGATTAAAGGGTAGAAAATGGATGGATGGATGGATGTTTTGAAAACAATCTCTCAGCATCTCATCCACATCATCGCTCCACACTTTTACAATCCTCTTCTGCGCTGGATTTCTTCTCACCACTGGTGTGTATTCCGGAGACAGACGGACCAGGCTGTGATCAGAGCGTCCGAGAGGGGGGAGGGGGGAGGAGGCGTATGCGTCCCGGACATTAACACACAGTAGGTCCAGAGTCTTATTGCCACGAGTTGGGCACGTGACATACTGTTTGAATGTCGGGAGAGTGGCGGAGAGGGAGGCGTGGTTAAAGTCTCCGCTGATCAGAATCAGAGCGCGGGGACTGCGGGTCTGGATCTGGGTCACAGTTCTGTGCATCTCCTCACATGCTGCAACTGCGTCTGCTGACGGGGGGATGTAGGCACATAGAACCACGGTGTGTGAAAACTCCCGCGGCAGATGCCTGGGTCTCATGCTCACAGCGAGCAGCTCCAGGTCCCGTGTGCATGTGCGCTGGACCACATGCACGTGCGTCGGGATGCACCACTGTTCGTTCACGTAGACCGCGACACCCCCAACTTTGCTCTTCCCACTCCCCTCCGCGCAGCGGTCCGCTCGCACAAGTTTAAATCCCTCCAGCGCGACCACAGAGTCCGGTATATTCCCACACAGCCACGTCTCAGCGAAACACATAAGTCCACATTGTCTGTACTCTCTTTGATGGCGGACCAGTGCGGTCAGCTCCTCAGTCTTATTAGAGATGGACCGTACGTTCCCCATGATGATGGAGGGGAGATACGGTCTCCTCTTTCTCTTTCGGCCTCCTCTGGAGCCCCTGCGTCTCCTACGGATCTCCAAGGGGATCACCGGCTTCTCTGAGTGCCGGAAAGCGGAGTCTCTAAGTCCGAGAAGCTGCTCCCGTGTGTAAACAATGGGACACGCTGGTCTCGTGGCTCTGTGAGCGGAGAACTCAGAAAAAAGTGCCGAAGTCATGTTAATCCAGTGCGAAGGTCCACGAGGCTAGGCTTCCCGTGTGCACAATGCACAAATAAACACTTGTCTACGAAAATAAAAAATAAAATAACACATCTACAAGAAATAAATAGAGAAAGGGTCGGAAAGAGAAGAGAGCCAAAGTGACAAGCTGCACAGCGGGAGCTGGCGCCGGAAGACCTGGGCGCCAGCATATGTTTAGGGCGAAACATAGTGGTTATAGGGGATCGAACCTGCGACCATCTTGTTGTGAGGCTACAATAATAATGCATCGGTTTTATACAGCACTTTTTATCACACGGTGGTGATAAACTACTGTAGCCACAGCTGCCCTGGGGCATACTGACAGAAGCGAGTCTGTGCCATCGGCCCCTCCCACCACCACCAACCATTCACACACAAACCAGACTCATTCTAATGTGGGGGAAGTGTCTTGCCTGAGGACACAACGGCAGTTTGGCACTTTACAGCCACAGCCGCCCCACTGTGGCACCCAGAGGTTTAGTGTCTTGCCCAAGGACACATCAAACACAAAGTAAAATACATCAAGCCTTTATTTGTAATGTTAATAATTGACTCAAAATAAAACATCTCTACAACCAAACAAATATCTAGAATATTTTAAACATGGTATAATTTCAAAACGATAACAAAGGCTTGGTGTAAGTCACTTTGCATGAGTCCATATCATTGCTTTCACCTGTATGTGTTGCTAACGTGTTTTCGATTCCAACTTTTCTCTTTTTGGCAGCGTAACTGCTGCAGATACGCACCTCTCGCGCCCCTTCTTCTTCGTCTTGGCCACTTGATTTATTTCTAGAGCAGTTAATTTCTTTGCCACTCTGTATTGCCATAAGTAAAATGCTTCTTTGGATGCAGCAATCACGTGGGTTTTAGTCATCGTGACGTAAAACGGATCTAAACAGGAACAAAATATTAACAGTTGAATTATATAACGAGTGATTTCATGAACGAGATGCAGACGAACCCGCAGAGACAGTCGACCTCCCTCTAATTTTGCACCCTGCACATATTTACTATACGCTACTCCTACTTCAAATCTACAGACTTTGAAGCCTCTTGGCCAGCCCTCTTCCTCAAACAGAGCACTGTTTAGGTCAGAATATTGCATATCTGTGGCATGCAGTAAAACGCTGCCCGGTGGTTACATACTATTTGCATTATGCTCCTGTTGCGTCATAACATCCAGGAAAACTTCAGCTCCATACAGACGGTGCGAAAACTATTATTGACATGAAATTTAGCACAAAGTCTGGCCATTAATGTAAACATGTGGAGGCAGAGAGTCATGATGGAGGATTTGATTTGTGATGCATTCAAAGCCATTCGACGTCTCACCGATGTCGATGTATTTTGAGTCCTGTGGCGTTCCAATGGAGTTGCAAAGAATCAAGACAAACTGGGAAAACAAAATATTTAAACATGAAAAGCCAAGACAACTTAAAGTTACAGTCAGTGATTTTTTTCCAGACGCATTTTTTCCAAATATTGTGGGAAAATGTCCCTAAACCATAAAAGTATCAAGTTATCATGTGTTTTCCAGTAGTAATGGAATTGACCAGATGTCTATAGTCTGCGAATATTAATAAAACATATTTTGGAGCGGACCGATAAAAATGAACCAATGGGATTCGTTCATCTCCAACGAACCAATGGGATGCGTTTACCGCCTTCAGCCTCTTCCTGTTTCTCTGAGTGCACCGGAGTTATCGGATTTTCTAAAACCTAAAATGGCTGAACAGAAAATGCCAATTTCACGTTTGCTTCACTCTCCCTGTGACAAAGGAAAGAAAATGCTGGATGTTTGGTTTGGTGGAGAGGGAGGGGAGGGGGGAGTGGTTTGTTGGAGGGGAGGGGAGGGGGGAGTGGTTTGTTGGAGGGGAGGGGGGAGTGGTTTGGTGGAGAGGGAGGGGAGGGGGGAGTGGTTTGTTGGAGGGGAGGGGAGGGGGGAGTGGTTTGGTGGAGAGGGAGGGGAGGGGGGAGTGGTTTGGTGGAGAGGGAGGGGAGGGGGGAGTGGCTTGGTGGAGAGGGAGGGGAGGGGGGAGTGGCTTGGTGGAGGGGAGGGGGGAGTGGTTTGGTGGAGAGGGAGGTGAGGGGGGAGTGGTTTCCAGTTGGCGCTACGGCTAAGCTAACACCTTTAACAATATGTATATTTAAGACGGGTTTATTCAAAAATTACCCGTGAGTTATGTCCAGGTTCGGCCTCAGAATCCTCCTGCACAAAACAAAAACAATTCGGTTTTCTTCCCCTTACTGTATATTACACATATTTCTCTGTGTCTTGTTGTTTGTACCTGACATTGGCTGTCATCTGCTTTACTGGCCAGGATGCAGAAATCTCCCGATGTGGTAATGGACATAAGACTCTTGACATATTTGACAAACTTTTCATTGTTTTTTGTGTCCCAGAACACCACACAATACTCCTGTCGCTCTGGTTTTGTGTAGGCATAGACCACCGTACTGCAACAATAGCCCCACTATAACACAGAAGAGGCGTCTGAGTGCAAACAAAAGCTTTGACTTCCAGTTTATTATCATGATTTGAAATGACTTACTTTATAATCGGGTCGTATGTTTGCAAAGTAAATGTAGGAGTCCACAGCCAAAGCAATGCGCAGGCCGCCTCCTTCCCAGGCCACTCCGGTCATCTGCTTCCCGGGGACCTTCAGTGTCCGGAGATGCTGAATAAGAAGAACACACAGCAGACCACACTTTCATTACAACATTGATGATATTTTTACAATTTAGATTTAACATAAAATCAATTTCCTGCTGAAGATATGTTTAGATGGCCCTGGTTGGTCATGGGCAGCAAAGCAGGAGAGGTGGATGTACTGTCAAAGCTGGTTTCATTTACACAATACTGATGAATTGGCAAGAAAAGCAAATAGATATTGTGTAAATCTTGTTAAAACCGTCAGAATAATGTGTTTCTTGTGTATTTATGACATTTTAGGATGGATTGCATTTTCTATTTATTTCATACAACATTTTTGTTTCTTGTTGATATATTTTGCAAGGATATTATTAAATGTCCCACAGTCATAAACAAGCAAAAAAGTTAACAGTCACACCAACTTCAAAGATACAAAATAAATAATTATTTTTCTACTTTTCTGGTTTTTCTTAACATTTTAACATGGAGAAAATGTGTTTTATCATTACTTCGTATTTCCATGATATCAGCCAAACTGCACTGTCACTTTAACTTAACTGCCTTTTATAATAGTTCTATAGACATGATTGGTTTCATGCTTACCGCTCCAAACGGTGTATAAAATTGAACCACATTCAATTCCTTCTCCATATTTGCAGTTCTGAGGCCTCCAGCCACAGCCAGGACACTGCCACAATGATTCCACTGGATACTGACCACATTCATCATCGTGTCAATGAACACGGGATCTGCAGCAACAGACAGATGTCACTCTTTACAGCCAAGTCTTTCATTGTAGCGACTGTTTGCTAATATTTTCTTACTTTCATCATTCTCATAGCTCATAATCTGACATTTCCCATTGTCGAAGCAGATGGCCAAGCACGGGCAGTCCGGCTCAATGTAACCTCCTGCTCCAGCATACCAGTGGATCCCTGCGATACTCACGGCTCCAGTGGTATTTGTCAGACAAGAAATAGTCATTTTCATCTGCAGACAAACAGTAGAGTCATAAATTGGCTGTTTCTGATTAAAGAATATAATCCATATAATGACTACAGAGCCATTAGTGCACTCACAATGAAGTTCCCTTGATTGTCATAGATGTGCACTTCTCCGTTGGCCATTCCAAACAGCAGGATTTTGCTGTCGGGCGACCAAGCTACATGAGCAAGTTGATTTCCCTTTAATTCTTTTCCCCAAATGCGGTTACCTACATCATAATATTACTTTGATTATATACATGATATTGTGAGCATACTTTTTTGGTAAACTGGTTACCATCTACAGATCCGACTATAACTGCTCCGTCTTCGTACACAATGCAGATCTTCTGACCATCTGCGTTCCAGCTCATGCTCCTCACCACAGACTTGTTTCTATTGTTGATCATCTCTTCATACCAAGCACCTGTGACACAAAATAACATCAGGAAGTTGCATTCTGCCAAATTCTATACATATATTATAATTGACTACAAGCCACCTTTATACAGCATCCACACAATTATGAGACCATTTTGGTCACTTGTGGTCAGTTTTTCATATTGTTCATTCCAGGTAATAACTTGTACAGCTCCTGAAAAAGAGGCAATTGAAAATGCTTTCGGTGTTTTACCAAAGACGCCTGAGCTTTCTACAAACAGGGAATAGTGTGGACTCACCACTGTGTCCTTCCAAACCTTGGTTCATTGAGAGATTACTGGGGGCAGCAAGACCTTTGAGTCTGGCGTCATCTGTCAAAATGTAATGAATAAAACTGTCAAAAGAGTGATGTGGTCTGTGGGCTATTTAGTCTGAGCAAGAGGATATTTAGAACATGGTGATTACTGGAAAAAAGTGCACAAGGTGGTACCATTTGTTGCTGCAATAACAGAACAATGCAAAAAGGCTTAAACAAGATTGGTTTCATGTTGAGACACAACAGAAAAATCTTAATCACATTGAAAAGCGTTATGCAAATCAAATCACAGCCACTGTTTGATTCAACACATATAGCTACAGAAATACATGATATAGTTAGAAATCTTCTTTGCATAATCACAATAAAACATTTGTAGGGATAATAAAACAAAAAAATAGCTATAGTAATTGTAAACAACAGTTCTTACCTGTTTGACTGTCTAACTTGAGGACACGAAGAAGACCATCATCTCCTCCACAGGCAATAAACCCTTGGTCTTTGTTCCAGGACACACATTTTAGATTAATGTGGTTGGGTATGGCAATCTATATCACAAGTGCACATGTTAACACATCATTTAGAGAATGATTGAAACGACAAATGCGTAAAAGGTAAAACCAGCTCACCTTCTTACTGAGGTAAATAAACATTATGGACCCAGAGTGTTAATCTAAAGTCGGTATTTTATCAGAAAAGCTCAGCCTATCATATCAACTGACGCTAACACAGCTAGCTTAAGTGGCTAACTAATCATCTGTTTAGTACGTGCACGTGCAGACTGACGTAATGTTAGACTGTTAATACAACTGTAAAATAAAACCAGACGTCCTTGAAGTTAAATTCCTTATTTTAGCGCAGTTTGAGCTCCATGGTTTTGCCAGGGTAGCTTCCGCTCGTCTCCCGTGGTAACCGTAACCGGAAGCACGTGTCAAATGGATTGTGGGAAATGTAGTCTTGGCTGGTATCTTCTTCTTAGTGCGTTTTGGCCATAGTTTTGGCAAGTGACACTCAACTTAAAAATACATTTTCGCCAACTGCTGTATCGGAATGTGAACTAAAGGTACATTATGCTAATTACCTGGGGTAACACATAATAATAATAATAATAAATAACAAAAACTCTCCTCATGAGTCCTGAATCTGTAAAAAACTCATTGATCTTTTTCACCTTCACTGTTTGTAAACTCCAACCCCGCTCTTTTATATCCAGCTTAATCATGTGTCTGGACCTACAACAATCACTTCATGCTCTACAGATTCTACCTCCTCGAATGGAAACTCGGATCATGCTATGTTTTGGAATATTTACAATCTATGTTTTGGAATGGACCCTGTGATGAGTAGTCTCTTCTTTTGTGCCTTTGTGAGACTAATATAAATACTAAATAAATAAATGTATTCAACAACCTGTATCATAAATACACACATGTAATAATATCAGACACATATTGTTCAGATGAGTTTATTCAAAGTGAGAACATGTCTAAGAGTCTGTCTAAGAAAAAAGGCCTAATACAAATCCACTAATTCTGCAAATGGTGACACAGATTTTTTTAAACAAATAAAACATATTATTCATTATTAGTATTATTAATATTGATTTACAACAACCAGTTTATACACTGTTCCACAATAGATGATATTTGTAAAAGGTTAGTTGATAACATTTATACACGCAGCGATCGGGTAAGATTCATATATTTGCACATTTTGTTTTCCTTTCGATACAAGACACAATTATTAGTATTTATAAAGATTGGTCTTGATCCATCAATACTGTGGGGTGTCCTCAATCAGGTTCACTTTGCTGGAAAGTTCATCAAGTATTTGCGGGTCAAGGAAAATGTCATATCTACAAATAGGGTGATGTATCAAGAAGTTGGGTGTCATATGAAGAAGTTGGGTGTCATATCAAGAAATTGGTCGATGTATCAAGAAGTTGGGCGTCATATCAAGAAGTTTGGAGTGATATATCAAGAAGTTGGGCGTCATATCAAGAAGTTGGGTGATATATCAAGAAGTTATGTGTCATATCAAGAAGTTGGGTGTCATATCATGAAGTTGGGTGTCATATCAAGAAGTTGGTCGATGTATCAAGAAGTTGGGTGTCATATCAAGAAGTTGGGCGTCATATCAAGAAGTTGGGCGTCATATCAAGAAGTTGGGTGATATATCAAGAAGTTATGTGTCATATCAAGAAGTTGGGCGTCATATCAAGAAGTTGGGTGATATATCAAGAAGTTATGTGTCATATCAAGAAGTTGGGTGTCATATCAAGAAGTTGGGTGTCATATGAAGAAGTTGAGTGATATATCAAGAAGTTGGGCGTCATATCAAGAAGTTGGGTGATATATCAAGAAGTTATGTGTCATATCAAGAAGTTGGGTGATATATCAAGAAGTTATGTGTCATATCAAGAAGTTGGGTGTCATATCAAGAAGTTGGTCGATGTATCAAGAAGTTGGGTGTCATATCAAGAAGTTGGTCGATGTATCAAGAAGTTTGGCGTCATATCAAGAAGTTGGGTGATATATCAAGAAGTTATGTGTCATATCAAGAAGTTGGGTGTCATATCAAGAAGTTGGGTGTCATATCAAGAAGTTGGGTGTCAAATCAAGAAGTTGGGTGTCATATCAAGAAGTTGGGTGTCATATCAAGAAGTTGCGTGTCATATCAAGAAGTTGGGTGATATATCAAGAAGTTATGTGTCATATCAAGAAGTTGGGTGTCATATCAAGAAGTTGGGTGTCATATCAAGAAGTTGGGTGTCATATCAAGAAGTTGGGTGATATATCAAGAAGTTGGGTGTCATATCAAGAAGTTGGGTGATATATCAAGAAGTTGGGTGTCATATCAAGAAGTTGGGTGATATATCAAGAAGTTGGGTGATATATCAAGAAGTTGGGTGTCATATCAAGAAGTTGGGAGTGATATCAAGAAGTTGGGTGATATATCAAGAAGTTATGTGTCATATCAAGAAGTTGGGTGTCATATCAAGAAGTTGGGTGTCATATCAAGAAGTTGGGTGTCATATCAAGAAGTTGGGTGTCAAATCAAGAAGTTGGGTGTCATATCAAGAAGTTGGGTGTCATATCAAGAAGTTGGGTGTCATATCAAGAAGTTGGGTGATATATCAAGAAGTTATGTGTCATATCAAGAAGTTGGGTGTCATATCAAGAAGTTGGGTGTCATATCAAGAAGTTGGGTGTCATATCAAGAAGTTGGGTGATATATCAAGAAGTTGGGTGTCATATCAAGAAGTTGGGTGATATATCAAGAAGTTGGGTGTCATATCAAGAAGTTGGGTGATATATCAAGAAGTTGGGTGATATATCAAGAAGTTGGGTGTCATATCAAGAAGTTGGGAGTGATATCAAGAAGTTGGGTGATATATCAAGAAGTTGGGTGTCATATCAAGAAGTTGGGTGTCATATCAAGAAGTTGGGAGTGATATCAAGAAGTTGGGTGATATATCAAGAAGTTGGGTGTCATATCAAGAAGTTGGGTGATATATCAAGAAGTTGGAAGTGATATCAAGAAGTTGGAAGTGATATATCAAGAAGTTGGGTGATATATCAAGAAGTTGGGTGTCATATCAAGAAGTTGGGTGATATATCAAGAAGTTGGGTGTCATATCAAGAAGTTAGGTGTCATATCAAGAAGTTAGGTGTCATATCAAGAAGTTGGGAGTGATATCAAGAAGTTGGGTGATATATCAAGAAGTTGGGTGTCATATCAAGAAGTTGGGTGATATATCAAGAAGTTGGAAGTGATATCAAGAAGTTGGAAGTGATATATCAAGAAGTTGGGTGATATATCAAGAAGTTGGGTGTCATATCAAGAAGTTGGGTGATATATCAAGAAGTTGGGTGTCATATCAAGAAGTTAGGTGTCATATCAAGAAGTTAGGTGTCATATCAAGAAGTTGGGAGTGATATCAAGAAGTTGGGTGATATATCAAGAAGTTGGGTGTCATATCAAGAAGTTGGGAGTGATATCAAGAAGTTGGGTGATATATCAAGAAGTTGGGTGTCATATCAAGAAGTTGGGTGATATATCAAGAAGTTGGGTGTCATATCAAGAAGTTGGGTGTCATATCAAGAAGTTTGGAGTGATATATCAAGAATTTGGGTGTCATATGAAGAAGTTGGGTGATATATCAAGAATAGAAAAGACAGACACACATCCAATCCAACTCTTATGTGATGCCGGGTATACAGTAACGGTAAAAAGGATATTTTTTTGAGTCAAATCTTGAATTGTTGACTGAACTTTCTTCTGAAAAACGATCTGAGCTTCACACATGCAGGCGTCTTGGGTGGTTTCAGCCCTCATTTCCTCTAAAAACATACACATTATTTAAGAGTTCACATGTAGTACTAACTTTCACATTCATGGATCATAGACTTGTGTTGATAATTGGGTATTGTTAGTGTCAATTTTATGATGAATTAGATTTTTATTGTCTAAGGAAAGCACAAAAGTCTTAAAACATATACTGTATATTATAGAAACAAAAACATTGGCCTTGTTGAAACTCCGCTCTTGGGGACTGAAAAACAGACAACACATGTTTAGTATTTGGCATTAGATTCAGATTATAGTCACATTTATCCACCGACACCTGCTGCAGTGTCTGTGTGCAACTGTGTTCTTCACTGATTATTATCATCAGCTAAATAACTGTAAATTATCTTGTACTTTCCAACAGCTTGTCTTTCTTTGTAGCCAATAGTCTCGGAAGCACAAATCCAGCTGAACACATGATGTGGATCCAGAGCAAAGAATCGGCCAAGATAGTGTTTAACGTTTTCTGCTACTTAAAGATGTAGTCAGTGATTTTTTCCAGACGTATTATTTAAAATATTGTGGAAAACGTCCCTAAATCATAAAAGTATCAAGTATCATGAGTTTTCAAATATTAATGGAATTGACCAGATGTCTATAGTCTACAGACATTAATACAAAATATTTTGGAGCGGAGCAATAAAAATGAACCAATGGGATGTGTTTACCCCCTTCACCCACTTCCTGTTTCTCAGAGTGCACCGGAGTTATCGGATTTTCTAAAACCTAAAATGGCTGAACAGAAAATGCCATTTTCATGTTTGCTTCACTCTCCCTGTGACAAAGGAAAGAAAATGCTGGATGTTTGGTTTGGTGGAGAGAGAGGGGAGGGGGGAGTGGTTTGGTGGAGAGGGAGGGGAGGGGGGAGTGGTTTGGGGGAGAGGGAGGGGAGTGGTTTGGTGGAGAGGGAGGGGAGGGGGGAGTGGTTTCTAGTTGATGCTACGGCTAAGCTAACAACATTGCTTACTGCACCTTATACCTGATTTTTTGATAATTCTCACACTTATGGATAAACTGGTGTGTCTGTCGTGAGCATGTTTTGAATCCTACTCAGACTGGTCGATAAATAAAAGAAAGAAAAATAAACATTTCTTACGTGAGCATGTTTTCTGGTCCACATTCAGCACGTATCCAGGCCAGCACGTGCACGTGTACGAGCTCTCGTTGTTCACGCATATGTGCTGACAGTCATGTCCGTTGGCACAAGCATTCCCTAAGGATCCTGTACAGAAGAAGAGGAGACTTCCAATATCATAAAGGCACAAGCACACTGAAGTTCAGAACGGGGTCATTCACTTTACATTAAATAATCCAGCAAAGCAAACCACACAAAAAACTTGGACATGCGAGGTAGGCAGAATAGTGTGGATTATTAGATTAGCAGATTTTTATAGAAGAAAGTAAGTAAGTAATCGTTATTGATATGGCGTCTTTCTCAGACCAGAGTCAAAGCAGTTTACAATTGTGGGCATTAGTCTGTCACTCCACAGAGATGGGAGGGGCCAGTACAGGAGGCACAGACCTATTGTACATGTTTTTAGTGGTAGTGGAAATCGGAGCACCCGGAGGAAACGTACACAAACACGGGGAGAACATGCAAACTCCACTCAGAAAGGCCCTGTTCCGACCAGGGTTCGAACCAGAACCTTCTTGCTGAGAAGCGAGAGTGCTAGTCCTTAGAAAACAGGAGATTGTTTTCTAATTTAACCCCGGTGCAAAAAGCAGAAATACTTAGTGAGAATCCAAACTTTCTATACAGAGACCTGGCTTTCAATAAACGTTTCTTGATATACTTTTTTCTTATTTTTTTAATTTACACAATTTAGGTGTGTTATCGGTTTTATGATTATTATTTCTCTTTGGCTGTTTTACGTCCAATTTCTCACAAAAATATGGCGCCTAAAGGGTTAAGTTCAGGACACACTCTGGTTCATGACAAAAAGCTAAGAAGGAGACACAAATTGGAATACCTAAGGCCTCACGTGAGCAGGTTTTCTGATCTGCATTTAACACATATCCACCGTGACACTTGCAGATGTGCGAGTTGTTATTTCTGACACAAATGTGTTGGCATTTGTGTCCAAGGCCACAGAGATTAGAACCTGCAAATACATGATCACTGAAAACATTACAAACTGTAGAACATGTGTCGGAGCTATTGTTTTGTCTGTCTGTTCCTAATAATCTAAATCCATAATGTTCTAGAGCTGGGGTCTCCAACCTGTGGCTCGGGAGCTACCTGTAGCTCGCCAGCTCCTTTCAGGTAGCTCCCCAAAGGATTTAGAATTTAACAAATGATCCTGAATGATTCACTTTTGAGACATCACAATCTAATCTATTATTAGTGTAAATATACGGTTACACAGTATTATGGTTTATATTTTTACATCTGTTTTACATGTTTTATCATACATATTACATAGACTTCATTTACGACTGAAAAAGTAAATAAGGTTTATTTATATAGCACATTTTTACAGACCAAGGTCACCCAAAGCACTTTACAATTGTTCAGAGTTCAGATATAGTTCCATTCTCTCCACACACGGTGATGACAGAATCGGGTCAGCGAACACACTGGTCCATCACAGCCTCCGACCAAACACCCTCCATCACCCATTACATTCAGACCTACTGTACATGTTTTTAGTGGTAGGGGAAACCTACACAGACACGGGGAGAACATGCAAACTCCACTCAGAAAGGCCATGTTCCGAAAAAGATTCGAAACCAGGACCTTCTTTCTGAGAAGTAAAGATTGAAAAAGGTTGGAGACCCCTGCTCTAGAGAAACACAAATGAATCCTATTTAAAAATGACTTCTCCATAAGAACACTGTAACCTGGCAACCCTGACATAAGGCACCCTTTAATCATCATAAGAGAGTTCTTACTTGCGCATGTTTTCCCGTCTGGATTTAAAGCAAATCCGTCACGACACTTGCAAACGTACGACTGGTCTGTTTTGATACAGATGTGCTGGCAATGTCCGAGATCACATGTGTTCAAACCTGAAAAATGCAGGGGTTTCGAATGTGTCAGTTTCCCTGTGTCAGCATCATGACAAATCTACACCAGCCTCTACATCACAGGTGTCAAAGTCAAGGCCCGGGGGCCAGATCCGGCCCGCGAGACCATTTCCAGTGGCCCTTGAGATGATTTTAAATAATTATATTAAATAGCAGCATAAATGGCATCTTATCCATTACTAAGAAAACAACCATAACATTTACTTCCATAAGAAATAAAGGAATTCCCAATTTTCAAAGGAAAGAACCGCCCTCTCCACTTTTTGAACAAAACCGTATTTGAGGATCACAAACCACCAGAATGACCACTGGGAGGAGCCATAATCTTGATGATCCACCCAAAAGTATAAAATCTTATACCTTCAATATTTCGTCCAGTTCTGGTTCAGTCCAAAGTAACTGAACTAATTCTAATCAGAAAAGAATGTCCAATCTAACTAGGGTGAAACAAGTCATTTATATAGATACTTTCATATTCCAAAAAAAATTAATAAATGAAACCCCTCTTATTGTTTCGGCCCCTGACCAGCCCTTTCTTTTTTTATTCGGCCCTAAATCAAAATAAGTTTGACACCCCTGCTCTACATGAACGATAAAAAGCAGAAAAAAACAGTTAAACATATACGGCACACCCAGATTTATGAGCGTACGTTTGGTCTGTATTTAACACAAATCCCTCTCGACACTACCCTGGTCTTATCCATCCGTACTCTCAGGTCCATCATCATGTCCTGTATGTAACGTCTGGGTCTGGTCTCTGTGTTTGTGATTACAATCGTTTGAATTCCATCCGACCAATCAGAGAGCGCGGGAGGCGGGTGTTGTAGTTAGATGTGGGTGACGTCAAGAGTTTGCGCTGAACGAGCAGGTTGTAGTTTGGCAAAGAATGTGATAGTAAAGTAATCTGGTCTGGTTCTATCAAGAAACTGAAGCTGGAGCAAGAGGAATGTTTAGCAAATGTAATCGCTGCAAAAATTGTGGCGTTACTCCCCACGGGCTCCGTTAGCGGCAAAGGAAATGGCTAAAGCTAGGCTAAATGCTAAACGCTAACAACTCACTCGGGCTCATTACATACGTCACAGTAAACTCAGATCCAATCGTTTCAATCATGCAGAGTTAACCCCTCCCACCTGTTTACAGAGTCAATGGAGCAAATCCAGACCTTAGTATGAAATGAAACTAGTACTATGGTGTGGTACGACCAGGCTACCTCAACACTGACAGGAGTAAGAAGCATCAGCGCTGACACAGATCTGATCACATTCATGGCCCAAGATACACAAATCCAAACCTGAGACAGTTGGTTGTGTGTTTTCTCTATTGTGCACAGTGTAGAAATAGAGAATGAAACAAAACACTGCATTTCACCTCAAAACATAACATTTAAAAAGCATCAGTGGCAGCACAAACAGTTCTCCTCATTTGCATTCAGAGTTCTCACGTGAGCATGTCTTCTTGTCCGGGTTCAGGACAAAGCCAGAGCGGCACTTGCAGGAGAAGGAGCTGCCGTTATTGACACAGACATGTTGGCAGTCATGGCCGCCACCGCAGGGATCCACACCTGCAGCACAAACCCTCACATTTGATTGGCTTAGAGGTTAGACAATCAGCACACCTGATGTAAACGCAGTTATGTTAGTTTGGGAAAGATGGAGCATGCAAAGCAGCTTCATTGCTATGCAGAATATGTTAGTGGCTGTTTGTAAATGACATAACAGTCATTTCCAACCGTGCGGCGACAGACCAGAGCCCGAAGACCAGGACTTACATACTATACTGACACATATATACAGATACTGACACATATATACAGATACTGACACATATATACAGATACTCTGAATATAACTAATATTATAAAAATATATAACACTTTAAACTATAACCATAGATCAATAAGTTCAAATAAATGGTAATGAAATCCACTCAGATTTACTTTCCTGCTTGTATTTGAATGCTCTCTCTCTCTCTCTCTCTCTCTATCTCTGTCTCTCTCTCTGTCTCTCTCTCTCTCTCTCTCTCTCTCTGTCTCTGTCTCTGGCTCTCTCTCTGTTTCTCTGGCTCTCTCTCTGGCTCTATCTCTCTATCTCTCTCTCTTGCTCTGTCTCTCTCTCTCTCTCTCTCTGGCTCTCTCTCTCTCTTGCTCTGTCTCTCTCTGGCTCTCTCTCTCTCTCTCTCTCTCTGCCTCTCTCTCTCTCTGTCTCTCTCTCTCTGCCTCTCTCTCTCTCTCTCTCTCTCTGCCTCTCTCTCTCTCTGTCTCTCTCTCTCTCTCTCTGCCTCTCTCTCTCTCTCTCTCTCTCTCTGTCTCTCTCTCTCTGTCTCTCTCTCTCTCTCTCTCTGTCTCTCTCTCTCTCTCTCTCTCTCTCTCTCTCTCTCTCTCTCTCTCTCTCTCTCTCTCTGTCTCTCTCTCTCTCTCTCTCTCTCTCTCTCTCTGTCTCTCTCTCTCTCTCTCTCTCTCTCTCTCTCTCTCTCTCTTCCAAGGCGTGTAAACTTTGTGGGATAACGCTTCAATATGATTCCAGAGCGTGTAGTGCAGGCTGTAGCTCCAAAAGCGTTGCACTTTCTGTGACCACGAAGGCAGCCTCATGTTGAGTCACACCATTTTAATTTGTTTACAAAGCTGGATTTGCTCTCGCAGATCAACCTCTTCGTCACTATCACTCGGCTGATCATGGTTAGTAGGATTATCTACTTAAAAATGGTGTGTTCCTGATGCTGCCCTGATGTACACAGGTATGATGCAAATATTGAAACGTGACATACCCTTTTTTCTCTTATCGCCTTTTTCTTTACTTTTTCCTTTATCTTTCTTGCTGTTTTCAAGACCTAGGCCAAACTCATCCGTTTCACCAACCATAGAGCCATCCGCACTCCCCTCATCATTCTTACCACACAGAGTTTCACTAAATTTGGACATGAGCTTCTCTATGACTCCATAAGTTTCTGAGTAGAAGACGTGATCGTCGTGAGGAGGACTGGCCATGAGCCTCAGGGACGTCAGGTCGGCTCGTCCCACTCCAACGGCGAAGATCTCGATCCCTGAAGCCCGAGCTGCTGCGGACACCTCCTCCACGCTGTCCTGGGGATGTCCGTCCGTCACTATGATGGCGATTTTGGCAATGTCCTTGGAAGACATTCTGGCTCCAGCCTCAGCGGTGAAAGCCTGGTCCATCGTGGTCTTGATGGCTTTTCCCGTCATGGTACCCGAGGCCAGGGGCTCCACTCGGGACAGAGCTGTTTTGAGTGCGGTCTTATCTGAGTAGGTTTTCAGCAGGAACTCAATCTTGACGGTGCTGGCGTAGTTGACCAAACCCACTCTGGTGCTGTCGGAGCCAATCTCCATCGTCTCCACCATGTCCTGGAGGAACTGTTTGGCTTTCTCAAAGTCAGAAGGACGCACGCTGCGAGAGCTGTCAATGACGAAGACCAGGTCAATGGGACGGTTTCTGCAGTTGGAAGTAACTGTAGAAAAGATACAGGATTAAAGTTAGACACCGCTCTCCAATATGTACAGTACAGAGCAGAAGTTTGGACACCCTCTCTCCTTTAATGAGTTCTTTTCATGACTATTGGCTGTAGACCCACACCAGGCTGTGTAAGGACTGTTTGACCAATAAGGAGAGAGATGGTGCTGGGCCACATGACCTCCACAGTCACCGGACCTGAACCCAGTCCAGATGGTTTTATGTATAAGTTTATACATATGTCTATAATGAATGTATATAAAGTTTATACATATGTCTCTAATGACTGTATATAAGTTTATACATATGTCTATAATGACTGTATATAAGTTTATACATATGTCTCTAATGACTGTATATAAGTTTATACATATGTCTATAATGACTGTATATAAAGTTTATACATATGTCTATAATGACTGTATATAAGTTTATACAAATGTCTCTAATGACTGTAAATAAGTTTATACATATGTCTATAATGACTGTATAAAAGTTTATACATATGTCTATAATGACTGTATATAAGTTTATACAAATGTCTCTAATGAATGTATATAAGTGTATACATATGTCTCTAATGACTGTATATAAGTTTATACAAATGTCTATAATGACTGTATATAAGTTTATACTTATGTCTCTAATGACTGTACTGTATATAAGTTTATACATATGTCTCTAATGAATGTATATAAGTTTATACATATGTCTCTAATTAATGTATATAAGTTTACACATATGTCTATAATGACTGTATATAAGTTTATACAAATGTCTATAATGACTGTATATAAGTTTATACATATGTCTCTAATGACTGTATATAAGTGTATACATATGTCTCTAATGAATGTATATAAGTTTACACATATGTCTCTAATGACTGTATATAAGTTTACACATATGTCTCTAATGACTGTATATAAGTTGACAGACCTTTGTTAGTGCTTCTACCCAGAGTCAGGTGGTTCCCGAGTCGCGCTCCCTGCTGCGTGCGTCGTGGCGTGCGTTGCTCCTCATGAGTCCGTTGGAAAGTTTTGGTTTCAGGAGGTTCTGCACTGCGTGGGTCCAGTCGGTCAGGTCTGCCAGAGGCTCCAGGCCTGATAGTGTGGATCTGCCGCTGCTGTGGAGCTCTCTGGGCCGAGCTGAAGGCAAGAAGGGTCAGGACACAGAGAGACCTGAGCAGCAGAGCCATGACGGAGGCTGTGGATGTGGCGGCTGTGGCTGTGGCTGTGTCTGTGTCTGTGGCTGTGTCTGTGGAGGCTGTGTCTGTGGAAGCTGTGTCTGTGGAGGCTGTGGCTGTGCCTGTGTCTGTGGAGGCTGAGGCTGTGGAGGCTGTGTCTGTGGAAGCTGTGTCTGTGGAGGCTGTGGCTGTGCCTGTGTCTGTGGAGGCTGAGGCTGTGGAGGCTGTGTCTGTGGAAGCTGTGGCTGTGTCTGTGTCTGTGGATGTGGCTGTGGAGGCTGAGGCTGTGGAGGCTATGTCTGTGTCTTTGGAGGCTGTGTCTGTGGAGGCTGTGTCTGTGGAGGCTGAGGCTGTGGAGGCTGTGTCTGTGTCTGTGGAGGCTGTGTCTGTGGAGGCTGTGTCTGTGGAGGCTGTGTCTGTGGAGGCTGTGTCTTTGGAGGCTGTGTCTGTGTCTTTGGAGGCTGTGTCTGTGGAGGCTGTGTCTGTGGAGGCTGTGTCTGTGGAGGCTGTGGCTGTGTCTGTGGAGGCTGTGTCTTTGGAGGCTGTGTCTGTGTCTGTGGAGGCTGTGTCTGTGGAGGCTGTGTCTGTGGAGGCTGTGGCTGTGTCTGCGGAGGCTGTGTAACCCACTGAGCCCACAAAGCCCTTTCTATCCCATGCAGAGCAGATGAAGGGGTGGGAGAGCACTGCCCACAGACCATGGTCCAATCCAAGCCTCTTCAGAACCAGGCGTGAGGAGCAGGGTTTGCCAACGACAGCAAAGGTTCAATTATGATTCAACAAAACCACTGTGGATTCCTTGGATAAAAGGTTCAAAGGAAAATATGAACTCAAAAAGGAAGAATTGTAGATTAAGCTTCATATAAAGCTGAACATACATTATTCCTGGACTGCCACGCCTTCCTGTCTCTCGGTCGCATATTTTCTTCTACATCACAGCTTCTTCCCTTGAAAGCAGCGACAAACACACCTCATTGTTCTATTTAGGAGAGATTAGTTTGACAGATTTTAATTTTAAACTAGTTCAACAATTTTGTAAGTATTGACTAAAGCGATGAAATTAGGACTTACCGGTTTTATAGAGAAAGACTATTCAGAAGTCATAAGTCTGTTTCATTCTGACAGAAGCAAATGATAATGTTCTAAAACACAGAGAATTGTATGAAAGTAACTGATACATGAACAAAAACATTTGTAAAGTGTTCAAAGGAGAAACTGCTGCGATGATGTCACACATGACTCGATGATGTCACACATGACTCGATGTTGTGGAGGTTGAACAAATAGTTTCTGAAAAAGCTGTAAAGCCACCTCCATCATGAACAACACCTCCCACTGCACAGGACTGTAGAGGAGCTGAGGAGCTCCTTCAGTGGAAGACTGAGACACCCTCAGTGTAGGAAGGAGCGCTACTGCAGGGCCTTTATCCCCACTGCTGTCAGACTGTACAATAAGTCACTTTAAATGATCACTGTGTGAAAACCTGCACTACTATTGACACTGTTTCCAATTGACACTTGTCACTTTTGTTGTACATAATTATTGTCACTTTATTGTACATATATATTGTTGTATTAAATATAGGCTTGCCTGCACAAGGCCGTACCCCCTCTTGAACTCTGCCAAGCCGGGCTGGCCTGATGGGCTCGTAGCTAAGGGACTACGCACCTATTCGTAGAACTTAAGTTACATTAAGTAACTATTAATTCTACGTCATGGTGCTACGTCCCTTAGGACTTCGCTAGTGGGACACAACGCGGAGGCCGTAGGAAAATGTACTCCCAGCAGGCCAGCGAAGGTGATTGGAGCTCCGCCCGAGCAAGACCCTCACAACGTGAGAGGACTCAGGGCAGAAGAAACAAGCGTGTTACGGGGCCACTCCTACCAAGGATACCCCCACGTAACACAAGCCGTAGGTCATCCGTAGTCACAGGACGCCTCTCCCAAGAGCTCCTGACGTGGACTACCAGACCGACCACACACACAAAATGTACCGCACCTGTAGGATGCCTCTCCCAAGAGCTCCTGCACCAGGGCGGAAAATAGACCGAAGGCCCCCCTCAGGGGAGGGACCCAACGGTCTAACTCAGTCCGCTGCACTCAGCACGGAATGGGCCACCGACCGGTCCGACACATCCGAAAGATAAGACCGGACGAAAGAGGAGGACGACGCCCAAGAAGCCGCACGGCAAACGTCCTCGACCGACGCCCCCCTGAGAAGGGCCGTAGAGGCCGCCATCCCACGCGTGGAATGCGACCTGAAACCCACCGGGGGGGCCAGACCCTGCGTCTGATACGCCCGCCGCACCGCCGTGGCGACCCAATGCGCCAGCCGCTGAGCCGACAGCGGGGCGCCCCTGTTCTTGGGGCCCAGACACACAAACAGCTGATCACCCGACCTGAATGACGACGTCATGGCCAGGTAATGCCTCAGCATTCTGATAGGACACAGAAGGTGCTGCCGCTCCTCCTCGGGGGAGGCATGCGGCGGCGGGTGGAAAGCCCTAATCCTGATGACCCTCGACCTAAAGGCCGACGTGATGACCTTGGGGAGAAAAGCCGGATTGGGCCACAATTCCACCATGCCGTCGTCCTCTCCAAAGGACAGGCACGACGCATGGACGGAGAGCGCACACAAATCGCCCGCCCTCTTCGCAGACGCCAACGCCAGTAAGAGGGCCGTCTTAAAGGCGATACACTCGGGACTCGCCTCCGCCGCCGGTTCAAAAGGCGGACCCGACAGCCCCCTAAGGACCACCCTGAGGTCCCAAACCGGAGGCGTTCTCTGGAGCGGGGGCCTCCTCCTGCGCGCCCCCCGCAGAAAACGTTTAACCAACGGGTGAGAACGGGCTGTGAATCCCCCGAATCCGTCGTGACCCGAAGTAATGGCTGCCGCGAACACCGCCAAGGTAGCGACAGCCCTCCCCTTGTCGAAGAGCTCCTGTAGGAATCCCAGGACCCCCTCCAGCGGGCAACACCTGGGATCGGGAATCGCACCAGACACTGAATAGCCTCCACCTCGTGGCGTAGGCCCTCACGGTGGACGGCGCCCTCGCTCCCTGAATGGTCTCCACCACCGCAGGGGGAAGACCCAGATCTACGAGGCTCCGCCTCTCAACCTCCAAACCCAGAGCCTGCGGCCGATTATCGGACGTGAAAACAGGGCTCCTGCCCCCTGGACTAGAGCCCCCGGCTCGTCCGGGAGGGCCCAGGGCTCCATCACCGCCATGCCCCTCAGGAAGGGGAACCACCGGGCATGCGGACTGTCCGGAGCCACCAGGATCACCGATCTCCTCTCCTGTTCGATCCTCCGCAGCAGGACCGGCAGGAGACGCACCGGTGGGAAAGCGTACAACAGGCCGCCTGGCCATGGGTAATGAGCCAGAGCGTCCACGCCTAAAGGCGGCTCGTCCGCGGCCCTTAAGGCGAACCAGGACAGGCACTGTGCGTTCTCTGCACTGGCGAAAAGGTCGACCACTGGACGGCCGAACCTCCGCCAGATCTCCGCAGCTACCCGTGGGGCCAGGCCCCACTCGTCCTGGAGTGGGCCCCCCCTGGACATCCTGTCGGCTCCCACGTTCCGGACCCCCGGGACGTGGCGCGCCCTGAGAGACAGGAGGTGAAGCGCCGCCCACAGCAGCGTCACCGTCGCCATGCGATGGAGAGCGGGGGACCTGGTGCCCCCCTGCCTGTTCAGATAGGAGACCACTGTGGTGTTGTCTGAGCGCACCATCACGTGTCTCCCCTGCAGCTGAGGGGCAAAGTGCAGCAGTACTCTGTGCACTGCCTCCATCTCCAGCAGGTTGATGTGACGGGCTGAGTCCGACCAGCAGCCTCCTACAGAGCTCTGGCCGAGGACCCCGCCCCATCCTTCGAGCGACGCGTCCGTGAACACCTCGACGTGAGACACGGCGCAGGCCAGAGTCACTCCGTCCCGCAATAGACCCGGAGTGAGCCAGAACCTGATGTCCGATGCTGCCCCTTGGGGAACCCAGATCAGCCTCCCCCCGTCCCGGGAGGGGTGAAGCCTGAGGCGCGAGAACCCCTCTGAAAATTTCTCATGTGGAGCAGGCCTAGCCGCACCACAGCATGAGCCGCTGCCATCATTCCCAGCAGGGACCTGAGGCGCCGAGCGGGGACTCTGGGGCCCGCCAGAACCTCCCGGACCAGACGGGTAATATTCATCCGTCTGTCCACGGACAATGCAGCACGGAATATCACAGAGTCTAGCTGCAGACCGAGATAAACCATGCGTTGGGCTGGCTGCAGCTTGCTCTTCTCCCTGTTCACCACAAAGCCCAGACGCTGTATGTGGGACAGGACCCAGTGCGTGTGGCTCAGGGCCACTTCCCTGGATGGGCCCAGTATTAACCAATCGTCTATATAGGTTAATATTCTTACCCCCGCACGTCTGATCGGCTCCAGAGCTGCTTCCACACATTTGGAAAAAGTCCGAGGCGCGAGTGCGTACCCGAAGGGTAGACGGCAGTACTCGTAATTCCTCTCTCCCACTGCGAAGCGCAGAAACCTCCAGTGTTCTGGCACTATGGGCACGTGGAAGTACGCATCTGTCAGGTCTATGGATGTCATCCAGTCTCCTTCCCTGACACACTCGAGGAGCTGCTTTGTGGACAGCATCCGAAACTGCCGTTTGGAAATGCACTCGTTTAACACGCGCAGATCCAGAATGGGACGCACCCCGCCTGATTTCTTTGGCACTAAGAAGTAAGGGGAGTACAGCCCCCTGGTGGCGTCCTGCGGGTCTACCTCCACTGCTGCGCCTCGACTCAGCAGAGAGGAGACCTCCGCTTGTAGTGCCTCTGTCAATCCCCGTACCTGAGAGCGTACTGCCCGTACGCCTCGGAATGGTGGTGGCTTTCGGAAAAATTGCAGCGCGTAACCTCTGCTCCAGCCAAATATCTGTCAGTAGGCCCTGCTCTCTCCAGATGCTGTAGAAATCTGTGAGGGGCGGAACGGGAGTTGGAACACGAGACGTCACGGCCCCGCCCTCTCCTGGTGTTCCTAGCAGGGAGGGGGGGTGGCTGAAAGGGCCGGGGGGGCCCCTGCGTCACACCGTGAGCGCCGAGGGCGGTCACATGTTCTGCAGGCCCGACGTCATAAGTACGGGACTGCTCACCACACGTGACCCGGCTGCTGTGCCCCCCCCTGGCTCTTGCCTCATGGAGGGGGGGGCGAGCCCCTGGAGTGGGAAACCCCGTGTTAGCCTTGTAGCTCAGAGATGCTAACACGCGTTCGGCTGGAGCACACCCATTATCACTTACCAGATCCCTCCGCCTGCCCTCTCTCCGGGAGGGCAAAACATGAACCCGTGAATCGGAGCCCGTGGCCCGCATAGCACGCTGCACGCCCTTCTCTGGGGGCTGCAGGCCTAGCGGAGCCACGTTATATGCTCGAGAAGTAACACAATCAGAATTCAAATCATTTGACATGTTACATACCCCCAAATGAGACTCAGACAGCGAGTACTGATGAAATGCCGCACGGCTTTAATTGAAAGAATTCTTCCCACCCCGACCTCCTCTGCCATAGGGAGGTCGTCGGTGGGTGCGTTGGTCCCGCGAGCCTCCCGTGTGCCTGTCTGGGCCCGGGGGCCTCGTCGCTGGGGAACGATGAACCACGGAGCGTGGATATGGTCCGGGGCGCCTGCCGGGCGAGCGCTCCCTGCCTCTGTCTCGGCTCCGCACTGGTGGGCGGGCCTCGCGTCTCGCAGCTAGATGCTGGGCTAGGCTAGCAGAGTCCTTAGCTGCGGTGTCCAGCCTAGTTATCAGCGTCTGCATCTCCGGACCGAAGAGTGACGTTTGGGAGATGGGCAGGTCCAGCAGCTGCCTCTTCTCCGCCTCTCTGAGGTTCACCGGCCCCAGCCAGAGGTGTCTGGCCCCCACTTGTGCTGCTGCCATCGTGCGGCCGCCATCGACAGCTAGCGCCTGGCACATGCGCAAGATCGCTGCTGAAGTGGTCCTCGCCTGGGATAAGGTGTCTCCACTGAGCGCCTGGCCAGAAGAGAGAGACCTATCCAGGGCCCCGGTGATGAAGGCCATGTTGTTAGCCACCGCGACGACCTGAGCCGCATTGGCGTAACATCTATCGTGCATCGCCAAAGACATCCTATCCCGCTCGGAGGGAAGGAGAGGTCTAGTGCCGGGCCACATGGATGCGGAGGGGTGCAGGGCCGCTCGAACCGAGTCCTCGATGTCCGGGACCCCGCCGGTCCAGGACCAGTCCTGCACGTTACAATACATGCCGTACCCCAAAGCGGGCCTCTTGGCCGCTAGGGGCTTTGGCCACTCACGTGTCGCGTAATGGACGATCGGGTCCATACGCGGGCACAACGTGGGCTGCGCTCTCCTCCTCCCTCGAGTGGTGGCGTAACCAGAGGTGAAGTCCTCCACCCTCTGGTTCGGTTGCGGTGGCAGGGGGGCATCCATGATGGCCGCCGCCGTGGAGTAGAGCCCAGGCATGTGGTCCAGCGGGAAGCGGTCCGGCTCCGGGTTGGACACCACCTCGTCCAGCGTGAGGAGAGAGCCGACCTCCGACACCTCTCCGTCCTCGCAGTCACCCCACTCCGCGGGCACGGGTGGGAGGTCGAGGGGGGCCCAGTCAGTCACAGACTCCTCGTCCTGAGAGGAGTCCGGACGGGGCGCTGTAGCGGCGAAGAACGCGCGCCTGCGTTCACTCTCCTCCCTGGGGAGAGCGAGACACGAGGCGCAGGTGGCGCTCAACGCTGCATGGCCCGAACCCAGGCACACGAAGCAGCTGGAGTGCTGGTCCTTGCGCTGGAGCTTGACCCGACAAGTCGAGCAACAACGACGACCGACGCCGGATGGCGAAGGGGAACTCGGACGAGCATCAGAAGACATCTTTCCTCAGGTAAATTGAAATGTAGATCTCAATCGGCGCCAGAGTGAAAGAGGGGGTACGGCCTTGTGCAGGGGCATTTATAGAGGAAGGTGGCTGGTGATTGGAGCAAATTATTTTGATCTCTCTGGCGCGTGACCTGGGGGTCACGAGTGATATCCCACTAGCGAAGTCCTAAGGGACGTTGCACCATGACGTAGAACAAGAGTTAACATGAATCATGGCGACACTTACCGATACCATTAAGTATCTCAGTAATATGGTCACGATGTGTGTCACGGTAGACCGACCTACGATTGAGGGACACAACGCACCATGTTTTAAAAACAGATCCATTCTAGATTGTGGATTTAGTCGTAATTAGGCAAATCTTACCTACTGCCGCACCCAAGTCCCGCTTGTCCCACGCACCTAGCTGACAGCGGCTACTGTGTATAAGCAGTATGGTGCGATAGCACTTCCGGGGTTACCGACCGCAAAGGCTCATGGGAAATTACCTTTTTTTTTTCTTTTAGCTAGAAATAAGAGAAACGGACTGTGGTGTACTTAAATAACGAGGCAATGCACACGTTTTACCACTTTATATAGCAGATCTCTGGGAGCAACACAACAACGTGACACGAGGCCATTACAGTCTGAACATTTGTATAACATGCGCAGCAGACACAATAGCTAACTACGGCAAGTCTTCAGGGTCAACCTTAATGCTTATTATAATGGTATTAATACACCACATTACCTCCCCCCTTAAATTAAAGGTAATCTTCACATAACGCATTAAGAAAGAACATTAACGTAAAATACACTTCTTACACAGAGTGCGTTCTCGCTCTGGTTAATTAAATGACCACTTCAAATAAGTATGTTAAATCTTACAAATAACTCAACCCTCTTTACTAACTGAACAAGTCCCAGTATATATTTAGTCTCTGTAGCGTGACGGCCGCCTAGCCGTACGCTCCGAGCGCCTTAAAGTCACTGTTTCTGGATCAGGCGGCTCAGGCTGGTCCAACGTAAACGGTTGTGGAGCAGGTGCTGTGGAGACTGGCCCAGCAAGGTTACTCTCCTGATCCGCTGACTGAGTTGCTCCTAGAGGCTCTGGGTCTGAAACCTCCTGAGGATACCGAGGTCGCAACTGGTCTCCGTGACGTCTGTACACTTGGTCAGTTGTCTCTCCCTGCACCCGGTACGACACCGGACCTGTCTGCTGTGTAACTACTCCAGGGATCCATTTGGGTTTATCACCTGCAGTATTGCGTAGATACACAGGATCATCCACATCAAACTGTCTCTCGGTAGCCCGACTGTCGTGCTCCTCCTTCTGCTGATACTGCCTCCTCCGTACCCTCATGGCGATGTTTGGCCTTAGGAAATCCAACCGCAAACGCACATGTCTCTTTAGGTGCAAATCTGCGGGTGACTCTCCAGTCGCACTGTTGGGAGTTCTGCGATACCGCAGTAGGAAATGTGAGACCTTGTCCTCAACATTCAAGTCCTCTCCGTCCAGCTTCTTCATGCCTGCTTTGAATGTAGCAACATACCTCTCAGCGAGGCCATTGGTAGCTGGATGCCGCGGTGCACCAGTTGTGTGAAGGATACCGTTCCTTTTCATGAAGAGCTGAAACTCCTCTGACATGAAGGTCGTGGCGTTGTCTGTGACAATTTGCTCTGGTAATCCATATGACGCAAAAAGTCTCCGAAGCCTTGAAATGGTTGCGGAAGATGTTATCTTTGCCATCTTGAAAACCTCCAGCCACTTAGAGTATGCGTCTACAACTATCATGAACATGTGACCTATAAACGGACCTGCAAAGTCAATGTGGAGCCTTTTCCAAACCTCTCCAGGAAACTCCCAGGGGTGTAGAGGGACTGGGCGTGGCATACGCTGCTCCAACTGGCACCTGTCACACTGCTTACAGGTCTTTTCAACGTCCATGTCTACATGTGGCCACCAGACATATTGCCTCGCAATGGTCTTCATCTTTACAATGCCAGGGTGTCCACTGTGGATCTCATTAAGCACTGCTGTTCTTAGCTTTTTAGGTACCACTACTCTTGTACCCCAAAGAACACAACCTTGCTCAACAGATAGTTCCTCTCTCTTTTTGTAGAACACTTTCAGTTCTTCTGCTACTTCCCTTGGCCACCCTTCCTTGATAGCTCTGCATCCTCTTGCGTGTTGCCCTGGAAATCTGTTGTGCACTCAGTGGCACACCCTCCAGGTGTTCACAGATGAGTGCATGTAGGTATGCTGTCATTGTCTCTGTTCCTGCATCCGCAGTCTCCGGCAGTGGGACACGAGACAGACCATCTGCGTTGCCGTGTTCGTCTGACTGGCGGTAGATTATGTGGTAATCATAGGCAGACAGTATGATAGCCCACCTCTGTATGCGCGCTGCTGCCATTGTTGGAAGTCCTTTATGTTCTCCAAACAGCGTGAGCAGCGGTTTATGGTCGGTGATCAAATTGAACTTCCGCCCCCACAGATATTGATGGAATTTCTTTACTCCATACCCCAGGCTCAACGCCTCCTTTTCTATCTGTGAGTAGTTCTTTTCCGCCGGTGAGAGTGTACGAGAAGCATAGGCTACTGGACGCTCTTGTCCGTCATGCGTTGTGTGCTGAATAACGGCTCCAATTCCGTACGCTGAAGCATCACATGCGAGAGAAAGCAGCAGGCTCGGATCATAGTGAACTAACACCTTGTCACCGGTCAACATTTCTTTGCACTTATCAAAAGCGCTCTGTTCCACTTTACTCCACCTCCATTTTGTTTGGTCTTTTAGCAGTTTGTAGAGTTGGGCCAAAACAGTACTTTGCTGCGGCAAAAAGCGACCGTAGTAGTTCACTAGCCCTAGGAAAGCCCTGAGCTCTTTGATGTTTGTGGGCGTTGGAGCATCATGCACGGCTCTGACCTTGTCTTTAGAAGGGTAAACTCCTTTTCCATCCAACATGTGACCTAGGTACTCGATTTGTGTTTTCCCAAAGTCACACTTTGACTTTTTTACTCTCAGGCCGTTTTCTTGTAGCCGCTGTAGAACTCTGTCCAGGTTCAGCAGATGCTCAGCTTCGTCCCTGCCCATCACTAGCAGGTCATCCAAGTAAACCAGGACGTTGAGGTCTCTCATCACGTTCTCCATGATCCTTTGGAAAATACTGACAGCAGAATTAATGCCAAAGCAAAGCCGATTGTACAAAAACAGTCCTTTATGCGTGTTCACAGTTGTATACTTTTTTGACTCGTCATCTAGAAGGACTTGTTGGTACGCGGCTGCCAGGTCGATTTTAGAGAATATCTTCCCCCCACATAATGCTGCCAGAACCTCTTCAATGCGTGGTAGTGGGTACGTTTCAGTGTTTGTAGCCAGGTTCACAGTTACCTTATAGTCGCCACACAAGCGGAGTCCACCGTCCTTCTTGGTTACAGGGACCACTGGAGCAGCCCACTCGCTGTGCTTCACAGGGCTGATGACGCCATCCTTTTCCAGGCGCTCCAGTTCTTTATCTACCTTTTCTTTCATTGCGAAGGGCAGGACACGGGCTTTGTGGAACTTTGGAACTGCGTCAGGTTTCACAGAAATTGCTGCTTTAATGCCCTTTAATGTTCCCAACTCATCTTTGAAAACATCAGCATATTTATCCAACACATCTTGGATTGACTTGGGCTTGGTTGTGCTTTCTGTGACTTTTTTAATCATTTTCCAGTTCAGTCTGATTTGATCCAGCCATTCTCGCCCACACAGTGAAGGACCTCCTCCGGCCACTACTATCAGTGGTAGATCAGCAGTCTGATTTCCATAAGTCACTTTTGCAATGAACTGTCCTTTCACTGGAATGGTCTCTCCTGAGTAGCCCTTCAGTGCGACGCTGCTGCCCTCTAGTGGCACATGTGAGAATGACTGATCATACACATTTTCTGAGATAATGCTGACTCCTGCTCCTGTGTCAATTTCCATCGGCACTTTTTTTCCATTTACTTCAAAAGTTGCCCTGTATGGCCGCCGGCCAGCACCACTTGCACTGAACACAGAAAACATCAGAATTTCATCTTCTATTTCGTCAGCTTGTACGTAGCCTGTAATTTTTCCTTCTTTTCGTTCAAAATTTCTCTTCCCCTTTTTCTCTTGCCTCTCACGTGTCCGCCCTCCAGTCCTGCATGCCTTCTGAATATGCCCAACTTTGCCACATTTATGACACTTTGCGTTCTTGTAGTAGCAATCACTGGCGAAATGATCCATTCCTTTACATCTATAGCACCCGTCTTGTTTTGAAAGTGTGCGCCGGTCCCCCTTTACCTTGTGAACAGCGGTGACGTCATCACCTGTCCGCAACTGCTGGGCATCTCGGTGGGCTGTCTCCATGTTAACCGCAAGCTCCACAGCTCTCGCAAAAGTCAGCCTATCCTCTGAGAGCAATTTGCGCTGGCATGCTTCAGAACTGACCCCGCTGACAAATCCGTCACGTAGAGCTTCATCCAGCCTGTCCCCGAAATCACACTTCGCAGCGAGTTGGCGCAGCTCAGCAGCATATTCCGTCGCTGTCTGGCCGCTCTTCTGGACACATTTACGGTACCTAAATCGCTCGGCGATGACCAAAGGTTTTGGTTCATAGTAGTCTCGTAGAATGGTCACAACCTGATCAAAAGTTTTGTCCTTTGGCTTGTCAGGCTGAACCAGGTTGCGTAGAAGACCATACGTCGCTGCGCTGACTGAGCTCAACAAGACGGGAACTTTCTTTCCATCGTCCACATCATGAGCCTCAAACAGCAGCTCCATGCGCTCCACGTAGGCAGACCATGTTTCATGCTCCGGCTTGAACTCGTCCGGTCTTTGGGAAAAGCACGCCATAACCGATTTTCCTCGTCGCCAATTATGTGGTGTACTTAAATAACGAGGCGATGCACACGTTTTACCACTTTATATAGCAGATCTCTGGGAGCAACACAACAACGTGACACGAGGCCATTACATAGTTCCCACATGACGTCACTACATACGGGGATTTGCCGACCCGGCGCCATTTGTGTTGGCATTCTGTGGGCAAAACAATAGAAAAAGAAGCTGAAACGTGTTAATGTCGTGATAAAGTTGAAAATGGTCATCTCCTGCTGGGTCAATGGATGTTCAAATCGTGCCGGAGGTTCCGTTAAACTTGGATTTTACAGTATTGAGAATGAGGAGTCACGTGCCGAGTTGGGGTGATTTGGGGGGGGCTCTGAGCCTGTCGGACATATTGGCTGCGCAACGGGGGCACGCCCCCAGAATTTCACGCGCTCCTCATATTCCAGAGCACTTTAAATTATACGCATTTACGTTTTCGGCGAGACAGAGACGGATCTACTGATACAACAAGGGAAAGGAAGACAGTAAAACAATGCTTAGAGATAAGGCGAAAGAGAAGGGACCGTACAGGAACAAGCTCATACCAAGCGCAAAACAGAGGTATTTGGAGAAGCTTGCGGACATCAAAAACATCGACCCATACGAGCTCCCTGCAGCGGAATGGCACAGAAACCTGGACCATTTACCTCCGTGCACATACAGTGTTTTGTGTCCCTTTGCACTAAGAAAAGTATGACTCTTATTATCATTTTTACCTATGTTGGGCATGTTTACATGCTGGAAACAGTACTTTGACTGCACACGTTTGTAACAAAAAAATCATTCATTTCTCAATAAATATTGGTAAACCATATCAAGTTGTTTCATGCATTTATTTAAAAATAAAAGATACAGTAAAGAATAAGGTACTCAAACAACACTTTTGCACATGTTCGTTAAGGCACAGCAAACAATGACAATCTTATCCAAAGGCATTAGGTTTTCACCCTCACATTTGACAAGCATGTGCACAGGTACAGTTGAGTGTAAGAATTTGAATTTGTTGCGCACAACACCGATCACCCTCTCCACGTGAATTCTGAGATGTGCTATGGCCCTAGTCTCCTCCACATCTTTCGCCTCAAGCTGAGCACGACCCCTGGTGAATCTAGGTATTTTCACTTCAGCACACATCATGCCCACATCATCATCATGCCCACTCAGCCACCGTGCACATCGGGCGGCACGGTGGCTGAGTGGATAGCACTCTTGCCTCTCAGCAAGAAGGTCCTGGGTTCAAATCCCGGTTGGACCAGGGCCTTTCTGAGTGGAGTTTGCATGTTCTCCCCGTGTCTGCGTAGGTTTCCTCCGGGTGCTCCGGTTTCCCCTACCACTAAAAATATGTACAATAGGTCTGGCATGTGCCTCCTGTACTGGCACCCCCACTCCCAAAAAATAACAATTGTAAACCGCTTTGAGACTCCGATGTGCAGTGAAAAGGCGGTATATAAATAAAGATTACTTACTACTACTACTACTACACATGTTCTCTTATATTAAAGCCTCTATCTGCCAGCACAATGTCACCTGGTAACAGCTTGTTCAGGAAACCACTTTGCTCGGTTATATGCTTGTCACTTGTGCGCCCACCCCACCCGTTCGATATGAAGGAAATTACACCCTGGGGCGTGATCACGATTAGGTATTTCATAGTGTATGCGTGTTTGTATTGAGAAAAAGTCTGTGCCCTTGCTAGTACATTGGAAGGTTTCTCGATGAACACCTCGAAGCAGTCCACAATGGCAGCCACATTGTTCCCAAATGACTCCACAAACTGGTGTGGCATACTGGTCAATAAGCATTCCCTACTTGGCCAGTGCACCAATGGACACAGCTGTGCGTACATCACACCAAGGGTATGGTGAAAGGCATCGGCGACTGTTGTCCTATGTACTCTAAACAGATGGCTGAGGTGCTGTATTGGAAGGTCCAGTCTGAGGCGCATTAAAGTCAATAGGACAAGCTGGAAGGGTGAGAGCTTCTTCATTCTACCTTGAGGCAGATCTGGAGTTAGGTAGAGTAGAAGTGTCTGGAACAATGCAAAGTTTGGAAGCCCCGTGTAATACTTCACTGTGTTATCATCACCACTCAGAAAGTTCTCATTCATCCGGTACGTATCAAGCTCACGCTTCAGCTGTCTGTTTTCTTCAAGAAGATTGTTGATAACATCTCGTCTAGATGTGCAGAGTCCACATTCCATGTCCGGGTCAGCTGGCGGCTGGTCTAGGGCTGGCGGCGGCGCCGCCTGCGGCTGGTCTAGGGCTGGCGGCGGCGGCGCCTGCGGCTGGTCTAGGGCTGGCGGCGGCGGCGCCTGCGGCTGGTCTAGGGCTGGTGGCGGCGGCGCCTGCGGCTGGTCTAGGGCTGGTGGCGGCGGCGCCTGCGGCTGGTCTAGGGCTGGTGGCGGCGGCGCCTGCGGCTGGTCTAGGGCTGGTGGCGGCGGCGCCTGCGGCTGGTCTAGGGCTGGTGGCGGCTGCAGCTGGTCTAGGGCTGGTGGCGGCTGCAGCTGGTCTAGGGCTGGAGGCGGCGGCGCCTGCGGCTGGTGTTGGGCTGGAGGTGGCTGCCGCTCCAGTGGCAGGGACCTGCGCCTTACTTGCCGCTGATATCTCGCTTCATCTGTTTTTTGTACATCATTGTGGCCTAACAACAGGGATGTTGTCCAGTCAGGGTGGTTCTCCAACATCTCATATGCTGGTTTACCTACACGAGAATAATAACAACATATAATTAATATAATAATTTGCACAATCTATGTAATCAATGCTTTAAACTGGCAACTATGTCATGAACAGCATCTCAAGTACTTTTTAGGTCACCTCATAATGTCATATGAAGGTTTATGTACAACAGAATAATTAGATTATGTGTACAATCTATGTAATCTATGCTTTACACTGGCAAAGACCTCGCAGAACACGTGCTAAGTAAGAAACAGCCTGAGAGGGTAACAAAGACACAGAGACAAAGGCACTACAGAAACCATAATAACATATGCTAACCTACACTTCCTAGCTTTAAGAGACAACTACATAAATACATTTTTAGAGAACGTACCAGAGTGAAAATGCAGAGAACACACTCTCGTCGACAGGGGTGTGTGATCGAAAGTAAGGTCCTTTCTTCTAATTGCAGCCAACCAAGCAATCCGACGTCTCCTTGTCAGGTCAGAGAATTGCTCCCCTTGATGCTTTTTCCATTTCGGTAACCTAAAAAACTGTATCCCGTTGTTACTAGGTTTTCCATATCCATCGTGGGAGGTATTGGAGCAGTTTTTAACGCAGCAGTTATTTCCAGGCATGATAAAACAGTGCGGAATAGCAAGAACCTCCGCTACTACCGCGTTCACAACACACGTAAACAAACTGTACTGCCGCCACCGGTGCGCAGCCAATATGTCGGCAAAGGGGGGATGGGGAGGGGGGACTCTGTGCCGTGACGTCAACTCCTCATTCTCAATACCCATCATTAGACTTCATGAATGTGAGAAGACTAAGCTTTTGTCAGAACAACCACGGAGGTTATGGCTTGCGAAGATAAACAGGCAAGAAACTCCCTCAAAACACGCAAGAATATGCTCGGAGCACTTTGTGTCAGGTGCGTATCGTATCTTATAATGTGTTGACAGACGTAATTTACTCAGTACTAACTTGTGTATGCTGATATCTGGTAACTTGAGAGTTTCATTATTTAGCGTTAGATTACTTTATTATGAGGAGGATCGGTGTCGCGTCCGAGGCTCTCGAGGGCAACGTAAATGTATTAAATAGATAATAATAGTTCTATGGTGGGCTAAAACAATGTTCACAAACAGCATTGCTTCTGTAAAAAGATCTGTGTCATAAAATAAACTGCTCTTTACGCCTGGAAAAATCAGTTGCCCACCATTCACCAAAACATACGGTCAAAAACGCGGAAATAAACAATAACAGCAATCCAGAGTGTCCGTGTGGCATTAGCATTAATTAAATTAATTGTTAATATAATTAAAATAATTAAATGGAGCTCCAACTGGTATTAAATCTAAAGTTTTTGAGAAATGTTTGCATTGCTTGTTAATTTTTGCTGCATAATTTGATCAAATATGTAAAACATGTCCGTAGCACGTTAAACTGTGGTGCCATTGTATTAATATACAATTATTTGCTCAAAAGTTGCCCTTTTTTTCCAATTTGCGTTTGAATATCTACATTTATTCTCATTCTTCTGTTTAATGGAATGCACAAACACAGCAGCGTGCCATCAAAGATGGCGTCTCCGAGGAGGTCATGTGACATTCATTGGTCTGTGGGAACTATGTATAACATGCGCAGCAGACACAATAGCTAACTACGGCAAGTCTTCAGGGTCAACCTTAATGCTTATTATAATGGTATTAATACACCACAATACTTTAGGGTTGTTCTAACTTTAGGTTGTTTATTTTCTGCTTTAGCTTCGACATCAAGTCCTTCTTACAATCTCAAGTGATGGTTTTTGCCATTGAGGAGATAAACCGGCGCCAACTGATCCCTGGCCTGAGATTGGGATACGACATCTACGACACCTGTGCAGACGTGAGCTTTGCCCTCAGAGACACCCTGCAGCTGCTCAGCTCTCACCAGTCCGAGCCTTTCAGGTGCTCTGTGCTGGAAAACACATCCCTCAACACTTCTATCAAAGTCCTCATCGGAGAAGCATCATCCGAGGTTTCTACGACTGTGGCCAGACTGACCGCGCTGGCTTCGCTTCCTCAGGTTTGTCTCATGAAGCCATTTTGAACGATAATAAAATGGTTAAATAAAATAAAATAAAATGAAATAAACTCTGTAATTGCACTTGGTTCAGAAGTATTTACAGATGTGTTGAACCGAACGCAGCGAGCAGCCGGCTTCCCCAGCGCCTGCGCAAAAAAATAAAATTAATAATAATGTGAATACTAAAATGTGTTTATAATTGTGTTAAAAGTTGCTCTTAGGAACAGACTTTGCAAATCAGCCTTGGCTGTAAATGTTGTAGTGTTTCACATGTTTGTCCAAATAAATAAATTATGAAATGTGTGTAAAGGGACATATTCTCTTAATCCTAAACATAAACTCTCCTGTACAGAACCTTGATATTGCTCACTTCACCGTCTGTTTGGAAGTACAGGGAAACACATACACTAACAAAGAAATATACTGTGCATACAAAACATACAAAACATACAAAACATACAAAATATACAAAACATACAAAACATACAAAAACATACAAAAACATACAAAACATACAAAAACATACAAAACATACAAAACATACAAAAACATACAAAACATACAAAAACATACAAAACATACAAAAACATACAAAACATACAAAACATACAAAAACATACAAAACATACAAAAACATACAAAACATACAAAACATACAAAAACATAAAACATACAAAACATACAAAAACATATAAAACATACAAAACATACAAAACATACAAAAACATACAAAAACATACAAAACATACAAAACATACAAAAACATACAAAACATACAAAACATACAAAACATACAAAACATACAAAAACATACAAAACATACAAAACATACAAAAACATAAAACATACAAAACATACAAAAACATATAAAACATACAAAACATACAAAACATACAAAAACATACAAAAACATACAAAACATACAAAACATACAAAACATACAAAAACATACAAAACATACAATACATACAAAAACATAAAACATACAAAACATGCAAAAACATATAAAACATACAAAACATAAAAAACATACAATACATACAAAACATACAAAAACATACAAAAACATACAAAACATACAAAAACATACAAAACATACAAAACATACAAAAACATACAAAACATACAAAACATACAAAAACATACAAAACATACAAAACATACAAAACATACAAAACATACAAAACATACAAAAACATACAAAAACATACAAAACATACAAAACATACAAAAACATATAAAACATACAAAACATACAAAACATACAAAAACATCATATATCCTTTAACACTTCAGGTTTTTTCCAAAGAGGCTCCATTTTGACATCTTAATTCCTTAACAACTTAAAGGGGTAAGATAATGCTATGATAATGTTTTAAAGTGCTTCATTGTCAATCAAAAATGTAAAACAGTGAAAAATTAAGTATATAATAATTATTTAAAATTAGATCAAAGTTTGGTGTATATATACCAAAACTATATATAGTATATATCTGCGCCTGTACCTGTATGTCTGCACCTGCACCTGTATGTCTGTCTGCACCTGTATGTCTGCACCTGTACCTGTATGTCTGCACCTGCACCTGTATGTCTGTCTGCACCTGTATGTCTGCACCTGTACCTGTATGTCTGCACCTGCACCTGTATGTCTGTCTGCACCTGTATGTCTGCACCTGTACCTGTATGTCTGCACCTGCACCTGTATGTCTGTCTGCACCTGTATGTCTGCACCTGTACCTGTATGTCTGCACCTGCACCTGTATGTCTGTCTGCACCTGTATGTCTGCACCTGTATATCTGCACCTGTATGTCTGTCTGCACCTGTATGTCTGCACCTGTACCTGTATATCTGCACCTGTACCTGTGTGCTTTGTATATGTGTGAAATATTTTTTTTTTTTTTTTTTTTCTGCTTTAACAAACAAAACAAAAACATGAACATCGATAGATAAGGTTCTTTAACCGTGTTTCTCTCTCCTTCAGATCAGCTACAGCGCGACCAGTGAACTTCTGAGCAGTAAGACCAAGTTCCCCACTTTTATGCGGACCATCTCCAGCGACAGATTCCAGACCAAAGCCATCGCGGCGCTTTTCCGTCTGCTGAAATGGACCTCGGCGGCCATCGTTGCCAGTGACGACGCCTACGGCAAGTACGGCAGCGACAGTCTCCGGGCGCTGTTCACAGAGAGCGAAATCTGCGTCGACTTTGACACAATACTCCCTGGAGACTTTTCCCAAAACAGCAATCAGGAGAAGGACATCCTGGACCTGATCTCGAACTCCACGGCGGAGGCCATTATTCTCTTCACCTCCGAGAGCAACGTGCGCATTCTTTTGAACGGAGCGATAGAGCGTGGGCTGAACCGGACCTGGATAGCGAGCGATGCTTGGTCTACGTCGGAGGAGTTTGCCAATCTGACGGGAATCGAGAGCGTTTTCGGCTTCATTTCTGCCAGGGACAATGTCACGGATTTTGAGAGTTATGTGCAGAATAAGAGCAGCGAGTACAAGGAGGTGTTGAGGAGTCACGGTGTCGAGAGTCCGGACTGTCTGCAGTGTTCCATCGACCGGGATCATTCCTACAACATCTATCTCGCCGTAAGAGTCGTAGCGGAAAGTCTCAAGAAGTTACTCAAGTGTGACACCCAGCACTGTGCTCGGACCACTCCCTTCACGACTTTAGAGGTGCGTTTGTTTTTCATTTACACGACAAAAAATAGTCTTGGATTGAGTTGATAAAGTAAGGCAAGTATTTTTTTTATAGCACAATTCATAACAAGGCAACTCAAAGTGCTGAACAAAACAAGACAGCATTAAAATCATAAATAATCTCAGAACATTCAAAAAGAAGAAAAGAAAAAAGAAATCCCACAGTTGTAGCACGAGAAACAGAACCTGGTTTTAAACATCGTCAGAGAAAAGGCCTGTCTCACATTTTCAGGAAGATTGTTCCAGATTTTAGCAAGCTTTTCCACGGAACTCTGTCGTGTGGGATTGCATTGATGAAGTAAGGAAAAGAGTCCTGTTTACATTCATACGGTGATGACAGAAGTGAGACACACTGGTCCATTAAAGCCTCCGACCAAACACCATCCATTTGCTCGTTACATTCAGACCAATCGTGCATGTTTTTCCTTTAATCTTAAAACTCTTTTTTTGAGATTTTCAGATAAAACAGTACAATATTATGTACATTTAGGACGTTAATCAAAATATTTTTTTTTGTAAGAACAGAGAAAACAAAACAGAACGAAATAAACAAGAGGATCTTTTGAAGGAGCAGTGTGTAAACATGTGGCCAAAAGTGGTACTGCAGCCTCTCCCACTCTCCCTGACTCAGGTTGCCAGATATGCAGACGAATCCAGCTGGGACCATAACAGCTGAATAGACAAGAGTTTTGTCAACAACAAATCTATAACCAACACCTTTTTCACAAAGATAGAAATCCTGGTTTTATTCCTTGTTTTGTCGTTAATGATTTGAGAATCATAACGAGACCTTTTTTAGTTCTGTGCCACATGGTACTTTACCAGTGAGATTAGCTCCACGCGGTGAGTTCTGGCGCCCGGATCACAGACTTTCTGATTGGAGGAGCTTGTGTTGGATTTGATTTTGAACGGGAACCAGTGGAGCTGTTTGAGGACCGGGGGGATGTGTTCCCTGGACCAGGTGAGGGTGAGGAGGCAGCAGAGTTCTGGATGTATTGCAGTTTTTTTTTTTTTAATCTTTAATACATTTACAAAACATTAAAACCTTACAAAGATTGAATTGAAAAGAAACCCGTTACATTTCCATGGTCACATGACCGTTGGAATTAAATGCCCCCTCCCACCCCAGAGTCTAATTATGAGGAAAGTTTTCAAACAGTTCATCCCTGAGCCTCACCCTGAGGTGCTCCTTGAATTCCCCCAAAGTTTCACTAGAGACACAGTCAGAGTCCAGCATGTTCCACATTCTGGTGGCCAGAGTGAGACACGATCTCTGCATGATATGGGCGCTGGGCAGTGTCCCGTCCGGAAAAGCACAGCTGACCCAGCGCACGGAACAGTTTAAAACCAAAACATGCAAGAGCAAAGTTCCGCCTTGTTTGCAAGGTTGTTAGTCCGAGCGCTCTGTAATGCTCTGCTGTCAACTGGGCACGATACGGCAGATTTAGAATAATGCGCATGCATCTTCGTTGGATGCTCTCTAAACAGTTTATCAGAGTCTTTCCTATGCCACAGATCAGCACTGAGCAGGACTCTAGTCGGGATCTAATGTATGCTTTATAGATCCGAAGCAGGATTTCTTTACTTTGTGGTGGTAGCTTTGATTTTAAGTTGAAATAAATAAACAAATAAATTCAGTGGAGGAAGTTTTCTTATTGGTTCTTCATCAATTATCACTTGTGCTGTAACTTGAGGTCAAAATTACCCACCACACATGAGTAGAAATGAAAGAAAAATACTTAAATTTGGCTCTAAACGGGTCTTAATGATTCAAGGCCAGTCAAGGGAGACAATAACTTGTCGCGCGTAAATACAACCAGAGGACAGCACAAAGGGTAGATACATCTTTTCTTTCAACGAATCATCATTTCTTATTCCTCACTTTTGCTTTACTGTGTTTGTTTACAGCTGTTACGAGAAATGAAAAACATTAACCTCACGGTGCAGAAATCGAGAATTTTCTTTGACCAAAACGGAGACCCAAGTCTGGAATACGACATCGTGTTCTGGAACAGCTCTAAGATCCAGACTGTGGGAAAGTACTGGCCCAACGGAGACATCCAGGTCTGCCCGGGTCTGGTGAACCGGACCAGCAACGCAAAGGTGTGTGTGTGTGTGTGTGTGTATCTGTATCTGTGTGTGTGTGTGTGTATATCTGAGTGTGTATATCTGTGTGTGTATATCTGTGTGTGTATCTGTGTGTATATCTGTGTGTGTATATCTGAGTGTGTATATCTGTGTGTGTATATCTGTGTGTGTATCTGTGTGTATATCTGTGTGTGTATCTGTGTGTATATCTGTGTGTGTATATCTGAGTGTGTATATCTGTGTGTGTATATCTGTGTGTGTATCTGTGTGTATATCTGTGTGTGTATATCTGAGTGTGTATATCTGTGTGTGTATCTGTGTGTATATCTGTGTGTGTATATCTGTGTAATTATTGGTGTGTGTATCTGTGTGTATATCTGTGTGTGTATATCTGTGTGTGTCTGAAGCATAGTCAAATAAGTAGAATAATCTCATGGATGTGTGTGTAGGTGTCTGTTTTTGGCTGTCAGAAATGGTGTTCTCCGGGACACGAGCTGAAGCTTGAAGGAAAATGCTGTAAAAAGTGTCACAGCTGCAGGAACGGATCTGTGTCGCCTCAAGATGGTGAGTCACACATGGTACTGCACATGGTACAGACCAGAGGTACCAGTGTAAAACCATGAATCCTCTCTGCTCTGGTCTGGACCAGTGTAAAACCATGAATCCTCTCTGCTCTGGTCTGGACCAGTGTAAAACCATGAATACTCTCTGCTCTGGTCTGGACCAGTGTAAAACCATGAATCCTCTCTGCTCTGGTCTGGACCAGTGTAAAACCATGAACACACATCAACAGTGATTAGACATAGTTTTCTGACAGTGTTCTTCTGTGTTCCAGGAAAAGCCTGTACCATGTGTGGAGAGGACCAGTACCCCTCTCCTCTGCAGGACAAATGTGAGAATAAAACAGTGGAGTATCTCTGCTGGACAGATGTGTCCAGCGTCATTCTGTCCATCCTGAACATCATCGGCCTGATTGTGACTCTGATCTCTGGAGTCATATTTTCTATCCATTTCCAAACTCCGGTTGTGAAGTCCATGGGCGGTTTCCTGTGTCTGGTGGAGCTCTTGTCTTTACTGTTTTGTTTCAGCGTCGGCCTGACATATCCAGGGCCGCCTCACCTCCTGAAGTGTAAGTTGGGCCTCCCTATATTTGCCGTCGCTTTTTGCCTGTGCCTCTCGTGTATTTTGGCAAGTTCAATTCAGATTTTAGTTGGTTTTAACTTTAACCAAAGAGTGGAATTCTGGCTGAAGAAATTAAACCATCCTGTTGCCATGGTGACTGTGGTCACGGGGATCCAGCTGATCCTCTGTGTCACATGGGTCCATTTCCAGTCTCCAAAAATCAATGTACTCCCCATGCATTCCAAAAAGATCCACCTCTGTGAGTTTGAATCGCTCTATTTAATCGCGTCCATGATCGGCTACGACGCTCTTGTTGCAATTGTGTGTTTCTATTTTGCACACAAAGGTAAGCAACTTCCGGATCTGTACAAAAATGCAAGTTCAATTCTGATCAGTATGTTACTGTTTCTAAGCGTCTGGACACTTTTCCTGATGATAAATTTTAATCTGGTTGGTATTTACAAACGTGTCATCGAAGGAGTCGCAGTCACAATATCCAGCTTCAGCATCTTCTGTGGACACTTGGCCCCGAAGTGTTACATCATCCTCTTCAAGAAAGAGCTCAATAATGAAAGTGCCATCGCAGCTTACATCAAGAAGCATTACGAGCAGAAGGGTCTCCCTGTAGTGACCACTTAACACTTACTATGGGTGCATTCTCTGACTCTTTCTGGCACCATTTCATTGTAAATGATACAATGCGGTACATGAAGACACGCAGTATGGCCACTAGATGGCAGCGTTGCATAAACCAGGAGTTTCAAAGCCCTTTCCGGTAGTTTCTAAGTGGAAAGTTTGTCTAAAGCTCATTTACTTAATGTGTGGTTATGATTATTTAGATGTACATTATAAAATATATATTGACAAAAGAATCTGAGTGTCCAACTTATCTTGGCCTCCCCATCAGTGGGTGACCACGGCACGATGTAGTCGAACTGTTAAGTAAATAACATTAACTGTAGCAGCGTTATTTACTGATGTTTGCTAATAAATGATACACATCGCAACTTCATCTTTTGTTTATTTTAATAAAAAAAAAAAAAAATACAAAAGTTTTTACAAATTTCCATAGGAAAGCAAAATGTGCAATCCTGTCTCTTTTGTATCCACCTCTGGCTCTCGACAAAACATTTCATTCTAACAAGTTATTGAAAGAGAATCCATGTGCTGTGTCCCCGTTATTTCAGAATAGCAAAAGTTATACATTTAAACTAATAAATATTGAAATGTGATGGTACATGGAGTCACGGGATCTTAATACTGAAGAAAAAAGTGTGCAACACTCTTTCTCTAACTGGCCACATGTGAAGAACTACATTAATGAGAACTTCTTAAACCACAGACTGCGGAGGTTTGTTGGGCATCTCCACGAGTCTCTCTCTGCCGCAGTGCACCGGGAGCTCCTGAAGGCAACACTCGTCTGGAGCATGGATCCCTTCAGATGAAATCCTCTCGACATGATTCCTAAAAACAGAAACAAAGACAAAGTGTCATACAAAGATCACATTGTGCTCATTGATCAACATCGCATTGTGCGCTCTGCAGAGGAAGTGATCGGCCGCAGCCTTCCATCGCTGCAGGACCTGTACGTCGCCCGAGCTCGAGGCCGGGCTGGTCGTATCACAGCCGACCCCTCTCACCCTGCACATGGACTATTCCAACCACTCCCCTCAGGCAGGAGGCTGCGGTCCATCAGGACTAGAACCTCCCGCCACAAGAACAGTTTCTTCCCCTCTGCTGTTGGACTCTTGAACACTTCTTAACCTGTCCCCCCGCCCTTTATAAAGTCACTTTACTGCCCATCATACGTCACTTTACTTCACTGTACTGCTGTCACCTTACATTGTGTGCACCATGTGCACTTGTACATTGTAAATAGTAACTGTAACTCTATTTTAAATTTAAATTTATTCTTTAGAAGTGTTTTTTATTCTTATTTTTATTATCTCTTTTTGACTGTTGCACTGAGCCAAAGCAATTTCCAAGTCTGTGACCTCCCGTTACTTACGTTGGCAATAAAAATGATTCTGATTCTGATTCTGATTTAAAATAAGTCATCTTGATGTGCCGAGTCTTACCAAGAAGGCCGTGAAATGACATAATAGATGTCGGGTCGTTGGAAGCCGTTGAAGGTGGAGGCTGCAGCCACGGTGTAGGCCCCCATGTTCTCAAACACCAGCCAGTCCCCCACCTGCAGGTCGGGCATGGTGCACTGCTCTACTATACGGTCCAGACCATCACAGGTGGGGCCCCAGATGCTGCAGGGGTACAGGGGCTCGTCTGACTTCGGCCTCTGACGGAGACGACAAGCATAAGATCAATAAAGTCCATCTTATTTTTATAAAGAGTCATCGATTTGTTTTGAAGTTAAATAGGAGTTACTGATATCAGAATGTGCAATAACCACATGTCACTGTCCCAGAGCCTCATGCTAATGCTAATGTACAGATTCTAACATACAACTACACTTTGCGTGCACTAGAATAGACAGTACTTTATACTTGCCTCTTATTTTGCCAAATGTATTATTATAGTTAAATAGATATTAAAAAGATAGATTCTATACTTGCTCTTTGAGGCTAGAGTTACAGATTGTGTTTTATTTTAATTAGTATAGCTATTGTTAATTTATCTTGTGCCGTGTGCTCCTATAACTTGTGATGCAACACTGAAATTTCCCCACTGTGCAACTAATAAAAGCATCTTAGTGTTAACATGAATGTAGAAGTTACCTTATGCAGCAAAGGCAAACAATGAGCGTGGTCGTAGAGAATGCAGTTGAAAGATCCATAAACTCCATCATTAACATAATACATATTGGTCCGATCCGTGGTCCCTTCGTCCTCGTCTGTGAGAGAAGCACAAACTTGTAAAAACACATATTTATTAAGGTACTTTAAGGGAGATTTTGAGACCTACCATCAGACGCATTGTCATCATCCAGAATCACTTTCTTTGCGATGATATTCACCACCAGAGTGTAGGCAGAAGCCACATAAAAGCGTCCAGGCTCAGCGATAATCTTCACCAAGCTGTCCACAGGGAAGTACTTGTCCAGAGCGGGGTTAATTACAGACGTGATCTATGGAAACGGGACTAAGTATTATTAAAGAGGCGGAATAGTTGTCCTTTTAAGCAATCTCAAACACCAAATCGATCTTTTTTTTTAACTCAAACTGTATGAAAATGTTTCTTATAGTGCTCATGTCCTGGTTGACATTTTAGTGCATTAGATTAAATCTCACTTTTGAGCCTAAAAATGTCTGTGTGGCGCCACATTCAAATGTAGTACCACCAAAAAGGTTGAGAGGGCGCCACACAGACGTTTTTAGGCTCAAAAGTGAGATTTTATCTAATTTGCACTAAAATGTCAAAACAATGACCAGGACCTGAGCACTATAAGAAACATATTTATGCAGTTTATGAGTAAAAAAAAAAAAAAGTTGATTTGGAGTTAGTTGTCCTTTAAAACAAGAAACACACCTCTTCAAATTTCAGATCCACATCATCTGAGCCGGGAAAGCCACCTCCAATATCCAACAGGTTCATGTCAAAGCCCAGCTCGGCCTGAAACGGAACAAATACATTTTTAAATATAAACGTCTTTTTTTTTTTTTTTTTTTTTTTTTTACTTGAAGTTATTTTTCCCTTTTTAGGAACATGCTTACTTACTTACCCTTTTTACATAGCCAAACATAACTCTACGAGATACACTGTCAACCTGGAGACGAACTGGGGAGGGAGGGTGGTAGTGGGAGGGGGGGTTGTGTATATATAATAAAAAAACACGCACATAGACTGTACTTGCTGTCAACAACTGTAAATGCATCTAATTGTGTGTATAACAAACAATAAAAAAATATATATATATATATATAAACGTGCACAATTGAAACGGAAAAATTTGAAAGTATTCTGTCTTACCCCGATGTCAAAAACACAGCGGGCGTCGCTGATGGCCTGGCTGTAGGTCTGAGGATCAGTGCAGCCGCTTCCCACATGAAAACTAACTCCGACCACGTCCAGTCCCAGGTCTCGGGCCTTCTCCAGGAGACCTCGGCACGCTTTGAGTTGAGCTCCAAATTTGATGCTGAGACGACACACGGCTTTGGAGTCATCGGTGGCGATCCTCAGCACCAGCCTGAAAAATACACAAGATAAGATCAGAAAACACATTCCTTTGTTGGTCTCACAGTCGGGAAATGTCATCGTTGCACATTACAGCAGAGAAAGAAGGAAACCAGACTCAGACGCACACTCAGGGTCTATTATTTACGATAACAGACAATAACATTAGTGAATTATTATCAGTGACACTTGCACAGACTCGGCAGTTCATGTTATACATTCTCGTTGTACAGCCTGACAGCAAAAATTGGTTTCACTGAAAAAATAACCAACTTCAAAAAACGTTAAGAAAATGAGAACTAGCTATTTGAAAACAGAGGAAGGTCGCTCACTCATCTGTGCTTCAGCAGGTTTTCCAGAAGTTTTGTTTTTTTAAGCCAAAGAACTTTCTCAAGGTAAAAAAAAAAAAAAAAAAAAAGATAGCTCAGCTGCGAGTTGGAGTGTGATTCATATAGACTCCTTGATCCTGAGGCGAACTTATGAACACATCTAAGGTCGGCTAAGACGTGGTTGGGAGCAGGTCTAACGATCCGGTCGGTCTAATGATCCCCAGTATCCGTTAGACCCATTGAATCGTTAGACCGGCCTCCAATCACATCTCATAAGACCTTAGATGTAAAAAGTTCATTTTGTCTCATGTTTAGGGCTCAGAAGGTTCTTTTATTAAGACAGAAAAGTAAATAAAGTTCCACGTATTAAAAGTAAAAGTTCATTTTGTCTCTCACCTCTGACGAAGTATCGACGAAACATGAGGTGATTAAGCAGTACTCGCTTTCTTTACTTTGTGTTATTAAAAGAACCGTCTAAGCCTTAGAGTGTAGACATGTTCATGAGTTAGTCTCAGGGTCAAGGGTCATGGGGAGTCGATCAATCACAGGTTTTACATCAATAACTCGGGGCTGAGCTTTCATTCCCTTAAAGTCATTTGGAATAAATACAAATCATCAGGAAATCTCAGCATCTGAAGCACAGATGGGTTGACTTTATTCGAGCAGAAAAGTTATCATAAGTATTTACATTCCTTAGTTTAAATGACTTCTCTACACGTTCTGTGCCGACAGTATTTACTTATACAAGCAAATATAAAAACATGGTGAATTGGGGCAAATACTGCTGTGGGTTATATATATCTAATTATCCATGTGTTGTACATAATATCAATATGTATTTACAAATGCATTTCCATTTATAATAAGTACTGGACCTGTAGAAGTACTTTTAAACCCCCGCCCCATGAACGCAATTCAAAAAGATTAAAGACTTTTGTTATCATTGAATAAATACCACCTTTATAATAATATTTAAATGGTGGGAAACCTTCCTTTGTTTTGAATAATCCCAGTACAACACAAACCCACTGCTACTCACTTGGCATTGTCATGATATCGAGCCACTTTCCCGAGTTCCACCTCGCTGTCAAAGGTCATCATCTGGACCCCGTGGGCAGAAGCATACTTAATCTGAGATACTTGTTTGCAGGGATTAGCATAAATAATTCTGCTTGGATCCACTCCCAGAGACTGAACCAGCTGGATCTCGGTCTGAAAAATGTAAATGAGAACACACCCATAAGTAAAAGAATATATATTTACGGCTGGTCCTTTGGCAAATGCGCACCTTGCTAGCACAGTCAAAGCCGGTTCCCATGGATGCTAACGTCGTGACCACACTCCGACTGTCGTTGCATTTCACGGCATAAAAGGGTGTGATGCGAGGCAGTGCCCTGGTCCAACGCAGGTGTTTTTTCAAGATGTCTCCCAAGTCACAGACATAGAAGGCATCTCTGTCATCCTGCAAAGGGTTCAAGAAAAAACTTTATTTTTTTACTTAGTGAGTGATGGATTTCCAAATAGATAATCAGACATTGAAGGCTTACAGTTGAGGACGACTCATTGATTTTCTGCTCAATAACGTCTCGGGCAGAAAATCCCTCTTCCAGGAATGAGAAGTTGCTTTCAGTCGTAGGGTTCATGGTGAATGTTTGAGTTTGTTACAAAAAGAAGCTGCAAAAATAAAGCAACACATTGAGCGAAGGCGAGCACAGGGTCAAGAATACAAATGTTTACAGCGTTACTTATTTTTGTATAGCCTTAAATCACAACAGCAGGACAATTTACCAACAACAGATCAGAGAAGCAAACAGGAAATAACAAATACAAAGGTGGTGCATAGGTAGCGGGATGAGATCCACAAAAGTTAATAAATGGACGGGTCAGTGCTAGTGTAAGAAGTGTCTTAAACCAAATACTTACTGGAATACAAAATTAACAGAATGAGTTATGGTTGTTCCTCAGGTGCAGAGAAGCCAAGGGGGTTCACCAGTGAAATTGAACCCTTTCAGATAAGCCTCCAGGCCAGGGCCGCCCAAGTAGCCAGTGTCTGAGATTCTAGAAAGACGTTTCTGTGAAATACACACACATATTGAGACTTGCAAACAAAAACAAGACACAAAACAAATACCACAGCTCAGTAGTACACATGACCTATGGCAGATCTGTTTTACTGTGTCATGGCAATTAGACACCATCTGCTACTCATTCAAACACCCGCTTCCTTATCCATCATTTTCCCGCTCATTGACATTGCTGCTGGCCTTACATTTGTTCTAAAAGACGCAGGATTACAAACGAAAGCCTTGAAAATTCACCTGAGGTCCCATAACAGGTCAATGAAGTACAAGGAAAGCTGTTGTTTTCCTTGAAATTCAGACTCAGCCCCCGACTCCGCCCACTTAAAAAGCAAAGACCCACCCTCTGACCAATGAGCGTCAAGAAAGAAGCATGACGTCAACGCGCAGCAGCGGAGCCGGTTCCGGCCATGAGGCAAAGAAGGGCGAACAATTATTACTTCATCCGCGGTATTTACAACAGATAAATACTCAAAACTCAAAACTACCATTGAAAAAATATATATATAGTAAAACAATTTGCCTTAAAGCTGAAGGCTCGCGCAGGCTACGCCACGTTAGCATTAAGCTAGCTAGCCCCCGAACAAGCCACGCAGACTGAAATCAAGAAAGAATGAAAATGTATCTAAATGTTGTGTACTTGTTGGATCTGCTGGCGTGATCTAAAACAAAATAATCAATAGCTTGACTCACCTTAAAAAGCATTTACAAATAGTGTTCCCATTAGATGCGTGTACTGGGTTGGTGACGTGTGCGGCTCGGGCTCTTGTCTTCTCTGCACCGTGAGTGAGACTGGAGGAGTGCGGAGAGAGGAGGAGACACGCAGCATTTATATGGGAGGCCGTTCCTACAGAAGCAGCCAGATCAAACCGGCCTGACTTCCGCCCCCAGGGGAACCAGTTCAATCCTGTCCCCGCATCCTCCGCTCATCAAGAGGAGAGGGGGATGTACGCGAGTAACTAAAGTAACGCGGTCTCTCTCCTTTCAGCCCGTTTCAATAGCTTTGGCCTATGTCTCTGTGCTGCAGAAGTCCAGTAAAGTGTTGCATGGGAACAAAGGTGTCAAGTTTGAAATCTGGGTCTTGCTTTGTCTTTTTGTACTCTTTCTACGCCCACTGCTACTTATTTCTTTGCAAAATGCCAAGGGCCTTTCAGTAATGACAGCATAATAAATAAAATGTTTCTCCACCAGGGGAGCACACACAAAGAGAACCTCCTTTTTTTTTTTTTTTTTTGGAAAAGTGAAAATAAAGAAAGCAACAAAATGTCTCATGCATAACAACATTTTCCGGGGATGAAGATGTTGTAATTGGTCCCAATGGTTTCTGGTTTGGAGAAAAACACACCGTGTAATATCACTTTATAGAAGCTATGTTTTTGTGTTTATGTTTTGTTCATTGTCCTCTTCCTAATTCTAATCTACCCTTATCATTTTTGCTTGCAGGCAGGAAGTAAGTTTGCCAGTAACTTCCCACAGATGCTTATCTTAATCCTGCAAAATCACAAGATCTAAAGTCTAATGATATTGTGGGAGAATTGGTCAAATTTAGTGCTTTTCTTCATAACAACCCACTCTGTCTTGTCCAACTTTTAAGTCCCCTCAGCACAAGCAATTGTTTTACTCAAATAGGAGACAGAAATAGACCTGTTAACGATCTTGCCCCGAGAGCTTTTCAAATGGATCGTTCCTAAATTAGCAAATAAAAGAGCAACACAGAGCTGTTCGGACGGTCGTGTTGAATATCAGCAGCCAGGGCTCTTAACATAGTATTGTGGATAGATAGCCTCTATTTTAGCTCCTTTTGAGAATTGTAGCCCCACTCAGATCCGGTATTAGCAATTGTATAAGTCCAGGATTCCTGAACTGCCCCATACTCCTCTTGTAATGTAGCAAGCATTGGTAGTAATTCATAAAAACTTTTAATTTTGTTTATACTGTTGCACATCCATGTCAGACTCTTAACACTCAGAGACACTTTTTCATCTGTGCTGCTAGACTTTACCCAGACAGGTGACTACAGCGGCCTCAGATTACATGACTTTTCCTCATTTCAAACACAAAGCCCTGGATAGATACCATGGAAAGTCTAAGACACAATCTAAAAGAACGACGGTGAAGTGTCTAGACTTTTACTTGAGGGTTGTTCCAACAATGGGAGGCTTCTAATTAGGGTCACAAACTGCATCTGGCAGTGCACATAAACAAAGGAAGTAAATGAAAGGTCCGACATGGCTTATGGAAGCGTTGTCTGGTATTTTTAGATGCTTGACTGCACACCACAGAACCTAAAGTCTAACATATGCACGACGTCATGGTCTGTGGGTTATACCATTAAAGTTGGGTTTAGGAAATGTTTGGAAATGGAAAACTCGCTGGTGGTTGTATTTGGATCACGGTCAAATGCATGTAACAGCCATGGTCCTGGATCAACACAGAAAACACACAGAATGAACGAAAAAGGACATCTGATAACAACCCATAAATATTGAGAATCATGTTTTTTAAAATATGTGCTTTCTTGTGTTATATGCAAATACACTGTTTCTTTCTGTTACTTGGTTAAAATGCATTTTATTGGTAACTTTTTTATTTAAATCTTTGCGGAAAACCTCTCACGTATTACTGTGTAGCTGGAAGTTGGTTTCATAAAATGCAGTTTAGTAACCATGTTTTATAGAATGCAGTATAGTAACCATGTTGTATAGAATGCAGTATAGTAACCATGTTTATAGAATGCAGTATAGTAACCATGTTTTATAGAATGCAGTATAGTAACCATGTTTTATAGAATGCAGTATAGTAACCATGTTTTATAGAATGCAGTATAGTAACCATGTTTATAGAATGCAGTATAATAACCATGTTTATAGAATGCAGTATAGTAACCATGTTTTATAGAATGCAGTATAGTAACCATGTTTTATAGAATGCAGTATAGTAACCATGTTTATAGAATGCAGTATAGTAACCATGTTTTATAGAATGCAGTATAGTAACCATGTTTTATAGAATGCAGTATAGTAACCATGTTGTATAGAATGCAGTATAGTAACCATGTTTATAGAATGCAGTATAGTAACCATGTTTTATAGAATGCAGTATAGTAACCATGTTTTATAGAATGCAGTATAGTAACCATGTTTTATAGAATGCAGTATAGTAACCATGTTTTATAGAATGCAGTATATAACCATGTTTATAGAATGCAGTATAGTAACCATGTTTTATAGAATGCAGTATAGTAACCATGTTTTAAATGCAGTATAGTAACCATGTTTATAGAATGCAGTATAGTATAGATGCATATATGTTATAGAATGCAGTATAGTAACCATGTTTATAGAATGCAGTATAGTAACCATGTTTTATAGAATGCAGTATAATAACCATGTTTTATAGAATGCAGTATAATAACCATGTTTTATAGAATGCAGTATAGTAACCATGTTTTATAGAATGCAGTATAATAACCATGTTTATAGAATGCAGTATAGTAACCATGTTTTATAGAATGCAGTATAGTAACCATGTTTTATAGAATGCAGTATAATAACCATGTTTATAGAATGCAGTATAGTAACCATGTTTTATAGAATGCAGTATAGTAACCATGTTTTATAGAATGCAGTATAGTAACCATGTTTTATAGAATGCAGTATAGTAACCATGTTTATAGAATGCAGTATAGTAACCATGTTTATAGAATGACCCAGCTGCCACTTGTAAGCCCTGCTGCAATGAGACCAAAGTTGTTTTATCTTTCGCCGTGCTTGCTCATCATTTTCTGCCTTCTTTCAAGGTTGAGCTGTCCGCTGATTTCACTGCGCACAGCAGTGTGAGGTACAAAAAGTACAGATATTTTCACTGGAAAAACTTTTGTGGCTTTTGTGGATTGGCCTGAAGCTCCGACAGAACCAGCCACATCAGCACTTTTCACTCCAGCTTTGATCTTGTTGGAAGAAGAAGAGCCAAACCCAAAGACTTATCATCCAGGCCTTGCTGTATTTACAGAGCGAAGTGGAGCTATTGTCAAGTTTCATTGTTAAAACAGGACATGCATTTGTCGTATTAGACTAAAACTGAATACAATAGTTTAAATTCTGCAGGGCAGCTCTTGGTACAGTTCAATCCGTATAAAATATTTTGTTTCTCAATGCAAAACGTCCTTTGAATTCCTCAACATGCTTCAACAATGATATCTCTGTGTATTTCCAAGATAAAAATAGATTACACGACTTCCTCCAGACCAGGGACCTTGACCCATGTTTTGAAAATCCTATCTGTAAATCCTGTTGCTTTCCAAACTTGACCAATATGAGTGCAGTAGTGACACCTGTGAGCCATAAACACATCCTGAGGTCTAAGTGGATTAAAGAGTAGAGCCCTCGCTGACCCACAGCCCTCAGTCTGGACACACTTAACACCACCCCACAGGCTCATGATTTATGTCTGTTTCTGGTTCCACTGACAGCAAAAACTATTACTATGAGTTTTATTCATTGGTCCAGTCCTTCAAGTCTCTCCATGGCCTCGCACCAAAATATATTAGTATTAGTCCCATATGAACCAGCCCGGACTCTGAGGAGCACAGGGACTGGTCTCCTGCTGGGACTCTGAGGAGCACAGGGACTGGACTCCTGTTCCCAGAGTCAGGACGAAACATGGGGAGGCTGCTTTTCAGTTTCATGCTAAAATCTGGAACAATCTTCCTGAAAAAGTGGCTTAAAACCAGGTTAAAGACAGTTCTGTTTCTCGTGCATACAACTGAGGGATTTTATATTTTTGTCTTTCTTTTGAATGTACTTTTAACAAGTTTATCTACACAAATAAACTTGCCTTACAACGACTCATCCCTTTTCATTGCTATAACTTTGTATCTTATGTTTAGCTTTGTGCATTGGATCCCTCATGTTCTAAGCTCTAAACCTGAGGCATGTGACATCAGAGTGAGTGGAAGAAGCCGCCGAGGCCACACTCCTCCTTCACTTTTTAAAAGAGACTGGATCAGAGCCGGCTGCAGGGACGCGAGCAGAGGGGGATGGGCCGGACACCCAAGAAGTTCTGGTATTTCCAAGAACTGCTGCAGTCGGTGGTTGGGGGGAGAACTCCCTTTTCCCCACCCCTTCTGATGCAACTACTGTCTGAGCGCGGGAGACCGTCATGGTGGCCTCGGGGAGATAAGATACGACTGTTGCGTTAAAGCTCGGGTACTTAACTTTTTTCATGAATGTATCGTTTGTCCCAACAGAAAGAGTAAAAATACATGTTCAAATCAGAAATGTGGTCTTTAACATAAAAGAAAACAGTTCTTTTTTGAATATTAGTCAATTATGTCTTAATCTTTTATCTATTTAGCCCATTTTTACAGAAAGATTGTTCAGAGTTCAGACATAGTTCCATCTGGTCCATCAAAGCCTCCGACCAAACACCTTTAATTCACTCATTTACATTCAGACCTATTGTACCGAAGCACCTGGAGGAAACATACGCAGACACGGGGAGAACATGCAAACTCCACTCAGAATGACCCTGTTCCAACCAGGATACAAACCCCTCTTGCTGAGAAGCGAGAGAGCTAACCACTCAGCCACCATTCAAATGCTTTGGGCTGAGAGCTGATTGGCCGAGAAAGATACATTATTTCTATTTTCATCTGTCTTTTGTGATGATCTTTTAAATGTGTGTGAAGCTGAAGCCGGAGCAAGAGGAATGTTTAGTAAATGTCATTGAAGCAAAGATGTTGTGGCTCTACTCCCCACGGGCTCCGTTAGAGGCAAAGGAGATGGCTAAAGCTAGGCTACATGCTAAAGCTAGGCTACATGCTAGCTAAATGCTAAAGCTAGGCTAAACTTAGAGCCAATGGTTTCAATCTGCAAAAGGAGTTAGCCCCTCCCACCTGTTAAAGGAGTCAATGGAGCAGATCCAGACCTTAGTACAAATGAAATGAGTACCATGGTGTGGTAAGACCAGGCTAGAGTTACCTCAGTGTTGTTACACAGTTCAATGTCTGTGGTTTAAAATGTTGGTCGTGTTTTTGATGCTATGAAAAATGAGTCAGGTTTGTTCTGTACCAAGTTTGATATGGTTCATTTTAACTCACAATTCTTAAAATACAAACATGACATAACAAAATAATACAGAAAGACATTTTTAGATTCAAACAGATGTGTGATTGTTGTGTTCGCAGAGCTCTCCCACATCAGCTCATATCTCTGTCCAGTGAGAGTTTCAAACACTCTTCACCTGGAAAGTGTTTAGGTGAAAGTCTCGACACACCTCAGAACCGACCTCTCCCTCCCCCTCTCCCTCCCCCTCTCCCCCTGCCCCGCCCCCTCCCCCTCGCGCTGCTCAGGTGTCCGGCCGAGCGCCTCAGCTTCTTCCTCTCTGCGTGATGGTCGCGCTCTGCCTGATTCTGCTTCTTCTGCTGCTCCGACTAAACACACAAAAAACAGAAATATAAGAAAAAAACACAGTCCTTTCTGGTTTTTAGGACTTGGTCCGAAAGTGGCTCTTGATGCTGAGGGGAGTATACATTTTTGGACCAGTCTAGTTTAGCCGCAATTGACTTTTAAATGCACTCGTTAGAGGAATGGGGCTCATGCAGCTAACACATGCGCAAATGTGTTTTTTCACATTTTCCAGCCCCCGCGGCCATTTTGAAAAAGCCACAGAAGGTAAAAGTGACGTCACTTTAGTTTCAACTGCAGAGACAGGTGTAACTACGTCTTGATAATACAGTCTATGATCATGAACATAGGTACACGAGTCACAACATGGAAGCTAAAAGTGCCAATAATGCTCATTCATTCCACGTCAGAATATATTGTGTAATTTGTCGTTAAAACACCTCGTCACTACAGCATGTTGGGACCAGTCTGTAAATACTAAAGGATGTAGTCACGCCTATCTCAGCTGTTGAAACTAATGTGCCATCACATTTGGCTTCTACGGGCAGTTTCAAAATGAAAAAGTGAATTCAAAAGTCCACAGCGGCTAAATTAGACTGGTCCAAAAACATACACAAACCAGGAGCCTTTTGGACCAAGAACCACTTTTGGACCAAGAACCACTTTTGGACCAAGAACCACTTTTGGACCAAGAACCACAAGAACCGCTGTTGGTCAAGTGTTTTGTTACAACACAAACTCCTGCGGCTTATATTCAAGTGTGTCTTATATGTGGAGAAAATGCAGGTATCGGTTCATTTACAGGGGCGCTTTATAGTCCAGAAAGTACTGTAATAAAGCAAACCTTGTGAATATGGTTTGATTTTGAAGGAAATATCTGAATCTTTATCAGAAATAGAACATATGAAGTCACTTATTAGTTATGACAGAAGGAGCATATACATTGTTTGACTGAAGGAGTATAGACTGAGCCCGACTGACGCTGGACAGAGACTGAATGAAAACGTACTTTTTTAAGCGTGAACGTGGTCTGCTTGCTTCCCACTGCGGTGTCCTCCAGGTTCATTAGGCCCGAGTTCTCTTCCAGCTTCAGCCGTTCTTCAAGCGACGCCCTGAGAACACACAGTTACTCAAAGTTCATAAGTAAGTAAACAAAACTGACAAAACGTGTGTGAGGACTTTTCTTAACCGTTCATATTTTAGAAGTTTACATATATACAGAACAAACTATGGCATCGCTTCACCTGTGATGTCATTACATTCATATTAAAGTAACAACTAAAAACTGAAGTGAAAGATCTTGATTCCAGACCCAAATGTAGATCACCTGGTCCATTGGGCACATATTATTCTCCATAACCTTCTTAGTTATGCTGGCGGTGATAACCTCGGCAAGATTTTGATTCCAAATCCAAATGGAATCAAGTATGGTATGGTATGGTATGGTATGGTATGGTATCCTCCTGAGACCCGAGCATTTGTCTGGTGTGCATTTTATATATTATTTTGCTATTTAGGATAAGTAGGACCCAATAAGTATAATACCTAAATTGTGATTTTGTACAGGAAGTAGTTTTTGAGAAAAAACATGTCCTCGTATGAGGACAGTGGGTCTCTCATAACCTAAAGAAAAAATGTATGCTCTTTGAGGCCGGAAAGTCCTAATTAGTTGAAATTCAAAATTTCAGCTTGATCCAATTAGTACTTCTCTCAAAAAGTCCTCATATGAGTACAGTAGGTCGACCTTACTATACAATACAAATAGATTCCATTGGTCTAAAATAGTATATAACAGTTTATTTTAAAAATGTAAACATCAAAGTTAGACATAAAATCCAAACAGCTCTATCTTCAAAGCCTAAAAATGTCATGGTGTGGACATTTTGACCTGGTTGAGTTTGAATCCTGCCTGTCCTGTTGATTGTTGCCCCGCCCTAATGTGATTCACCTGTGTGTCCCTGTGTGTGTATATATACCCTGTGCCCTTCCTCACTTGTTGTCCGTCCATTGTCTCCACAACGTTTGTCCTGTCTTCAGTTCTGTTTTTACATTACTTTGGATTTATTTTATTAAATTACTTTGATTTTCAGTCCTGCAATTTGGGTTCCCTTTTTCTTCATTCATCCACATGACAAAAAATTGGCTATACATAAATAAAACTGCAAAATACTGTGTAAACTGTCTATTTCAAGCCTTCAATATGGCTGAATTGAATTGATAAATACAATACTAGAACAAATAATGGCAAATATTATTAACAGTCCTAAAACAGTAAAATTCTGCAGAACAGCTTTTGAACCGGGGCTTTTTTCAAACTAGCTCCCTCTCTTTTTCTAGAAAGCAATCTGTCTGCCTGTTTGGAAGAGCCCTATTGGCAAGTGTGAAATGCTGCAAAGCAGTTGCGTTCACTTTGCAAGCACAGGTACACATTGCATGTCATGCATCGGACACAGGATTTTCCAATGCAGTCTTGTGCTCTGCAACGCATGGGGTTTTTCAAGGCTACCATCTCCGGGTTAGGGTTAGGGTTACAATATCCCCAGTCGAGGTCAGCAGCTCTCCACCCGCACCGTACACGGTGTTGGCAAAGAACTGCTTCCCCCTCCTGAGGCGCCAGAGGGTTTGCCAGAACCTTTTTGAGGCCGACCGATAGTCATGCTCCATGGATTCTCCGAAGTCCTCCCAGTCCCGGGTTTTTGCCTCTGCAACAGCCCGGGCCGCGGCACGCTTGGCCTGCCGGTACTGGACAGCTGCCTCAGGAGTCCCAGGAACCATCATTGCTCGATAGGACTCTTCAGCCTGACGGCATCCCTTACTGCCGGTGTCCACCACCGGGTTCGGGGACCAGCACCAGAGACCTTGCGACCACAGCTACGAGCCGCTTTATTGGCGATAGAGGAAGAGAACATGGTCCACTCGGACTCGATGTCCCCCTCCTCTGGGTCCTGCGAGAAGCTCTCCCGGAGGTGTGAGTTGAAAGTCCGTCTGACAGGGGGCTCAGCGAGACGTTCCCAGCAGACCCTCACTATACGCTTGGGTCTGCCAAGTCTGACCGGCTTCTTCCCCTGCCAGCGAATCCAACTCACGACCAGGTGATGATCGGTTGACAGCTCCGCCCCTCTCTTTACCCGAGTGTCCGAGACACGCGGTCGAAGGTCAGATGATACAACAACAAAGTCGATCATCGACCTCCGGCCTAGGGTGTCCTGGTGCCACGTGCACTGATGGACACCCTTGTGCTCGAACATGGTGTTCGTGATGGACAGGCCGTGACTGGCACAGAAGTCCAACAACTGAACACCGCTCGGGTTCAGATCAGGGGGGCCGTTCTTCCCGATCACCCCTCTCCAAGTGTCACTTGCATTTCCCACATGGGCGTTGAAGTCCCCCAGGAGAATAACGGCGTCCCCGGGCGGTGCACTGTCCAGTACCCCTCCCAAGGACTCCAAGAAGGCCGGTACTCGGCCCGTAGGCCGTCACAACAATGAGAGACTTGTCCCCCACCCGGAGGCGGAGGGACGCGACCCTCTCATTCACCGGGGAGAACTCCAACACGTGGCGGCTGAGATGTGGAGATGTGAGATATTGTGCATAAATAAAATGATGTCATTCATAAAATGTTGATAGAATTTTTACCTGGGGCATTTTTCTTCTGTGAACTCTTTTGTAGAAGTCTTTTGTTGATATTCCCACCATTGATTTCCTACTGCCTTAAGTGTAATTCTATCATATCACCACAAGATGGCGCGGGCAGTGTCCCTAAATGTGGCCATCAGGTCAAGGATGTGATGTGGTGTGGTGTGGTGTGGTGTGGTGTGGTGTGGTGTGGTGTGGTGTGGTGTGGTGTGGTGTGGTGTGGTGTGGTGTGGTGTGGTGTGGTGTGGTGTGGTGTGGTGTGTGGTGTGGTGTGGTGTGGTATGGTATGGTTTATGGTATGGTTTATGGTATGGTTTATGGTATGGTTTATGGTATGGTATGGTATGGTTTATGGTATGGTATGGTTTGGTATGGTGTATGGTATGGTATGGTATGGTATGGTATGGTTTGGTATGGTGTATGGTATGGTATGGTATGGTATGGTATGGTTTGGTATGGTGTATGGTATGGTATGGTATGGTATGGTTTATGGTTTGGTATGGTATGGTATGGTATGGTTTGGTATGGTGTATGGTATGGTATGGTATGGTTTATGGTATGGTATGGTTTGGTATGGTGTATGGTATGGTATGGTATGGTATGGTTTATGGTTTGGTATGGTATGGTAAACTGTAAATTTTGGTCTGGACATTGTTTATTTTTTCACAGTGGCAAGACACCATCAACAATTGGCCCAACAGTCTGGATTTAGAAAAAGCCTTAGCACTACGTCTGCAGCTCTTAAGGTTCTAAATTACTTTGTTGAACGTATTTATCAGAAAAAAACACAGCAGCGTTATTTGTCGACTTCTCCAAAGCGTTTGTCAGTGTCTCTCCGATCAGATGGTTTAACAATGATCTTTCTGATAGGACACAATATGTACAGGCAGATGGATCCTCATCGAGTGTTCAGTATGAGTCAAAAGGTGTGCCCCAGGGATCCATCTTAGGACCACTCCTGTTCTGACAACATTGTGTCGAATACCAAATGTCATTTTGATTCAGATGACATCGTTCTTTACGGCCCTGGAGCTAAACTTTCTGATGCTCTTGAACAACTGCAAGTGGATTTTAATGCTCTTCAGAAATACTTTATTAAATACTTGTTCTGAACGCAGAGAACGTTACAAGGCTTGGCTCTTGAGCGGGTCTCACCGTACCCACATCTGTGCCTTTAACTGATGAGTGCCTTTCTTTTGCACCACATATTCAGCGGTTGGCGAGAAAACTAAAAATGAAATTGGGATTCTTTTTCAGGATTAAATCTTGCTCATCTTAAGCTAGGAGGAAGCTTGTGTCTGCTACCTTTGTGCCGGTGTTGGATTATGGAGAGGTGTTATATAAGCCTCATCGTTTTAGGAGACGGCTGAGTGCTTTAGATGAACAGTCTGCACATTGTACTTGTTTTATATGAAATAATTCTTATTTTTTAGTGTTTTATTGGTTTCATTTGATGCGTTATCTCAATAATTTAGCTTTAGTTTTAGTTTGCATTTCTTTATGTTGTAAATGTGTGAATGTGGACACTCTTCTATATTGTTATCTCATCTCAGTGAGGTTCTCCTGGTTAAATAAAGGTTAAATAAAGGTTAAATAAAATCAGTGACAAGCTGTAGCACAGGTGTAGAATGTGAACATACTTTTGGAGCTTCTGCTTTCGGGAAATGTCGGTAAAACTCCGGAACTCCTCTCCGGCTTTGATCTGATAGAAGTGAGGCTGATGCGACTTGTGTTTTGCCGCCGCGCTGCTGTTGGTGGCGCTGTGCTCTGGGCCCAGTAGGACAGCGCTCCGGTCGGCCTGCTTCCTCTCCTGCAGGCGGCGCTCTCGGCCCTCGTGGTAAAGGAGGCGCCTCTGCTCCCGCACCTCCTCCACCCAGCTCTTATCATCGTCTGAACTGTCCTCCTCTGAGCTGGGCCGGCCCTCAGGCTCTTCCTCCTCTGCCTCCTGCACAGTCAGACAAAAAGGGGCAACTCCAATGTCACAAAATCTCATTGTTATAAGAATAATAAGAATAAGAATAACAATTTAAATCATATTTCATTCATTCATTCATTCAAGAACAATTAGACGTTACATGAAGGAGGTGGGCAACACTAAACGGACAACTCTACTCTCTGCATAATCTCTTGTTTACCTACATATGTCTGTTCTGTAAAAATATAAATCTGTGTCTAATATAAAGTGTTTTCTCTATGCTGAATGTTGCCATTTTTGTTGGTTCTGGTCATAGTAAGTTATAGTACTAGGGTAAGGATTCTACTACTACTACTACCACCACCACTACTGTGAGACAAGCATCTGGATTAATAAAACATGTGGAGATGATTAAAAAGGGTATAAAGTGACCATTAGTGTCACACAGTGTTTCCTGGTCTAGTGACGCAACAGGAAGTGTGTGTTTGTGGGTATTTTCCGTGTTGTGCAGTCGTGGTCGAGACATCACCTGTTGAGCTGCAGCCTGCTGTGACAGAAGCTTTAGTTTCTTCTTCCTCTTCTGGCCGACCTTGGACACGATGGGGTTGAGCAGCCGGAACTCCTCGCTCTGCTCATCCACCTGATAGTCCGGATTCTCAAACATAACCTTGAAACGGTCGTCGCCCAAAATAGTAGGAACAGCCTGAAAAGTGGAGAAAGCAGATGTTAGCGCTGCGTCTCTCTGTTTGGCAAACACAAACGAATGTCTTACCTTTCCTTTCTTCTTCCGAGAGGCCAGTTGAGCTTCGTCATCTCCTTCATCCATCAGCTTCAAAGCCAGTTCCTTGTTCACTTTGGGTAATTTCTATTCAAGCCGAGAAAATATGTTTAATGTATTGCACACATCCGCCTGACGTCAAGCCACGGAAAAGAGGATTAAGAATGTGGATCTAATAACAACAGATGCAATTGTTTTGCTAACGTGCTGCTAATATGTTAACCGACAAATGTATTTATTTAGGTTTTTAAAAAGAATCAATATTAACCGATACTAAACCGATATCGTGATATAGTTTTAATCCATATTGCCCTAAGTTGTTTTATATAAACTAAATCAAACACTAACGCAGACTGTTACTCACCGCTATCTGCACTCTCTGGGTCCTGGACTCTTCAATCTTCTGCCGGATCTTATCTTTGCGGTACTCCTCATACGCAAACGGGTTAGCCATGCTTTTAACCTGTGATCAAAAATACAAAACAAACAATTTAATATAATAAAATATATATATATATACAGAATAGAGTTTAAAAGGTTTAAAGAAGGATTTCCCCAAATGTTAGGAAAGAACCGCCCTCTCCACTCTTTGTACTAAACTCTCTGCTCTGATTGGACGAACACAGCAGCAGAATGATTGACAACTGGGAGGACCAATAGTGTTGATGATTGTGAAGTATCTGGACTTTAAAAAGTTATAACTCAAAAACTACATTTACTATCATAGATACACAGAATCCAAAAAGGACAAATTGACAAACACATTTTTGGTGAAATTAAAAAAGAACCCAGACCACAGATTAACATAAACACAACACTTTCAACAAGAATCATTTAAAAACAATAATCAATACAAATGTAAATGTTCCTTGAAAAACAGACGTGATGTTTTCAGTCAATTTTGTTCTAAAAATGAAGAATAATAATGGTTTGGTTTCACATTTAATGGTTTTAAAATACTTTGTTTCTTCTCTGTGTAAAAAGGAGAATCTCTGAATCAAAAGTGGATCTGAAAATATGGAACAAACTTCTGTCCTGACACATTTTTGTTTAATTTCTAGATTTTTCTTTAGTCCTTTTGTGAGAAATATGAAGTAGAACAATAGTGTGTGTGTGATGTAATTAAATGGATTAGGATTAGATCTGATAAAAAACACAGATTAGAGAAACTTGTTCTGAGGGACATTAGGAACAGATGAATGAGAATAACATTGGCTGAAATTAAAACATGAAATAAGCGGCGACAGTAGCTCAGTGTATAGAGCATTGGCCTTTGACCTCAAGACTTTCTCCATCGACTCCCACTGTCTGCTGTCGTTGTGTCCTTGGGCAAGACACTTAACCTCTGGGAACAGCAGGTGCCACAGTGGGGCGGCTGCGGCTGTAAAGTGCCAAACTGTGGTTGTGTCCTTAGGCAAGACGCTTCCCCCACATTAGGATGAGTCTGGTGTGTGTGTGAATGGTTGGTGGTGGTGGGAGGGGCTGATGGCACAGACTGGTTGCCTCGCTTCTGTCAATATGCCCCGGGGCAGATGTGGCTACAGTAGTTTATCACCACCGTGTTTGGAAAGAATTAATAATGAAAGTCCAAAAGAGCGCTGTATAAAACTGACGCATTATTATTATGAAATTTAAGAAACTGGACTAATTTATAAAAGGGATTTGAACACATGAAAAAACATCAACTATCCTCTGATTATTAAAATATAAACAATTGGCCTTTTGTCTCCTTTTGCACCTTGAACAAACCCAGACATATCTTTGAGTGTGTGAAGTGTTTTGGGACGACACACCTTGTGGTAAAGCCTGATGTCCATGAAGAAGCCGTGCATGTAGGCTCTGAGCAGAGACGAGCCCACGAGGTGAGACAACCCTGGAAATCACAGGTTTGACACAGTTACATAACTACAGAACTCGCAGGTAGAATCTCCTCCACATTTGCATTTGCTTCCTCAATATGGATTTGCATTTTTGTGTTCGAAGACGTTATGTGCAATTATGTTAAAAGTTATAACAGCATTATTAGAATCATTTCAACTGGAAATAGCTTTGGCTCTCGGTGCAAACAGGTCAAGTAGAGTTCGGCATTCATCTGTAAATAAGTAAATCATGTCCACTGAATGTCACTTTATCTAATAATAATAATAATAACACATTTTATTTATAGTGCACATTACATTTCCAGGAATCCTCAAAGACATTTTTTTCATTTTGTTTATTTCTTTCGAGCCCATAACATTACACATTTGTATACACAACAAGCCTCCCACAACATAGCACAAGAACAGAACATGATTCGCTAATGCTCCTGTGCACTGAAGAAAAATAAAAAAATAAAACCACCTATTACATATTCACATAGGCCTTGTAGTTCATAAGCACACTCCAAGAGCTCGAAATGGAGTGAGAAGAAGAAAAAACGTATAAACTCCCACCCCATGTATATTATGATAAATCATAACGTCAAATAAATAAATAAATAATAAAAATAAATAAATCAAGAGGACTTCCGCCGAGCTTTTCAAGATGGCGGCGTGACTCTTCTCCGCTCCCGACCAGAAGTTGTAAAAAAGTTCACGCAACTCGAGAAAAAACTTGCTTTAATTATTTTATTCAAATATGAGACGTGTAACTAGATTCCAGGCAACCAAGGATGACTCTGACACAATGACTGGCGGAATCTGAACAGCGTTTTGGTGAACTCGAATCTGCTCCTACACTCGGTCAAACAACAGAAAACCCTGATGACAAAAATGACTGATCCAGACGAAATAACCTCCGTGTAAATAACATCAGTGAGAATGCAGAAGGTAGCTCTATGTCATCGTTTATGGACACTTTTCTGAAGAGGGAACTTTCCCTGCGAGAGGAGGAGGATTTGCAAATCCAACGCGCTCATCGCTCTCTTGGGCCAAAGCCACAGGATAAACATGCCGCTAGATCCATTCTAGTCAACTTTCAAAGGTTTGATATGAAGGACAAAGTGTTACGTGCAGCCTGGGCGAAGAAGATCATCTTTGACGGTAAAGTTATTACGTTTGCCAATGACATGCCCACGGAGATAAACAATAAAATGAAGGAATACAAGGACATTAAGAAGTCCCTTAAAGAAGCAACGGTACGCTTTCAGACGCCGTATCCTGCGAAACTGAGAGTCCATTGGGAGGACGGTCCAGCGTGTACAAGACGGCGAAAGAGGCGGCGGAGGACGCGAGGAAGAGAGGCCTTTCTGTGGAGATCCCCCGCTCTTCAGATACCGACTGGGAGCAGGTACTCACTCGTGATACGCATTGGAACAAGGCTGGGAACACTCATACTGAGCGAGTACGGGAAAGACTGCGTGTGTTTCAGAATGACTAGCTAAAATGTTTCGGTAAATAATGCTGACGAAGCAAGTAAGTGCGCTTCGGCCTTGTTAAACTGTTTCTAAAGGTAAGAACAGGCAATTGACATCAAAGTTTATGTTTATCATCCGTCATTTTGTGGTTCGCATCTTGTTCGAAGGGAATATACACATAAACATGAATAATTTAAGATATATTCCTCCTGTGTGTGCGTGTGTGTATAGATTTACAAAGAATAGTTTTCGTTTTTGGATGACCTACTTTAACCATTATTCTGGTCGGGTTCGGGAAGAGATGACACTCTTCAAATTCCTTTTTGTTTTTTACGTGTGCTCAAGAAGGGACTTTGTACTGCCAAAGAAGGAGCCCCTACTACCTGGAGTAGGGCTTTTCTCCTCATTTGTATTGGAAGGACGGACAATGGAAGATGGGAAGACAGGGACAATGAAAACCCTGGAAGTGGAAGTGATTTTGTTTTGTTTACTGTTCCGCTTGTTCTGTTTTGTGTTTACAGTCAGCAGATTTTTCTTATTCATTTACTATGACTGGTATCAACATTAGAGCAGCTTCTTGGAATGTAAATGGTCTCAACAACCCTGTTAAAAGGAGCCGAGTAATGTCATGGATAAACATTACAATGTAAAATAGAGGGCAAATTGTCCACTCTTCTCTCAGTCTACATGCCCCCAGATCATGACACCAAATTTATAAAGAGAATTTTGGAACTGATCTCCTCAGAATCACAAGGGGTGCTGATATGTGCGGGTGAATTCAACACAATCCTGCACAGAAATGATACGACCAACACTAGAAGAACTGTCACACCACAAAGTAAATTACTGAAAAAGGGTCTTCGTGATTTAGGCTTGATCGACGTTTGGCGGGAAATGTGTCTTCTCGATAGAGATTACACTTTTTACTCTTCCCCTCACAAAGTACATTCTAGAATAGATTTTTTTTTTATGGCGGCTAATGACAGACACAGGATCCAAAGTTGTGACATTGGTACCAGGAGTTTGTCAGACCACTCGCCCGCATATCTAACATTTCATCTGGATTCTAGGCCAAAAAAAACAATATGGAGGTTAAACACAGGATTACTGAATAATAAAAAAGTAATAAATGACATAAAAACTGAGATAAAAAACTTTTTAGAACTAAATGACAATGGTGAACCCCAACATTCTATGGGACACGTTGAAGGCAGTAATTAGAGGTAAATTCATATCATTAAGTGCAGCTATCAAAAAGGAAAAAGAAAAGACATTTAAAGAATTAGAAGAGTCATTGAGAGAGCTTGAGAAGAAGCAAGTTGAAACTCCAAATAATCAAATCTTAGAAGAAATTAAACTTAAGAAAACACAAATTTCAAACTGTTATAAAGAGGAAGAAGAGAAAAGATATAAATTCTTAAAACAATCCTACTATGAAACTGGCCCACGGGCTTCAAAGCTTCTTGCCAGGAAAATAAGACAGAAGCAGATAACACAGTCTGTTTGCTCAATAATGAATCCAAGGACTGGCAGTTTAGAAAATGATCTTGATGGAATTGATGCAGCTTTCAAAGACTAGGCGGCACGGTGGCTGAGTGGATAGCACTCTCGCCTCTCAGCAAGAAGGTCCTGGGTTCGAATCCCGGCCGGACCAGGCCTTTCTGAGTGGAGTTTGCATGTTCTCCCCGTGTCTGCGTAGGTTTCCTCCGGGTACTCCGGTTTCCCCTACCACTAAAAATATGTACAATAGTTCTGGCATGCGCCTCCTGTACTGGCGACCCCGCTCCCATCTCTGTGTGGAGTGAGAGGACAAGTGCCCAAAAAAAAATAACAATTGTAAACCGCTTTGTGACTCTGGTCTGTGAAAGGCGGTATATAAATAAAGATTACTTACTTACTTACTATTATGAAATGCTTTACACACAGCCTGAGAGAGTAGGAGTAGATAGAGTGAAAAGTTTTTTGGATTCTTTGGATTTACCTTCAATAGGAAGACAACAAAATGAATGTCTAACAAAAAAAATCCATAATATCGAACTGGAGAAGGCATTTAAAAAGATGAAAAACAACAAAACCCCGGGTACAGACGGGTCCAGCAGAATGGTATAAGGCTTTTGGAATCAGAACTAACATCAATACTTTTGAAGAGCTTGAATTGGACTCTGGAAAGTATGTCAACGCCACCATCTTGGACTGAAGCATTTATTACTGTCATACCCAAAGAGAGTAAAGATAAAACTCTGTGTAGCTCTTATGGACCAATCTCTATATTAAATCAAGACTATAAATTATATGCATCTATAATATCTAACAGGCTAAACGACTTTATTCCAGATTTAATAGACGAGGATCAAACAGGATTTATTGCGACAAACGCAGGACAATATTAGACGTTCTCTGCACTTAATAAACACTAAGCAATAATCAGAAAGCTGCTTTGGTAAGTTTGGACGCAGAAAAGGCTATTGATTGTGTAGATTGGCAATACTTATTCCTAGTTTTAGAAAGATTTGGCTTTACTGACACCTCCATTAACAGCATAAAGACATTGTATTTGGCCCCCACTGCAAGAATTAAAGTGAATGGCCGTTTAACAGATCGGATTGAATTAGAAAGATCAACACGTCAAGGCTGTCCCTTATCGCCAACCCTATTTGCACTCTATATCGAACCATTAGCACAGGCAATTAGAGAAAACCCAAATATTAACGGCATAACAGTGAATTCCAGAGAGCATAAAGTGGCCCTGTGGCTGATGACGTCCTGCTGTATCTATCTAACCCAAACCAATCCACTCAGGCTCTCCTACAAACACTTCACACATTTGGAGCTTATTCTGGATATAGACTAAACATAAGCAAGACACAGATTATGTGTTTTAACTATAAGCCAGCTGAAGTTTTAAAAGAAAAAATCAAAACTGATTGGTCCAGGAAGGCGATTCGGTATTCGGGTGTGTGGCTGACACATTCCCCTGATGATCTTTTCAAGAAAAACTTTGACGATGTGAACAAAAAAATGAAAGAGGATCTCACGCACTGGACAACAAACATACTTAATTTCCACTCAAGAATTGAAGTAATTAAAATGTCGGTCTTGCCTAGATTACTATACTTATTTATGTCACTACCAGTTAAAATTCCAACTTCTCAATTCCGTGAATGGGAAAAACAAATATCCCGATTTATTTGGAGAGGAAAGAAACCCTGTGTCAAATTTAGTACATTGATGCTCCACAAAGAAAAGGGAGGTTTATCATTACCAAATCTGAAAGATTACTATACAGCATCTCAACTCAGGCCGTTGGTACCTGTGATGGTACCTGTGATGGTACCTGTGATGGTACCTGTGATGGTACCTGTGATGTGTGATGGTACCTGTGATGGTACCTGTGATGGTACCTGTGATGGTACCTGTGATGTGTGATGGTACCTGTGATGGTACCTGTGATGGTACCTGTGATGGTACCTGTGATGTGTGATGGTACGTGTGATGGTACCTGTGATGGTACCTGTGATGGTACCTGTGATGGTACCTGTGATGGTACCTGTGATGGTACCTGTGATGGTACCTGTGAGGCGAGGTGGAAAGAGATAGAGAAAATATGTGGAAATATTCCTATACAGGCGTTTATTGGTGACTCAAAATTAATGACAACTCACCAAGACATTCTGTCGCCGCTGGCAATTTTTACACTGACGACATGGTTCCAAACTTTAAAAGAACTTAAGTTATCAGATCTTGCACGAACACTTCGATGGGTCGCTTACGACACAGACTTCACACCTAATCAATTTGACTCTAGATTCAAAGATTGGACACGACAAGGACTTACTTCCTATTGTAACATACTTGATAAGAACTTGTTGCCAACTTTTCAAATGTTACAAAGAAAGTATAAATTAGAAAAAAATGATTTTTTTTAGATACCTACAAGTAAGACAATATTTATCAACAAAACTATCAAAACCAGAACTGGGCTCAAATCAATTAATTAAGCTGATTTCACAATCATATACCAAAAAATGTACATCTATTATTTCTAAACTATATCAGGGATTAGCAACTAGCAGGGGAGAATCAACAATTTATATCAAGAAGAGATGGGAAAAGGAAATTGGTTTGGACATTACAAATGAGCAATGGGATAATGTATGTGAGACAGCCTTGTCGACCGCCAGCTCTGCCGACTGGCGCGAATTTAGTTGGAAAAACTTGATACGGTTTTTTATAACCCCCAAACAACAAACGACATGGAACCTGAAGAGTTCTTTATGCTGGAGAGGTTGTGGGGATAGGGAGGCCCATCACACTCATATATTTTGGTCCTGTACTAAGATAAAACCATTCTGGACTGATATCAGATTAAATATAGACCAAATAACTGGTGTCAAACTTAAACAAGAAATTATGACACTCTACATGGGAGACATACCCACAGGCTTGCCAAATAACATTAAATATTTAATCAAAATTTTTATTGCATGTGCAAAAAAGGCAATCACCAGGAAATGGCTTCAAACAGACCCGCCTTCATTAGAAGATTGGATAAATCTAGTGGACGAAATTCGTCAAATGGAGCTGACTTTTATGCTAAGGACACAGGCTAATATCTATTACTCCAAATGTGGTAAATGGTTGACCTATTTTAATGTAGGCTCAGTGTTGTGACCTGTATGTAAGTATGGGTAAATATATATGTGTATGCATAATACTCTAACCCTGCTCTTGCTACATCTGTATGAAAATATGTATTGATGTACAGTAAAACTTCTTCATGCTGACTGTATTTTGTCTATTGTTCTTGTTCTGTTCATAAAGAATGTTCAATAAAATTTTAGTAAAAAAAAAAAAAAATCAAATAAAAATCTAGTCATGACCCTTGCCTACAGTGCCTTGCGAAAGTATTCGGGCCCCTTGAACCTTTCAACATTTCGCCACATTTCAGTCTTCAAACATAAAGATATAAAAATTCATTTTTTTTGTCAAGAATCAACAACAAGTGGGACACAATCGTGAAGTGGAACGACATTTATTGGATACTTTAAACTTTTTTAACAAATAAAAAACGGAAAAGTGGGGCGTGCAATATTATTCGGCCCCTTGCGCTAATACTTTGTAGCGCCACCTTTTGCTGCAATTACAGCTGCAAGTCGCTTGGGGTATGTCTATCAGTTTTGCACATCGATAGACTGGAATTCTTGCCCCTTCTTTCTTGCAAAACAGCTGGAGCTCAGTGAGGTTGGATGGAGAGCGTTTGTGAACAGCAGTCTTCAGCTCTTTCCACAGATTCTGGATTGGATTCAGGTCTGGACTTTGACTTGGCCATTCTAACACCTGGATACGTCTATTTGTGAACCATTCCATTGTAGATTTGGCTTTATGTTTTGGATCATTGTCCTGTTGGAAGATAAATCTCCGTCCCAGTCTCAGGTCTTTTGCAGACTCCAACAGGTTTTCTTCCAGAATGGTCCTGTATTTGGCTCCATCCATCTTCCCATCAATTTTAGCCATCTTCCCTGTCCCTGCTGAAGAAAAGCAGGCCCAAAGCATGATGCTGCCACCACCGTGTTTGACAGTGGGGATGGTGTGTTCAGGGTGATGAGCTGTGTTGCTTTTACGCCAAACATATCGTTTTGCATAGTGGCCAAAAAGTTTGATTTTGGTTTCATCTGACCAGAGCACCTTCTTCCACATGTTTGGTGTGTCTCCCAGGTGGCTTGTGGCAAACTTTAAACGAGACTTTTTATGGATATCTTTGAGAAATGGCTTTCTTCTTGCCACTCTTCCATAAAGGCCAGATTTGTGCAGTGCACAACTGATTGTTGTCCTATGGACAGACTCTCCCACCTCAGCTGTAGTTATCTGCAGTTCATCCAGAGTGATCATGGGCCTCTTGGCTGCATCTCTGATCAGTCTTCTCCTTGTTTGAGATGAAAGTTTGGAGGAACGGCCGGGTCTTGGTAGATTTGCAGTGGTCTGATACTCCTTCCATTTCAATATAATTGCTTGCACAGTGCTCCTTGAGATGTTTAAAGCTTGGGAAATCTTTTTGTATCCAAATCCGGCTTTAAACTTCTCCACAACAGTATCTCGGACCTGCCTGGTGTGTTCCTTTGTCTTCATGGTTCTCTCTGTGCTTTAAACAGAACCCTGAGACTATCAAAGAGCAGGTGCATTTATACAGAGACTTGATTACACACAGGTGCATTCTATTTATCATCATCAGTCATTTAGGACAACATTGGATCATTCAAAGATCCTCACTGAACTTCTGGACTGAGTTTGCTGCACTGAAAGTAAAGGGGACCAATAATATTGCACGCCCCACTTTTCAGTTTTTTATTTGTTAAAAAAGTTTAAATTATCCAATAAATTTTGTTCCACTTCACGATTGTGTCCCACTTGTTGTTGATTCATGACAAAAAAAATAATTTTATATCTTTATGTTTGAAGCCTGAAATGTGGCGAAATGTTGAAAGGTTCAATGGGGGCCAAATACTTTCGCAAGGTACTGTATATGTGTGTAACTTTGCACTTTATAGAGCAAGGGTCTCCAACCACGACTTTCCCGGGTTCACGACTCCCACTGATGACTGCTGTTGTTGTGTCCTTGGGCAGGACACTTGGCCCCACTTTGCCTGAGGCCCCCACTGGGAGATCTCGGCTCCTGTGGACTCACCAACTGCAGGAGGATCAGTGAGGGGCGGGGTGCTCTGTGTACTGGGTGGCATCTCTGGCCACCCCCCCGACCCAGAAAAGGATTAAGGGGAAGAAAATGGATGGATGGATGGATGGTCTCCAACCAGTAGCTCGCCAGCACCTCTCACTAGCTCGCCAAAGGATTTAGAATTCAACAATTGATCTTGACTGAATTTATTTGAATTCGATTGAATATTTTGAGTCTATTATGTAACCCGTGTCAGTGAAAATATAGGGTTATCCAGTATTTTGGTATATTTCACATGTTTTCCCTGTTTTGTCGTAATTATAAGACACATTTTAATTAGGGCCGCAAAAAGAAGTAGCTCTCTGCATCTTTTTTTGTATATAAGTAGCTCTCCAATTGAAAAAAGTTGGGGACCTCTGATATAGATATTTTAAAGACTGAAATTGAGGCATTTGCAGTTAGCTAACAATAATAGCATCTACTTGTATTTTGTATATTTTTGTGTGCTCCCTGTGTCTCTTACTACTGCCCTGTCTGTGCGCTGCAACACTGAAATTTCCCCACTGTGGGACAATCAAGGATCTCTCATTTTAGAGGAGTAGAGACTAGGTAAGGGTCAGTAAGAATCAACATTTCTAGAATATGGAGATTAAATTATTACAACTACTACTATAGATATTTTACAGGACATGAGAGCACCTCCTTTAACCACGGAGTAAAGGATGAAAACTGAATAAATGCAAATATATTTTTCTGTTTTAAGTATTTTAGACTCGGGAGTTCCACTTTGTAAAGTCATTCATCAGGAGAGAGAAAACGTGTAGTAGCAGCGGGCTCCGAGTTACATAATAGTGAAGCAGCTTCTGTAATCGCCCCCCCCCCCCCCCCCCCCCTCGGCCCCCCCTCTGTCGCCCCCCCCCCCCCCCCCCTGCATCCCCCCCCCTGCACCCCCGTCCCCTTCATCCCACAGCAGCCAACCACTCTTCGGCTTCTTGTCATTTGATCTCTTAACTGCTGAGGCTGCATTCCAATGTTCATTCAACCCACACACAAACGCACACACAGAGAAACACACACATGCAGAGACACAGACACAGAGACAGACAAAGACACAGACACACAGAGAGACACACAGAGACAGACACAGAGACAGACACACACAGAGACAAAGACAGACACACACAGAGACAGACACACAGAGAGACACAGGGAGACACATGTTAGGATTTAGCAGACAGAGACGGATCGTGGTGTGCCAAACTCTGGAAGTTTATTTAAGTTTCTCTCAAGTTCCACTGGTTTACTCTGTTTCTTTCCCTCAGACAGAATAAAGGCAGTACACAGTTTATATAGTCATTGTCACGTCACACATCGAAAGACATACGTGTCACAAAGAGACAGTCACATCATAGTCATAACATGGAGTCCTTGTAGAGTCCTTGTACAGTCCTGCACGTAGGCCATATTGCTATCTAATACTAACACACACACAGAGACACTCACAGAGACACACAGGGAGACACACACAGAGACACAAACAGAGAGAGACACACACAGAGACACACAGAGACACACACACAGAGACACACACAGAGAGACACACAGAGACAAACACACAGAGACAAACACACAGACACACACACAGACACACACACAGACACACACGACAAGACTCCAACAACATGTCTATCAATGGTCCTATGTAGTAAAAATCCTATTTCAATATGTTTTTGGTGTAAAAAATGTGTTTAATTAAGTCAATGCCAATGTTTAGATGAAGTGATATTTTGACTTCTCGTAGCAGCAGCTCACCTAAGTTCTCCAGATCCTTGTGAGTAACAAACTTGTAGTCGTCGTAGACCGTGCTCTCGGGGCTCTCCTCCAGCTCCTCCGTCAGGTTATCCAGGAACGAGCACCACCGCGGCGCTGGCCCCAACGCCTAAAACAAGCATCAGAATGGATTTAAGGAGAAACACTGAAAACTAAACACAAAATCAACTGTTTTTGACCATAAACTGTAAATATAAACTGATGTAGTGACGTCTATCTCTGACGTTCAAACTAATGTGACATCACTTTTGCCTTCTGTGGATTTTTCAAAATGGCCGCCGGGCAGGACCATGTGAAAAAGAGCATTTGTGCGTGTGTTAGCTGCATTAGCCCCGTTCATTTAACAAGTGCATTCAAAAGTCCACAGCGGCTAAACTAGAGTGGTCCAACAATATATACTCCCCTCAGCATTGACAGCATCTGGAACCAAGAGGACCAAGAGCCACTTTTGGACCAAGAACCACTTTTGGACCAAGAACCACTTTTGGACCAAGAGCCACTTTTGGACCAAGAACCACTTTTGGACCAAGAACCACTTTTGGACCAAGAGCCACTTTTGGACCAAGAGCCACTTTTGGACCAAGAGCCACATTTGGACCATCCTGTAAAGATTTTTTCGAGAGGTAATCAGATGCTATACATTAGCATTGGCTAATTCTTATTCCGGGTCCGCCCCCACAGGCCCGGGGTGGTATTGCATCATGTCAGGGCACATCATTTTGAAAATTTTTGAGCCGGGACCCGCCCACACTGGTCCTCTGGGAAAAACGCTTTTTTTATAGAGAAATTCCAAATGTTGATATGGGCGGAGTCAGGCTGGCCACTGGGGTTTAGTTTTCCTTTTAAGTAGTGGTTCTATTAAAAACTAAATGAGCTCTAATCTGCTACAACGGCAAGGTAATCCTTCCTTCCTGAGCAAATTATAAGATTGTCTGGTTCCAACACTTGATCACAAACCTAATAACTGTTTCAACTTCACTATAAGGGCAGTTTAAGAGACAAAGAAGATGGCGGTGGTCGTGTGGCGATATTTGTCAGTATCAGAAAGAGATCAGCGTTTGCAGTTTGCACGAGTTCAGTGAGATTTCAAGATCTGCGAGAAAATCATGTAAAGAATCTCATTGGACGTTTGAGAAGGAGGCGGAGACACCGACCGCAGAAAGCTGAAGAGAAACGGGAAACTGAAGCCACCAAGAAATATATAAAGTAGGGCTGTCAAACGATTAAAATGTTTTAGTTTTTTCACGATTAATCGCATTTTTAACATTCCATTTAAATCCACTCCAATTGAAGTTAAAGATTATCAAATGTAAATGACACATGTCATTCACACCAAATGTACTTAAGTCTGTTTGATTCACAACCTTTTACTTTTGGACACAACCAACATGAGCTGTTAATGAAAGGGAACATTTACGGACCCCAGCTTTAATTTAGTGCGTTTAGTTGCGTTTCAGGAGAGGACACTTCCTGAGGCTGCACACTCCAGCTTCAGTGGTGTATTCACAGGTTACGCAAAGACGCATGTATGGTCTTGGATCACGTTACCGCGGCGCCATTCGCCGTGTTGTTATTAGCGGCCACGAGGAGGTGGACTTTTTTATACATTTCAAAACTTGAATTCCTAAAGGTCCTACCGGCTCTGTTGCCATCTCACACACGCACGTGTCCGCGGCATTCTGAATCATGGATATATGGTCATTCTGACATGCGTCAATGCGTTATTTTTTTAACGTGATTAATGAAAAATGTAATTAATGTACTAAAAAATACATAAATAACAAAAAGAAAATACGTCAGCCGTCGGCCAAGTTGGTTTGTTAAACATCGGTATTAACCAAACATTTCACAATCTGTGCGTCCCTCATTCCCACCAATACTCAAAATGTTGTACAGTATTATGTGCATTTGATCAAAATACTTCAAACCAAGTTTAATAATTGGCTGCTTTTACTGTTTAATTCATTTAAAACACAACAGTCTAATAACGGTATAAAAAGGTGAAGAAATCTGGCCTGGTCTTACCACACCCCGCTCCCATCTCTGTGTGGAGTGAGAGACAAATGCCCAAGAATAACAATTGTAAACCACTTTGAGACTCAGATGTGCAGTGAAAAGGCGGTATATAGATAAAGATTACTTTACTACTACTACTACATTGTACTCATTTCATTTTGTACTGGATTTTGTTCTAAGGTCTGGATTTGCTCCATTGACTCCGTGAACAGGTGGGAGGGGCTAACTGCTTTTTACAGATTGAAACCATTGGATCTGAGTTTACTGTGATGTATGTAATGAGCCCGAGTGAGTGAGGCATTTAGCCTAGCTTTAGCATTTAGCCTAGCTTTAGCATGTAGCCTAGCTTTAGCATGTAGCCTAGCTTTAGCATGTAGCCTAGCTTTAGCCATCTCCTTTGTCACTAACGGAGCCCGTGGGGAGTAGAGCCACAACATCTTTGCTTCAATGACATTTACTAAACATTCCTCTTGCTCCGGCTTCAGTTTCTTGACATTTGGATTGAACCAGAACAGATTATTTTACTATCGCATTCTCCAACAAACTACAACCAGCAAATTCAGCACAAACTCTTGACGACACCGACACCGACCTACAACACCCGCCTCCCCCGCTCTCTGATTGGTCGGAGGAGATTCAACCGAGGAAACTGCAGCCACTAGGATCAGACCCAGACGTACATGTAGGAAATGATCATGGACCAGAGTTTACACATGGTAAGACCAGACGTACATGTAGGAAATGATCATGGACCAGAGTTTACACATGGTAAGACCAGACGTACATGTAGGAAATGATCATGGACCAGAGTTTACACATGGTAAGACCCAGACGTACATGTAGGAAATGATCATGGACCAGAGTTTACACATGGTAAGACCAGACGTACATGTAGGAAATGATCATGGACCAGAGTTTACACATGGTAAGACCAGACGTACATGTAGGAGATGATCATGGACCAGAGTTTACACATGGTAAGACCAGACGTACATGTAGGAAATGATCATGGACCAGAGTTTACACATGGTAAGACCAGACGTACATGTAGGAGATGATCATGGACCAGAGTTTACACATGGTAAGACCAGACGTACATGTAGGAAATGACCATGGACCAGAGTTTACACATGGTAAGACCAGACGTACATGTAGGAGATTATCATGGACCAGAGTTTACACATGGTAAGACCAGACGTACATGTAGGAAATGATCATGGACCAGAGTTTACACATGGTAAGACCAGACGTACCTTCAAGGACCATCAAAAACTTACTCTGTCATTATTTGAATTGAACCCTTCACTGTTTTTGATGCTTTTACTAAATAAGTAGCAACACAACCATTGAGTAAAATGTGCTCTTTAAGAAAATGGAAAAGAAAAAGTTCTTCCTTAAACTGTTCAAATATTAGACTATGGAGGAAAGAGCAAAGATTACATCACAACTGGTTTTAAAATCAACACATCAGCATTCCCATGGGGCAAAGTCAAATCCACCTATAGAGCATGAAAAACCTGTAGGTCTTTAGATTAAGGTTTAAGCCCATTTGGCAGACGCTGGATACACTGAGAGCTTCCACCTGAGCTCACAGTGAATCCAGATTATTATCAATGCTTCTAAAATTATTTCTTTAAGATGTAGATTTGGCCAATACTCTACTCTAAAACGCTGACCTTTCTATTCTCCACGTCTGGACCTTATCGCTCTGGTGTGGAAAACTGTTACATGAAAGACTGTACAATGTTCTGGAAGGATCCCTGCACTTTAAGGGTTGGACGCCCTTTAAAGGTGCTCTGTGTAATTATTAGTTAGTCCAAATGTGACCTTTTTAAGGCCCCGTTTATAAGGAGACGCTGCAGCAGTAAAACGCTATAGTTGGTGTTGGTTACTACCTCCCGGAGAATGTTCCAGGGGAAAACGTAAGAGTTCAGATCCAGCCTCAGAGTGGGACAGCTCAGATGCTCAGCAGGGGGCGCTCTTTCACACCCGGGTAAGGGAAAAGGTGTGACTTCTCTGCTGCTCTGACCCCACCTCCCGCTGCTCCCCAAACGTACATTTGGACATGCGCAGTAGAACAAACGTAAACAACAATGGCGGCGGGTAGCTAACTAGCTACGTGTGCTTTGAGTGCTACATGGAGAAGGATTCAACTCCTTCGTTCGTCCAAACGAGACCACGCAAAGCTCTAGTTTCAGTTTCCACTTTTGCAGCTGCTGTTAAATGCAGAATAATTAAAAAAGAGAAATAAAGGATCTCTAAAGTAGCTTTCTGTTTTATAGAGGTAGCTCCTTGTTGTATAGAAGTAGCTTTCTGTTGTATAGAGGTAGCTCTCTGTTGTATAAAAGTAGCTCCCTGTTGTATAAAAGTAGCTCCCTGTTGTATAAAAGTAGCTTCCTGTTGTATAAGGAACACAGATGGCCTCAGAGGGTGATGTCACATCCTTCCAGCTGTGATCTCTGGAGGCCGAGTCTGTGCCGGCCTCAGGAAATCACACTGCATTTGAGAAGATGTGAAAAACAGAGCGTGTGTGTGTGCGTCTGTGTGTGTGTGAGAGAGGAGAGGGTGTGTGTGTGTGTGAGGAGCGTGTGTGGAGTTTGTGTTTTTATGTGTGTGTGTCTGAGTGTGGGTTGTGATTAGTGTGTGTATCTGTAAGTGTGTGTGTGTACGTCTGTTTTGTCTAAAGCCAAACGCATTTACTTAAAGTTACATCAAAGAAACTTTGAATCAAGCCGTATTTTAACATTCGACTTTGACACAGGTTTCAGATCTTTTTAACGCGATGGAAACAGAAGAAAGAGATGAAGGTGAATGAATGAACACTCACAGGCAGGTAGAAAGTATTCATCTTGGGGTCTTCATTGGCCGTGAAGAGCATTCCTGAGAAGACACAACTCAACTCAACTCTTTTCAGCTCAAAAATAACAGAATAATTCAAAATAAATACATATTTGCTTTAAATATGAATTTATTATATAGATATATATATCTATATAATCTATTTATAATCTAAGAGAGAGAGAGAGAGAGAGAGACAGAGAGACAGAAAGAGAGACGGACAGCGAGAGACAGAGAGACAGAGAGACAGAGAGACAGAAAGAGAGACGGACAGCGAGAGACAGAGAGAGAGAGAGAGACAGAGACAGAAAGAGAGACAGACAGCGAGAGACAGAGAGAGAGAGACAGAGAGAGAGAGAGACAGAAAGAGAGACAGACAGCGAGAGACAGAGAGAGAGAGAGAGAGAGAGAGACAGAGACAGAAAGAGAGACAGACAGCGAGAGACAGAGAGAGAGAGACAGAGAGAGAGAGAGAGAGAGAGAGAGACAGAGAGACAGAAAGAGAGACAGACAGCGAGAGACAGAGAGAGAGAGAGAGAGAGAGAGAGAGAGAGAGAGAGAGACAGAGAGACAGAGAGAGAGAGACAGAGAGAGAGACAGAGAGACAGAGACAGAAAGAGAGACAGACAGCGAGAGACAGAGAGAGAGACAGAGAGAGAGAGACAGAGAGACAGAAAGAGAGACAGACAGCGAGAGACAGAGAGAGAGACAGAGAGAGAGAGACAGAGACAGAAAGAGAGACAGACAGCGAGAGACAGAGAGAGAGACAGAGCGAGAGAGAGAGAGAGAGAGAGAGAGAGAGAGAGTAAACAGCAGGGACGTCTAACATTCAAACCATAATATACAGTTTTATCAATAGTTTTCATATTTTTCTTATTTTTTGCCCACTTCAGGTATGCAAGAGATTCAAGATTAAACACATTTATTTACCATTTGCAGTAAAACCACATTGGAATAACTGTGCAAGACTGCCCCAGTGTGCACCAGACGACATGTTCTCTAATTTAAACAAAAATAGCATGTCGTCTGTCGCTCTTCTCTGTTGGGACGAATGTGTATTATTCATAAGAAAAAATGTTAGGTACCCCAGCTTTAATAGTGTGATGGTATTTACATAAAGTTTCACAATTAGGGACTAGACCAAGTCCTAAAACTACAGCAGAGCAAATAACATTGAACTGCAAGGAGCAAAATCAGCGAAGTGTGGCGCCATCTGCTGGTAGGTAGAGGTAGGACTGGCATAGACATAAGGTGTGGATATTTGGATAGTTTCTGGGTTTAACTCTGTCTAACCTGAAATGGGTTAAAAACACTGACCGAGTTGTTAAGAAAGCTCGTCAGCGTCTCTACTTTCTGCGTAAACTTAGAGAATTTACCACTAACTCTAAGATTGTGCTTAACTTTTATGGCTGCACCATTGAGAGTTTACTTGTTGGTTCTGTGTCTGTGTGGTTTGGAAACATCACAGATAAAGAAAAGAGAGCTTTAAACAAGGTGCTCCGCTCTGCAGAGAGGACCGTGGGCTGTGAGCTTCCTGTTCTGGAGGTTCTTTATCAATCCAGACTTTTAAACAAAGCTCTTAGGATTGTTAATGACTCTTCTGGCCACCCTGGGAAAGCTTCTTCCCTCTGGCAGAAGATATCGCTCTCTGAGATGCAGGACATCTCGTTACGCTATCGGGGGATTTACACAGTAGGCGTAAACAGCGCGTACGCGTTTACTGCGCGCTCTCTGCGCGTAACATTTTTTTGGAGTATCTACACAGGCCGTGCGCGCAGGTCCGCGTCTTCTGATGCTCTCCCTGTGTAGTCTATGGAGCAGTGTAGAGGACAGTACGGGCCAGAGCACTGATGTAGAGCAACACAAATCACATGCATGTGTTTGTCTTCATGGTCTCTGTGTGCTGGTTTGGCCAGACCCAAGACTTTATGAAAGAAAAAAAACGATGTCCAGAATCACTGTAAAACCTGCTGCTCCTCCTGCTGATGTTTGGACACAAGTGCTGTGTGTGTGTAGATGTGATCTAAAGCCAAGGGCCGCTAGAAAAATCATGTTTTACATGAGATTTCAATGGGAGACGCGTTGGTGCGCGCACAAAATTAGAAATCCATCCTAAATTAGAGCGCAGCTTCGCGTCACATGTCCGTCATAGCGCGTATAACGCTAGAAGTGTAAATATCATCATAGGTTAACATGGAAAAAAGTTACGCGCGTCTGCTGCGCGTATAACGCGTACGTGCTGTAACGCCTCATGTGTAAATTAGCAGTAACAGTTTTTATCCACAGGCTGTGATCAGTGTGAACAGAGCACTTTAATGATTTGCACTTGTTTGAAACTGTTTTAGTCGATCCATTTCACAGTGACATTTGTTTACTGTTTTATTTGTTTTATTTCTGTCTTTTAATGTTGTTTTATGTCTGTCTTTGTCTGTGCACACTGGAGACTTTTGCTAATGTATTCCAATGTGGTGTTTTTACTGCAAATGGCAAATAAAATGAATCTGAATATGTTTTATTTATACATTCTTTGATAAATTCTTCACTTTCCATTATTCCGTTCTTGCCATTTGACAAAACAAGATCTGTCTAATGACATTGAGTTGTGTTAAAGCTGAGGTACCTAATTTGAACTATGTAAAAAAAAAAATCCATCCAATGAGATTCCGGCTTTTAAAACGGTTCGGTTCTTTGACTAGATACAAGTTTTGTTTGGCCTTAGATTTGTTTATTTAGACTAAATAATGAACAAATACTGACTCTTTCTTACAGGGAAAGGAGTTTTTTATTTATGATAGGAAAAGTCGGGTTCCCCAGCTTTAATGTAAACGTGTTCGTTTTGCATCGCCGCCTCAACCTTTTTGTACCACAAGATGGCGCCATATTTTTATTGAAGTCTAAAACTAAAATACAAACTGTGGGTTTAAAGATGCAGTCAATGATTAATCCAAACGTGATTTTTAAAACACTGTGGGAAACTAAATAGTCAAGTTATACCAAAAAAATGAATCATAAATATTTTGGGGCGATAGAAAGAAACCAATGGGATGCGATCACTCTTCTGCTTTTCCAATTCCGCGCCGCCTGCCGCCTAAAGCTGCGTAAAGGCGAGATGGGTCCGCTAAAAGTGTACAGAAGAATAAAACGGGGAGGCTGGATCCAGTTGCGACGTTGTTTAATTAATAATAAACGCTGCGGTCACAAAATGCGTGGTGAATATACCGGAAAAATACAATCAAACAAAACTATAGTAACGGTCAACAAAAAATATGGCAACCCAAACAGACCTTACCCCTGTCCCGGTGCCCCCACAGGTGTACGGCCATTCATTATCTTGTGTACAGAGCTGCTAAGTGCTAGTTTGTTCGGAGAAGCTAGCGTGTGTAAAGTATAGCATGCTAATCACTCCGTCACAGACTGCGTTTTTACAGAAACGGCTTCATGTGCAGGGGTTAGGTTTGGTGGAGGACACGGGGTTTTGACTCGGGTTCTAATGCTAAAAGCTAACATGAATCCTTTACTTCACCTTTAAATGAAAAATTGCAAAGATTCTTACCTGACTTTGGATAAATGCAAACGTCATTGATGTTGGTCTGAGGTTGAATAGAAGAAAACACCTTTCCCTGAAATTCATACAACATTTTATAAGATACAAATATAATGTTATGAACTATAGCTCCATAATCCATACCACTTACCCTATATATACAGTATATAACTCCTGTCTATATGTACAGTATATAACTCCTGTCTATATGTACAGTATATAACTCCTGTCTATATGTACAGTATATAACTCCTGTCTATATGTACAGTATATAACTCCTGTCTATATGTACAGTATATAACTCCTGTCTATATGTACAGTATATAACTCTGTCCTATATGTACAGTATATAACTCCTGTCTATATGTACAGTATATAACTCTGTCCTATATGTACAGTATATAACTCCTGTCTATATGTACAGTATATAACTCCTGTCTATATGTACAGTATATAACTCCTGTCCTATATGTACAGTATACAACTCCTGTCCTATATGTACAGTATATAAATCTGACCTATATGTACAGTATATAACTCCTGTCTATATGTACAGTATATAACTCTGTCCTATATGTACAGTATATAACTCCTGCTCTATATGTACAGTATATAACTCCTGTCCTATATGTACAGTATATAACTCCTGTCCTATATGTACAGTATATAACTCCTGTCCTATATGTACAGTATACAACTCCTGTCTTATATGTACAGTATATAACTCCTGTCCTATATGTAGAGTATATAACTCCTGTCCTATATGTACAGTATATAGCTCCTGTCTATATGTACAGTATATAAGTCCTGCTCTATATGTACAGTATATAACTCCTGTCTATATGTACAGTATATAACTCCTGTCTATATGTACAGTATATAACTCCTGTCCTATATGTACAGTATATAACTCCTGTCCTATATATACAGTATACAACTCCTGTCTTATATGTACAGTATATAACTCCTGTCCTATATGTACAGTATATAACTCCTGTCCTATATGTACAGTATATAACTCTGTCCTATATGTACAGTATATAACTCCTGTCCTATATGTACTGTATATAACTCCTGTCTATATGTACAGTATATAACTCCTGTCCTATATGTACAGTATATAACCCCTGCTCTATATGTACAGTATATAACTCCTGCTCTATATGTACAGTATATAACTCCTGCTCTATATGTACAGTATATAACTCCTGTCTATATGTACAGTATATAACTCCTGTCCTATATGTACAGTATATAACTCCTGTCCTATATGTACAGTATATAGCTCCTGTCTATATGTACAGTATATAACTCCTGTCCTATATGTACAGTATATAACTCCTGCCCTATATGTACAGTATATAACTCCTGTCTATATGTACAGTATATAACTCCTGTCTATATGTACAGTATATAACTCCTGTCTATATGTACAGTATATAACTCTGTCCTATATGTACAGTATATAACTCCTGCTCTATATGTACAGTATATAACTCTGTCCTATATGTACAGTATATAACTCCTGTCTATATGTACAGTATATAACTCTGTCCTATATGTACAGTATATAACTCCTGTCTATATGTACAGTATATAACTCCTGTCCTATATGTACAGTACACAACTCCTGTCCTATATGTACAGTATATAAATCTGACCTATATGTACAGTATATAACTCCTGTCTATATGTACAGTATATAACTCTGTCCTATATGTACAGTATATAACTCCTGTCTATATGTACAGTATATAACTCCTGTCTATATGTACAGTATATAACTCTGTCCTATATGTACAGTATATAACTCTGTCCTATATGTACAGTATATAACTCCTGCTCTATATGTACAGTATATAACTCCTGTCCTATATGTACAGTATATAACTCCTGTCTATATATACAGTATATAACTCCTGCTCTATATATACAGTATATAACTCCTGTCTATATATACAGTATATAACTCCTGTCTATATATACAGTTTACAACTCCTGTCTTATATGTACAGTATACAACTCCTGTCCTATATGTACAGTATATAACTCCTGTCCTATATGTACAGTATATAGCTCCTGTCTATATGTACAGTATATAACTCCTGTCCTATATGTACAGTATATAACTCCTGTCCTATATGTACAGTATACAACTCCTGTCCTATATGTACAGTATATAACTCCTGTCCTATATGTACAGTATACAACTCCTGTCCTATATGTACAGTATATAAATCTGACCTATATGTACAGTATATAACTCCTGTCTATATGTACAGTATATAACTCTGTCCTATATGTACAGTATATAACTCCTGACCTATATGTACAGTATATAACTCCTGTCTATATGTACAGTATATAACTCTGTCCTATATGTACAGTATATAACTCCTGTCTATATGTACAGTATATAACTCCTGTCCTATATGTACAGTACACAACTCCTGTCCTATATGTACAGTATATAAATCTGACCTATATGTACAGTATATAACTCCTGTCTATATGTACAGTATATAACTCTGTCCTATATGTACAGTATATAACTCCTGTCTATATGTACAGTATATAACTCCTGTCTATATGTACAGTATATAACTCTGTCTATATGTACAGTATATAACTCTGTCCTATATGTACAGTATATAACTCTGTCCTATATGTACAGTATATAACTCCTGTCTCTATATGTACAGTATATAACTCCTGTCCTATATGTACAGTATATAACTCCTGTCTATATATACAGTATATAACTCCTGTCTATATATACAGTATATAACTCTCTGTCTATATGTACAGTATATAACTCCTGTCTATATTACAGTATATAAACTCCTGTCTTATATGTACAGTATACAACTCCTGTCCTATATGTACAGTATATAACTCCTGTCCTATATGTACAGTATATAACTCCTGTCTATATGTACAGTATATAACTCCTGTCCTATATGTACAGTATATAACTCCTGTCCTATATGTACAGTATACAACTCCTGTCCTATATGTACAGTATATAACTCCTGTCCTATATGTACAGTATACAACTCCTGTCCTATATGTACAGTATATAAATCTGACCTATATGTACAGTATATAACTCCTGTCTATATGTACAGTATATAACTCTGTCCTATATGTACAGTATATAACTCCTGACCTATATGTACAGTATATAACTCCTGTCTATATGTACAGTATATAACTCTGTCCTATATGTACAGTATATAACTCCTGTCCTATATGTACAGTATATAAATCTGACCTATATGTACAGTATATAACTCCTGTCCTATATGTACAGTATATAAATCTGACCTATATGTACAGTATACAACTCCTGTCCTATATGTACAGTATATAACTCCTGTCCTATATGTACAGTATATAACTCCTGTCTATATGTACAGTATATAACTCTGTCCTATATGTACAGTATATAACTCCTGTCTATATGTACAGTATATAACTCCTGTCTATATGTACAGTATATAACTCTGTCCTATATGTACAGTATATAACTCCTGTCTATATGTACAGTATATAACTCCTGTCTATATGTACAGTATATAACTCCTGTCTATATGTACAGTATATAACTCCTGTCTATATGTACAGTATATAACTCCTGTCTATATGTACAGTATATAACTCTGTCCTATATGTACAGTATATAACTCCTGTCCTATATGTACAGTATATAACTCTGTCCTATATGTACAGTATATAACTCCTGTCTATATGTACAGTATATAACTCCTGTCTATATGTACAGTATATAACTCCTGTCTATATGTACAGTATATAACTCCTGTCTATATGTACAGTATATAACTCCTGTCTATATGTACAGTATATAACTCCTGTCTATATGTACAGTATATAACTCCTGTCTATATGTACAGTATATAACTCCTGTCTATATGTACAGTATATAACTCCTGTCTATATGTACAGTATATAACTCCTGTCTATATGTACAGTATATAACTCCTGTCTATATGTACAGTATATAACTCATTGCAGCTACAACTTATTTTGTATATTGTGTGTTCTCCCTGTGTCTCTTGCTACTGTCCTGTCTGTGCGCTGCAACACTGACATTTCCCCACAGCGTCTTACCGTGTCTTTATTCCACATTTTTATGATCTTTGAGTCCGCGGACACCACCAGGTCCAGCGGGTCATGGAAGTTGAGAGATTTGATTGGCAGATTGTAGAAGTGGTCTTTAACCAGCAGCGGCCGACTGGAGCGCAGGTCATACACCAGCACCTTAGAAAGACCAGACGGGAATGAGAAATACCAGAAATCAAAACAAATCCACTCATTTCAGGTCATAGGATCTCACTTGTCCGGTGCTGGTGCCGACTCCCATGGTAAGAGACCCGTTGAACTTCAGGGCAGTGACCGATGGTAAACTTTGAACTCTACAAAGACAGAAGAATGACGATATGAAAACATGTTAAGCAGGGTTTATTGGTGTGAAGGCCGTGGACAGTGGTCTTACTCTGTTCCCTCGGTGACACTGCTCAGGGCACAGTCCAATAGTCCCACACGAGTCCTCACTCGGGGGTCCCAGCACTCGACTCTGCCCTGGGAAAAGAGGAAAAACAAAACTAAAATCTAAAAATAAAACTGGAATCTAAAAATCTCTCAACTCAAGACTAGAACTTCACTAGAACTACACAAGGATTCTTCCACAGTCTGATCTATGCCACAAACTACACTGGTCAAACTGGCATGAGATACAGACAGATCTATGAAGCTAAGCAGTGCCACAGTGGGGCGGCTGCGGCTGTAAAGTGCCAAACTGTGGCTGTGTCCTTTGGCAAGACACTTCACCCACATTAGAATGAGTCTGGTGTGTGTGTAAATGGTTGGTGGTGGTGGGAGGGGCCTCTCTTCTGTCAGTGTGCCCCAGGGCAGCTGTGGCTACAGTAGTTTATCACCACCGTGTTTGGAGTGAAAGAAAAATGATGAAGATACTTTGAGCGTCCAGAAAAGCGCTGTATAAAACAGATGTATTATTATTATTGAACATTATTGCTCATGCCGACAGGATTGGTTGTGGATTTCAATAAAAAATGTTTTTGTTGTGCATAGTTTTAGTTATTCAACGCGATTTTGTTTCACATATTTTATTAACGTGATCAAAAAGTATTTTGAGCTCTTAAAGATAGATAGAATTGTAGATAATTAGAAAAAGTAACTACTATGACTTATTTGCAGATGGTAAATATAATCGGTTTCTTTTGCACCATTTTCTGTAAATACTTCTAACTACAGAGTGCATTTGGATTATTGTGGTGATTTTTCTTTCGGGTCAATAAATCAGATATTATTGAATAGAATTGTTTCCATACATTTTCGAGACACTATCACAGACTCAAAGACTTTGTTTAGGTTTTCACCATGAAACCAGCGGTCACCGGAGGCGTTTGAAAACTCTCTCAAAGATTACAGTGATAATCATTATATGTGTGAGTGAACACAAGCCTGGACTTACCACACCATGGTACTCATTTCATTTTGTACTAAGGTCTGGATCTGCTCCATTGACTCCGTTAACAGTGGGAGGGGTTAACTCCTTTTGCAGATTGAAACGATTGGATCCGAGTTTACTGTGACGTATGTAATGAGCCTGAGTGAGTGAGGCATAGGAGATGATCATGGACCAGAGTTTACACATGGTAAGACCAGAGTTTACACATGGTAAGACCAGGCTCGGTGAATGGCAGACTTCCTTAAATATCAAAATGTTCCCTCTCAGATCTAACCTCAGTAATAACTCACCTCAGACGTCCCGGTGGCAAACAGCTGATGAACAGGGTTGATGTCGCAGACATTGTGTTCTCTAAATGGGCAAAAGAATAAGAATAAAAACGGAATACTTTATTATTAAAATGTCTCTGCTACATACACGGCGTCTGTCTGAAGAGAGTTTAGAAAACGCCCTTGTTCCAAATTCAGCCTGTACACCTCCGATCTGAAATAAACAAAATCAATCATGAAACAAAATCTTCAAACACTTCCTTTGAGCGAAATGATTAAAGAATAAATATTCACCCAGAGCCGACAAAGTAAAGATCGCAGGATGGATAATGGTATGAAAAGTCTCTCCCAAATTTTGGAATGCGTGTCTTGTAGTAGTGTCCATTTTGGGAGTGGAACTCGACGTACCGGTCACAGTGCAGGAAAACCAACTGTGCAGAAAGTTGTAATCATAATTTAGTTTATTTAAAATGACGACGACAACAGTGTACGATAAACATTAACTCAAAGGGAAAGATGCAATGGGCCTCATTCACGAATAACTTCGTAAGAAACTACTCAACTTTCTTCTCAAGTTGTCCTTAAGTAGATTTCTAAGAAGTCCCCACGTGGGATTCATCAACGCACTCGTAAGCCGCTGAATTGTTCGCAGCTGTTCTCTCAGATTGATGAATCCCATTTCCTCGTAAGTACAGCGCGCGCGCCAGGTGCTTCATTAGCATAGGTACTTAGCATAAGTAACCGCCCACTAATGCCCATATAAGGGACTGCAGGGCCGTGTGCAGACGGCAGAGGAAACAGCAACAGGCCTTTACACGGAGCAAAAGAGTCACCCAGACTGAGAATAAAGTTATAAAATGTTGACTTAAAAGTCGAAATATTATGATAATAAAGTCGAACTAGCAAAATTATGAGATTAATCTCAAAATATTATGAGCTTAATTTAAAAATATATTATGTATTATTTTAAAGATGAATCTCAAAATGTTTTGAGATTAATCTCAAAATATTTTGGACCCTGGGAGGAGATCCAGCGCGGACCAGCGCTGAGACCAATGCAGACCCGAGGAGAGACTGGAGTGACCAGCACACAGAAACCAGCGCGGACCTATAGGAGAGACCGCATAGACTGTAGTGACCTGACTGTAGTGACCTGACTGGAGAGACCGGTGCGCAGAGACCAGCGCGGACCGAAGAGAGACCGCATAGACCAGACTTGAGAGACCAGCGCGGACCCGTATGGATCCAGGAGCATGCAGCACGGACCCGTATGGAGAGACCAGTGCAGACCCGTATAGATCCATAGGAGAGACCAGCGCAGAGACTCAGCGCGGACCCAGTAACCTCCTGCAGCAGCAGTATATATGCCGTTGTTCTGTGGCCCGTGGATAAAGAAATGCCCCCTATAAATAGGAAGGGGTCACTAATACACGGCAAGATTTCCAATGTATTTGATAAAGCGTTGGCACATTTCATTTCAAAATGAATTAAAAAGTAGGCCAGATCTGCAGTGAAAAAGGCGGTATATAAATAAAGATTACTACAAATAAATAAATACATACATCGATATGACGGACATATCACTGGAATGTTGTATTTTTATTCAACTTCACCAAAGAGGACAACCCCGGCGTGTGAACATGTCGGCACTGAATGCGTACGAGTGCTCCTGAGGACTCGTAGGATTTGTACTTGCCCAAGAGAAATTCTGGTTACGAGAAATATTCGTGAATGCCACTTTCTTCGTAAAAACCGCGTAAGTAGGATTTACGTACAAATCTGTTCCTAAGAACCGTTCGTGAATGAGGCCCATTGTACCCACGGATCTATAATAATGTCTGGATAAGAGTATTACTAGCTTATAGCTGTTCCACACATGGGCACAGGGGGCGCTGTGGTACTGCAGACTGAATTCACGTTACACAGAAAAATGTCCCATAGAACTCCGTGTAAACTAAAACAGACCTCAGCTGACAGAGAACCCGACAGAGAACCTGACAGAGAACCTACTGCTTGCACACACACATGCACAATTTGTTAAAACCTCACATTCCCATTGCTCATTTACACAGATCAAACACACACTCTCTCACACATACACACTCTCTCACACATACACACTCTCTCACACATACACACTCTCCATCCATCCATCCATTTTCTACCCTTTAATCCATTTCTGGGTCAGGGGGGTGGCAATCAGAGATGCCACCCAAGTCTCATAGCACTAGCCCCTCACTGACCCTCTGCAGGTGGTGAGTCCACAGGAGGACAGCTGCTCTCTGAGTGTGAGCATATAGCCTTGATCTTTCAGTGGGGGCTTTTGGGCAAAGTGGGGTTAAGTGTCTTGCCCAAGGACACAACGACAGCAGTCATCAGTGGGAGTCGGTGGAGAAGGTGCAGAGGTGGGAATTGAACCCACAACCTTCAGGCCTGAAGGCCAATGCTCTACCAACTGAGCTACTGTCGCCCTCACATACACACTCTCTCTCACACATACACACTCTCTCACACATACAGTGCCTTGCGAAAGTATTCGGCCCCCTTGAACCTTTCAACATTTCGCCACATTTCAGGCTTCAAACATAAAGATATACAATTTTAATTTTTTCTCATGAATCAACAACAAGTGGGACACAATCGTAAAGCGGAACGAAATTTATTGGATAATTTAAACTTTAAAAAAAAATAAAAAACTGAAAAGTGGGGCGTGCAATATTATTGGGCCCCTTTACTTTCAGTGCAGCAAACTCAGTCCAGAAGTTCAGTGAGGATCTTTGAATGATCCAATGTTGTCCTAAATGACTGATGATGATAAATAGAATGCACCTGTGTGTAATCAAGTCTCTGTATAAATGCACCTGCTCTTTGATAGTCTCAGGGTTCTGTTTAAAGCGCAGAGAGAACCATGAAGACAAAGGAACACACCAGGCAGGTCCGAGATACTGTTGTGGAGAAGTTTAAAGCCGGATTTGGATACAAAAAGATCTCCCAAGCTTTAAACATCTCAAGGAGCACTGTGCAAGCAATTATAATGAAATGGAAGGAGTATCAGACCACTGCAAATCTACCAAGACCCTGCCGTCCCTCCAAACTTTCATCTCAAACAAGGAGAAGACTGATCAGAGATGCAGGCAAGAGGCCCATGATCACTCTGGATGAACTGCAGATAACTACAGCTGAGGTGGGAGAGTCTGTCCATAGGACAACAATCAGTCGTGCACTGCACAAATCTGGCCTTTATGGAAGAGTGGCCATTTCTCAAAGATATCCATAAAAAGTCTCGTTTAAAGTTTGCCACAAGCCACCTGGGAGACACACCAAACACGTGGAAGAAGGTGCTCTGGTCAGATGAAACCAAAATCAAACTTTTTGGCCACAATGCAAAACGATATGTTCGGCGTAAAAGCAACACAGCTCATCACCCTGAACACACCATTCCCACCTCAGCTGTAGTTATCTGCAGTTCATCCAGAGTGATCATGGGCATATCATAAAAAAATTAAATTTTTATATCTTTATGTTTAAAGCCTGAAATATGGCGAAATGTTGAAAGGTTCAAGGGGGCCGAATACTTTCGCAAGGCACTGTACACACTCTCTCACACATACACACACTCTCTCACACATACACACTCTCTCTCACACATACACACACTCTCTCACACATACACACACTCTCTCACACATACACACACTCTCTCACACATACACACTCTCACACACACACACACACACACACACACATACACTCCCTCTCACACATACACACTCACACACACACACACACACACACACACATACACTCCCTCTCACACATACACATTCTCTCACACACACACACACATATACAAATACTACATATTATTACACAATATCTTACAAATAAAATAAATAATGAATTACCTTGGAATAGTCGTCGGACAAAATGTCAAAAGCCACGACTGCAGCAAAGACAAAGCGTGTAAGTGAACGGTCATGAACAAGCATCATAGACTGGGGGTGCATCATAGACTGGGGGAGCATCATAGACTGGGGGTGCATCATAGACTGGGGGTGCATCATAGACTGGGGGTGCATCATAGACTGGGGGAGCATCATAGACTGGGGGAGCATCATAGACTGGGGGTGCATCATAGACTGGGGGAGCATCATAGACTGGGGGAGCATCATAGACTGGGGGAGCATCATAGACTGGGGGTGCATCATAGACTGGGGGTGCATCATAGACTGGGGGAGCATCATAGACTGGGGGAGCATCATAGACTGGGGGTGCATCATAGACTGGGGGAGCATCATAGACTGGGGGAGCATCATAGACTGGGGGAGCATCATAGACTGGGGGAGCATCATAGCCTGGGGGAGCATCATAGACTGGGGGTGCATCATAGACTGGGGGAGCATCATAGACTGGGGGTGCATCATAGACTGGGGGTGCATCATAGACTGGGGGAGCATCATAGACTGGGGGAGCATCATAGACTGGGGGAGCATCATAGACTGGGGGAGCATCATAGACTGGGGGAGCATCATAGCCTGGGGGAGCATCATAGACTGGGGGAGCATCATAGACTGGGGGTGCATCATAGACTGGGGGAGCATCATAGACTGGGGGAGCATCATAGACTGGGGGAGCATCATAGACTGGGGGAGCATCATAGACTGGGGGTGCATCATAGACTGGGGGAGCATCATAGACTGGGGGTGCATCATAGACTGGGGGAGCATCATATAGACTGGGGGTGCATCATAGACTGGGGGAGCATCATATAGACTGGGGGTGCATCATAGACTGGGGGAGCATCATAGACTGGGGGAGCATCATAGACTGGGGGTGCATCATAGACTGGGGGAGCATCATGGACTGGGGGAGCATCATAGACTGGGGGTGCATCATAGACTGGGGGTGCATCATAGACTGGGGGAGCATCATAGACTGGGGGTGCATCATAGACTGGGGGTGCATCATAGACTGGGGGAGCATCATAGACTGGGGGAGCATCATAGACTGGGGGAGCATCATAGCCTGGGGGAGCATCATAGACTGGGGGAGCATCATAGACTGGGGGAGCATCATAGACTGGGGGAGCATCATAGCCTGGGGGAGCATCATAGACTGGGGGAGCATCATAGACTGGGGGAGCATCATAGACTGGGGGAGCATCATAGACTGGGGGTGCATCATAGACTGGGGGTGCATCATAGACTGGGGGAGCATCATAGACTGGGGGAGCATCATAGACTGGGGGTGCATCATAGACTGGGGGAGCATCATAGACTGGGGGAGCATCATAGACTGGGGGAGCATCATAGACTGGGGGAGCATCATAGACTGGGGGAGCATCATAGCCTGGGGGAGCATCATAGACTGGGGGTGCATCATAGACTGGGGGTGCATCATAGACTGGGGGAGCATCATAGACTGGGGGTGCATCATAGACTGGGGGTGCATCATAGACTGGGGGAGCATCATAGACTGGGGGAGCATCATAGACTGGGGGAGCATCATAGACTGGGGGAGCATCATAGACTGGGGGAGCATCATAGCCTGGGGGAGCATCATAGACTGGGGGAGCATCATAGACTGGGGGTGCATCATAGACTGGGGGAGCATCATAGACTGGGGGAGCATCATAGACTGGGGGAGCATCATAGACTGGGGGAGCATCATAGACTGGGGGAGCATCATAGACTGGGGGAGCATCATAGACTGGGGGAGCATCATAGACTGGGGGAGCATCATAGACTGGGGGTGCATCATAGACTGGGGGTGCATCATAGACTGGGGGAGCATCATAGACTGGGGGTGCATCATAGACTGGGGGAGCATCATATAGACTGGGGGTGCATCATAGACTGGGGGAGCATCATAGACTGGGGGAGCATCATAGACTGGGGGAGCATCATGGACTGGGGGAGCATCATAGACTGGGGGAGCATCATAGACTGGGGGAGCATCATAGACTGGGGGAGCATCATAGACTGGGGGAGCATCATAGCCTGGGGGAGCATCATAGCCTGGGGGAGCATCATAGACTGGGGGAGCATCATAGACTGGGGGTGCATCATAGACTGGGGGAGCATCATAGACTGGGGGAGCATCATAGACTGGGGGAGCATCATAGACTGGGGGAGCATCATAGACTGGGGGAGCATCATAGACTGGGGGTGCATCATAGACTGGGGGTGCATCATAGACTGGGGGAGCATCATAGACTGGGGGTGCATCATAGACTGGGGGAGCATCATATAGACTGGGGGTGCATCATAGACTGGGGGAGCATCATAGACTGGGGGAGCATCATAGACTGGGGGTGCATCATAGACTGGGGGAGCATCATGGACTGGGGGAGCATCATAGACTGGGGGTGCATCATAGACTGGGGGTGCATCATAGACTGGGGGAGCATCATAGACTGGGGGTGCATCATAGACTGGGGGAGCATCATAGACTGGGGGAGCATCATAGACTGGGGGAGCATCATAGACTGGGGGAGCATCATAGCCTGGGGGAGCATCATAGACTGGGGGAGCATCATAGACTGGGGGAGCATCATAGACTGGGGGAGCATCATAGACTGGGGGAGCATCATAGCCTGGGGGAGCATCATAGACTGGGGGAGCATCATAGACTGGGGGAGCATCATAGACTGGGGGAGCATCATAGACTGGGGGTGCATCATAGACTGGGGGTGCATCATAGACTGGGGGTGCATCATAGACTGGGGGAGCATCATAGACTGGGGGAGCATCATAGACTGGGGGTGCATCATAGACTGGGGGAGCATCATAGACTGGGGGAGCATCATAGACTGGGGGAGCATCATAGACTGGGGGAGCATCATAGCCTGGGGGAGCATCATAGACTGGGGGTGCATCATAGACTGGGGGAGCATCATAGACTGGGGGTGCATCATAGACTGGGGGTGCATCATAGACTGGGGGAGCATCATAGACTGGGGGAGCATCATAGACTGGGGGAGCATCATAGACTGGGGGAGCATCATAGACTGGGGGAGCATCATAGCCTGGGGGAGCATCATAGACTGGGGGAGCATCATAGACTGGGGGTGCATCATAGACTGGGGGAGCATCATAGACTGGGGGAGCATCATAGACTGGGGGAGCATCATAGACTGGGGGAGCATCATAGACTGGGGGAGCATCATAGACTGGGGGTGCATCATAGACTGGGGGTGCATCATAGACTGGGGGAGCATCATAGACTGGGGGTGCATCATAGACTGGGGGAGCATCATATAGACTGGGGGTGCATCATAGACTGGGGGAGCATCATAGACTGGGGGAGCATCATAGACTGGGGGAGCATCATGGACTGGGGGAGCATCATAGACTGGGGGTGCATCATAGACTGGGGGTGCATCATAGACTGGGGGAGCATCATAGACTGGGGGTGCATCATAGACTGGGGGAGCATCATAGACTGGGGGTGCATCATAGACTGGGGGTGCATCATAGACTGGGGGAGCATCATAGACTGGGGGAGCATCATAGCCTGGGGGAGCATCATAGACTGGGGGTGCACGTACCGTCTGAATCCAGGCATCGCTCAAACTTCAACGACAACTGATAAGTATCGTAACAACGTATCCTGGGTTTGTACGTGCCTGGAAACACAATGGAATAAAAGAATAAAGAACACATGAGCGCTTCCAAACTTTCCAATCAGTCAATGAATGTGACTACTTCATATTGGGTCTATTTGACTTTTTCCACGTTTTACCTGCAGCTAAAACATACTGTCCGTCCCTTGACACTTTTATCGAGGTGCACACTGTGGGCATCTCGAAATCCTGGATGAGCTCGATCCTGCGCTGAATGTCTGTAGAAGTAGGTGTTGTCAGTGTAGCTCATTGTATTTATAATAACATAATCCTCACAATACTCACCGACATCTTTCTTTTGTAGCTGCCTCTTTTTTCTGTCTGACAGCCACTAGGGAGAGATTAAGAAAACGTGTGGTTGTGAATTATACCATAACAATGCTTTCCTAATATCATGAATTGATCATTCTAAGTAGGACGAATGTGATCTTATAATGTGCAAACTGATTCAGACTGTCCATGTACAATAAGAGAGAGATCATTTATTCACTATAGTGTGGAAATGCCAGTGCTGCTATTTTCAGTGAATACTTTTGGATGCCCTATTTATTTAACATTCTTACAATTAACCATTACTTTAGAATTAAACACATAAAGCAAGGCACAAATGTCAAAATAGTTTAACTTTACTAAAATACCGTTAGAGTTCAAAAATAAATAATAAGTATTTTCACAATGGCATCAGCTCAGGCTTCACATTTGGATGCCTGCTGTGATGAATTTCCGCTTACCTCCGGGAGAGACTTTCCGTGACTTAAATTATAAATCTTCACGTCATTAACACTTGAAATCTGCATCGTTAAAGATTTATATAACTGCTGTCACACATAACTGTATAAATGTAAACTCCAGAGAACCCACGTTGTAGAAACCGGAGCAAAACAGGAAGTGAAGGAGTCCGGTCAAATATGTCCGTGTGGAAACAAGTGCGCAGTCAAACGTTCCTACCTCTGTTCTTGTCAAGAAACTGCAGAAACTTTGTCACTACTAATTTGATTATGCTTTATTTAGATGTTGTATCCTCAGAAACAAAAAATAGACGTTTTAAGTCTGTTTTGGAGGAAGTGTTAGGCGCTATATAAATAAAACTTACTTTCTGTATTACTGTGAAAATAGCAAGTATTTAATGTAACAGTATAATAATAATATAAGTCTGTTTTACAAGAAGTGTTAGTTAGGCACTATATAAATATGACTTACTTACTCTCTTACTTACTAGATTACTTACTTACCCAATATTTTCCAAAATTACTGTGACAAAAAGTAAGTATTGAACGTAACAGTATTCTGTGAATCTAATATGTCCTGTACCGACTGTAATTGCTCTGAGCCTTCCTCATGGATCTATATTAACATTGGTCTTCCTACAGAGTGCCTCATGACCACAGGTACGTATCTAAAGCAGAAAACAAAGGAACATGTAAACAAATGCTTTACCTGCTCCCTCATCTGTGTGATGTCACCGAGAGTGATCCAGGGGAGAGTCAGCTTCTGCATCAGACTCTGCATCAGACTCTGCATCAGACTCTGCATCAGACTCTGCATCAGACTCTGCATCAGACTCTGCATCAGACTCTGCATCAGACTCTGCATCAGACTCTGCATCAGACGCTGCATCAGACGCTGCATCAGACGCTGCATCAGACGCTGCATCAGCTTCTGCATCAGCTTCTGCATCAGACTCTGCATCAGACACTGCATCAGCTTCTGCATCAGCTTCTGCATCAGACGCTGCATCAGACTCTGCATCAGACTCTGCTCCTGCTGCTGCTGCTCACTTCACCTTGAGACACACAGAAGATGACGCACAACAAAACCTGATGGTGAGACATTTACAGTTTTATCAGTATATTCTAACAATGCAAAACCTTCTCAAGAGTCTGGATATTCTAACTGATCCACATGTATGTTTTATTTATGCATAGTTTAGTTTAGTTTAGTTTAGTTTATGTATTTAAAATGACAGGAACAGTGTACAATAAACATTAACCTCAAAGGGAAAGATGCATTGTACCAGGTTATAGCTCAAAAGATCCTTTCCACCTGTGGTCCCTGGGCTGATGTTATGATAGTTTTATAGTTATGATAGTTAGTTATGATAGATAGGTTACTGTTACAAACCAAGAACTAAGAACCAGAGCATAATAACACCAATTTTCTTTCTCTTTTGCGCAGTAGGCCTGTATTGCTCATCACATTCGGGAGCTTTTGTCTTTCAAAGTCACCCTCTTTCGAAGCCATGAGTGATTTCTGGTTAATTTCGGTCCCTCTGGACAAGACCAGTTTGACAAATATAGAAAAACTCAAGAGAAGCATCATCAAAACAAACCAGGCGTCCTGCTGCAAGTTCCTAATCCCAGATCTGAAGGTAAGGAGAGAACTTCTTTCACTCTTTGTTTGGGGTTTCTGCAGTTGTTTAAAGAATATTATTTTTTAAAACTACAGGATGTCATTTGGTTAGTGCGTTTGCGTTTTTAAGGGTACAGTGTAGCAGTGCGTCGGTGTTTGGTGTCCTTCTCTGGTGTGGAGATAAAGGCTCAGGTTCCTTGCTACAGTTTGAGACAAAATTTCCATCTGACCCGTTTCACGTTGCATGTTTTTCCCCTCGCAAAAAATGCACGAAAAACACAATTTACAGAAAACATCAAACACCAAACAATCACACACAAAATACAGAAACGTGTCACCAGCTGCAGATGGAAAACAACATTTATGGTTCTGTGGAAAATAAAATAAATCAAAATAATATGGAAAAAGACTCAATTTAATGTAAACTAGCTCACAGTCTGGAAACATGTTTTTACACACAAAACTATTAGACTATTATGGCACCAGCTGGGTTCGAATCCCGGTTGGAACTGGGTCTTTCTGAGCGGAATTTGCTTGTTCTGTGTAAAAACATGCACCATAGATCTGAATGTAGTGAGTGAATGGTGTTTGGTCGGAGGTTTTGATGGACCAGAGTGGAGAGAATGGAACTATATCTGAATTCTAAACAGTTGTGCAGCGCTTTGGGTGACCTGGCTCTGTAAAAATGTGCTATATAATTAAACATTACTTACATATTTAACTCACTGGAACCATCTTTTTCTCATTAAAACTGCGGTTCTTCTGCAGGTGGGAATCCTGGACAGTCTTGTGAGTGTTTCAGACGATCTCTCAGGACTGGACACTCTGACAGAAAGGTAAAAACATAAAAACATTGTATTTAAATATTTATTTGAAACAGGACAGTGCACATGAATCAACACTATACAATGTAAACGTGCCCGAGTTAAGCTACATTAAGCTAATTTTCATCTGTAATCCCGTGGGAAGATGTTAAATCCAGCCTAAAATTAACAAAAATCATTAAAAACACGTTTAAATTTACAAACACAGATCATGAACTGACATTTGTGCTGAGCCTCTTGTGTTAATGGGTCTTACATGTTCGTCACTAAACAGCAGCTTTGTCCTTAATTACAAACGCTACCATGGAGCTGGTCATGATTAATTAATGGTCATGGGTTCGATTTTCACTGTGGTTTGTGTGTCTGGACAGTTGTGGTTTTGGCCCAAAGACTTGAGACGATAAAAAACTGTTGTGGTGGTTTGAGATTCTGAAATGATATTAAACTTACTATTTGAATTCTGTATGAAGTTTGTAAAAGCACTCTTCAGTCGGCAGAACAATGGTTCTAAATACGGCTCAAAGTGAAGACGCTTTATATTGATTTACTTTAGTATTTCCTTTTTATTTATTTATTTCCCTGGTTTTTTCATTTTATTTTTATTGATTTATTTGTGACTAGTCCAATCTCTAAACTCCAGCAACGAGACAAAAACAACTAAAATATATAATATTCAGTGACGTGTTTTGTGTGTGTCTGTGTGTGTGTGTGTGTGTCTGTGTGTGTGTGTGTGTGTGTGTGTGTGTCTGTCTGTGTGTCTGTGTGTGTCTGCGTGTGTGTGTGTGTCTGTGTGTGTGTCTGCGTGTGTGTGTGTGCGTCTGTCTGTGTGTCTGGGTGTGTGTGTGTGTCTGTCTGTCTGTGTGTCTGTGTGTGTGTGTGTCTGTCTGTCTGTGTGTCTGTGTGTGTCTGTCTGTGTGTCTGTCTGTCTGTGTGTCTGTGTGTGTGTGTCTGTCTGTGTGTGTGTCTGTGTGTGTCTGTGTGTGTGTGTGTGTGTCTGTGTGTGTCTGTGTCTGTCGGTCTGTGTGTGTGTGTGTGTGTGTGTGTGTGTCTGTCTGTGTGTCTGTGTGTCTGTCTGTGTGTCTGCGTGTGTGTGTGTGCGTCTGTCTGTGTGTCTGGGTGTGTGTGTGTCTGTCTGTCTGTGTGTCCGTGTGTGTGTGTCTGTCTGTGTGTGTGTCTGTGTGTGTCTGTGTGTCTGTCTGTCTGTGTGTGTCTGTGTGTGTGTGTGTGTGTGTCTGTCGGTCTGTGTGTGTGTGTGTGTGTGTGTGTGTGTGTGTGTCTGTGTCTGTCTGTGTGTGTGTCTGTGTGTGTGTGTGTGTGTGTCTGTCTGTGTGTCTGTCTGTGTGTCTGCGTGTGTGTGTGTGCGTCTGTCTGTGTGTCTGGGTGTGTGTGTGTCTGTCTGTCTGTGTGTGTGTGTGTGTCTGTGTGTCTGTGTCTGTGTCTGTCTGTGTGTGTGTGTGTGTGTGTGTGTGTGTGTGTGTCTGTTTTTCGCAGTGTGCTTAAAAAGATAGGGCAGTGTATGAAGGAGGTGATGGAATTTTCCTGTGACAAAAAGTTGGAGAAATCTTTGGCCAATGGCGGTGAGTCGTCTGTCGTCACGGGTTTAAAACACTGTAGATTAGAATTAGATTAGATTATTCATTTCAAACCTGCACAACACATATTCTAACATTTATGAATATAGCAAACAAAACACCAGTACTTGGTCCGAGTAAAGAGTATTAGGTTGGTGATTTAATTATGCATGTAACCCTGTCTCCATTTCAAGAAATAAAAAAATACCACTTACCAGAATGTGTTGACTTTATAAATGTTTTTACAATAACACAAAGTAGAGTTAATTTCCTCACTGCTCTTATCTAACTTAAACATGGACATATGCGTATATGTAAATAATCACTCATATACAACAGAATCTATTTTAATTCAGAGTTTATGTGACCTGTAGAGCACATGAATGAGAAATCGCATGTATCGCCCGTGGAGTCCTACTTCCAGTCACTTCAAGGTAATGAAGCTAAGATTATTGTGTTATTTTTACTGTATACATATTAGTCAAAGCTAAACTAATAATGCTCTGGTCTTGATGTTTTTGCAGTGGACCTTGTGGCTTATGTGACGAGATTCCAATGGGACAAAGCAAAGTTCTCCACATCTCTTCCTCTGTCTGCACTGACCGACATCATCCACAAGGTCAGCATGAAACAAAATCTCCCTTTGCTCGTGTGTTTTAAAGAGACAGTGTTGTTCCTTCAGGAGGTGGCCTTGGTGGAAACAGAACTCAAATCCAGGTCTTCATCCTACAACAGTTTAAAAAGCAACCTCCAGAATCTAGAATCGAAACATCAGTGAGTGACAGACCTGGGCCGATGCGTGACTTATTCTAGAACGTTGTTGTAAAAATGTGTTTTTATTTGCAGGGGGTCATTACAAAGTCGCTGCTTGAACAACTTTGTAAGAAAAGAAGACCTGGTTGTTTCTGAATACCTCACCACACTCTTAGTCATCGTGAACAGGTCAATAACACCAGTCGGCCATTTTAAAACCAGTCCGCCATTTTTAACACCAGTCCGCCATTTTAACACCAGTCGGCCATTTTAACTCAAGTCGGCCATTTTAGCCCCAGTCGGCCATTTTAATACCAGTCCACCATTTTAACACCAGTCCGCCATTTTAACCCCAGTCCGCCATTTTAACACCAGTCCACCATTTTAACACCAGTCCGCCATTTTAACCCCAGTCCGCCATTTTAACACCAGTCCACCATTTTAACACCAGTCCGCCATTTTTTCCCCAGTCCGCCATTTTAGCCCCAGTCCGCCATTTTAACCCCAGTCCGCCATTTTAACCCCAGTCCGCCATTTTAGCCCCAGTCCGCCATTTTAGCCCCAGTCCGCCATTTTAACACCTGTCTGCCATTTTAACACCAGTCCGCCATTTTAACCCCAGTCCGCCATTTTAACCCCAGTCTGCCATTTTAACACCTGTCTGCCATTTTAACCCCAGTCTGGCATTTTAACACCAGTCCACCATTTTAACACGAGTCTGCCATTTTAACCCCAGTCCGCCATTTTAACACCAGTCTGCCATTTTAACCCCAGTCCGCCATTTTAACACCAGTCTGCCATTTTAACCCCAGTCCGCCATTTTAACACCAGTCCGCCATTTTAACCCCAGTCCGCCATTTTAACACCAGTCTGCCATTTTAACACCAGTCCGCCATTTTAACACCAGTCCACCATTTTAACCCCAGTCCGCCATTTTAACACCAGTCTGCCATTTTAACCCCAGTCCGCCATTTTAACCCCAGTCCGCCATTTTGACACCAGTCCGCTATTTTAACCCCAGTCCGCCATTTTAACACCAGTCCGCCATTTTAACACCAGTCTGCCATTTTAACACCAGTCTGCCATTTTAACCCCAGCCTGCCATTTTAAATCCACTTCAAACCTGAGATATTTTAAACAGGCGCAGGTTTAGCCCAACGTCTCACGTTTTAATTCAAAGATAAAATACTTTCTGACTGTGTTTTAAAACCATTGTTTTACATATTTGTGGGCGTGGCTTTGGTGTTTCCAGGAGGAGCTTTGACCAATGGGAGAAAACATATGAATCTCTGTCTGATTTTGTGGTGCCAAGGTCCAGTAGGTGAGTATTATTAATATACGTGAGTGTGTTCAGTAAAGTGTCATTTAAAGTATCTGGACTTTAAAGGTTATAACTCTAAAACTAAAATGACTTTCATAGATTAGAACAAAGATTCCAAACACAGACAGATCAAAGAGAAAGTGTCGATAAAATCAAAAGGAAAGTTTGACAAATACATTTTTGGCCACATTTTAAACCCAGCTCAGCCTCTGATTGGATCATTCTGAGACTCAGAGAAAATAAAATGTCCCGAGTCTGAAAAAGATGAACTTCACAGATTCACACGAACATCAGGAAATCACTGACTTTAGAAAGGAATCGTTAAAAAAACCCAATAATAAATAAATAAATGACCGTGAAAAATATGACACAGACGTGATGTTTTTGTCAATTTTTCTCTAAAATTAAACTAAATTAAACTTAAAAATTGTGTATTTTCACATGGAATTGGTTTAATCTGAAAGTATCAGTTTTTTTCATGTGTAAAAAGAAGAATCTGAAAATATGGAACAAACTTCATTCAAAGGATCAGGCTCGTTTCATAAAATAAACTTTGGAAACTGGACTCATTCATAAAACTGTCTCTTTTATCTTCTAAAGGACAGAGTGGGATCTGAACACATGAAAAACATCAAATGTCCTCTGATTATTAAAATATAATGTTTGGCCTTTTGTCTCACTGGTTCCTTTCGTGTGAACAAACCCATTTCTGAACTTGAAGCTGGTTTTTGGCCTCGCTCCACAGAGTAAGTGCTCGATGGTTAATCCAGAGCTAGGATTACCGGAGAAAGTCACTGGGAGCAGTCGCAGGAAGTGAGAGACTTTTGTCCCAAAGATACAGAAAGATTCTCTGTGTCTGAAATGACAAATAATACAATATTAATCTCTATCCGGTAGAAGTGTAAAGCTGTGGAGCCTCTCTTTCAAACCACACATAGTCAGATTCATTCACAACATTTTACTTGTTGGGACAAACTAAATGTATTGATTATGACTGAATAATTTAATATTTACTCTTATATGTAAATAATGTGCTTAGTAACTTCACTCCAGCATCTATAATTAGCCTGTTTTTTCTATTTTCATGACAAAAGTTAAACTAAAACGTGAACTCGGAGCAGGAAAACTAACATTTCAGTTTTGTCCCACATTCCATCCACACATTTCAGCTCAATCCTGTCCACAGACAAACACACACACAGACATGATCACAATACCCCTCCTGTTTTTTATCAATGCATTTCATGTGTTTGATTCTTTAATCTGTGTTGGCAAATCGACAGCTTATAAAGCCCTCAGAGACAACTATACTGCTGCGATTTAGGGCTGTACAAAAATGTATTCACCTGGGTTCGAATCCCGGTCGGAACAGGGCCTTTCTGAGTGGAGTTTGCATGTTCTCCCCATGTCTGCGTAGGTTTCCTCTGGGTGCTTCGGTTTCCCCTACCACTAAAAACATGTATGATTCTGAATGTAAATGAGTGAGTGAATGGAGGGTGTTTAGTCGGAGGCTTTGATGGTCCACTGTGTTCTAGTCTCACTTCTGTCATCACTGTGTGGAGAGAATGGAACAATATCTGAACTCTGAACTTTGTAAAGTGCTTTGTGTGACCTTGGTCTGTAAAATGCGCTATATAACTAAACATTAATTACTTACTTACTTACTATTGAATTGAATTGAGATACTGTATATTAAAAAAGATATATACTCCTTGTAATTCCCGGTACAACCACCAGGAGGCTGTACGAGGATGCGGAGGCTGGGATCTTCTCTGTCACACTTTTCAAACGAGCTGTGAGCCAGTTCAAAGCCAAGGCACAGGAGAGCAAGTAAGCAGGGTGCTCCGGGTGCTCCGGGTGCAGAGGGACCCACATCCGTCTTCTGTCTGTGTCACTTAACGTGTTGTAGCCTCTGATCCACACAGGTTTACTGTGCGTGAGTACCATGTGGAGCTGGAGGAGCAGCAGCTGAGAGACCTGCAGACTCTGAGGGCCCAAAGGAAAGAGCAGCGTGTGAGTCCAAGCCACTGCTGGAAGAGAACCACGAGAAAACCAGGATTTAAGACGACTCAATTCAACTTTATCTAAAAACACAATATTATATAGAAACGTATACAAGAATTCAAAGTGCACAGAAAGTCAACTCTGAGTTAAAAGCCAAAGTAAAAATATGTAGGTTTAACCCTTTAGGCACCAGAGGTGTTTTCCTAAACCTTTTTACTTTCTTAATTACTTAAATATGAAAAGAGAGGCTTTATGTAAATTAGAGAGATTATAAGGATCCTCCAAAGTTTATGTCGGAAATAAATGTACCCGGCTAATTTACATATTATGACTTTAAACGCTGGTGGCAATCGTGGATTTGAGAAATGTTCATGATTTTTTTTCTTTTCACCAACAGACATAGAAAACACCGGGACATGAACACACAAAGTCACATTGTATCTATGCTCAATGATCGGGGGAAATAGTAAAACAGTTCAAATCATTGTGTGGCAGGATTTTTAATGAATTTTGATTCAATCGGCCAATAACAGTAACTCATAATGTCGACTTTAGTCAACTGTGACACCTAACAGGTTAAGAAGTGACTTAAAAAACAGGAAGTGGGTCCACCAGTCTGATACGCAGAGACCATTCCACAGTCTGGGAGCCCTCTGGACTTCTTACTGGTCTTTGGGACCACTAAAAGACCAGGTCTGCTGATCTAAGGCAGTCGGCCGATATCACGTCTTGGTATCGATCCCAACACAAGTGGAAATGCAAAATAACCGAGCCGTACCGTGCTGTACCGTGCCAAACTGTACTGTTGCTGTGGAAAAGCAGCGATAGAGCCCATGCAGACATTTAAACACAAATAACTGAATTTTAACATCAAAACGAAGGTGCACAGGGAGTGAAGGGAACACAGAACACGGGTGAAATAAAAGGGGCACTTTAATACGACTCAATCAATGTGGTTTTTCTGCAAATGTTAAATAAATAAATGAATCTGAATCTGTTCCATAGGGGATCTTTGTGTGCTGGCTCAAAGTGAACTTCCGACAGCTGTTTGTTTCCTGGATCCACCTGAAAGCTCTGAGGGTGTTTGTGGAATCCGTCCTCAGGTCAGCGTCAAGCCTCACATTGAAAAAAACCATCATATGATATTTTTTCTGACTGTCTGTGACGCTTTCCTCCACAGATACGGGTTGCCGGTGAACTTCCAGGCTCTTCTCCTGCAGATGGATAAGAAACGATCCAAACAAATGAGAGAAGAACTGGCCTCTCTCTTCGTGCATCTGGATCCTTCTGCCATGACCACAAAGACCGAGGTTCACACACTTCCTTCTGCCGTGACCGCAAAGACCGAGGCTCACACACATACTTCTGTCGTGACCACAAAGACCGAGGTTCACACACATCCTTCTGTCATGACCACAAAGACCGAGGTTCACACACTTCCTTCTGCCGTGACCACAAAGACCGAGGTTCACACACTTCCTTCTGCCATGACCACCACAAAGACCGAGGTTCACACACATCCTTCTGCCGTGACCGCAAAGACCGAGGTTCACACACTTCCTTCTGCCGTGACCGCAAAGACCGAGGCTCACACACATACTTCTGCCGTGACCACAAAGACCGAGGTTCACACACTTCCTTCTGCCGTGACCGCAAAGACCGAGGCTCACACACATACTTCTGTCGTGACCACAAAGACCGAGGTTCACACACATCCTTCTGCCATGACCACAAAGACCGAGGTTCACACACATCCTTCTGCCGTGACCACAAAGACCGAGGTGAACCCACTCCTTCTGCCGTGACCACAAAGACCGAGATTCACACACTTCCTTCTGCCGTGACCACAAAGACCAAGGTTCACACACTTCCTTCTGCCGTGACCACCACGACCGAGGTTCACACACTTCCTTTTGCCATGACCACAAAGACCGAGGTTCACACACTTCCTTCTGTCGTGACCACAAAGACCGAGGTTCACACACTTCCTTCTGCCATGACCACAAAGACCGAGGTTCACACACTTCCTTCTGACGTGACCACAAAGACCGAGGTTCACACACTTCCTTCTGTCGTGACCATAAAGACCGAGGTTCACACACATCCTTCTGCCATGACCACAAAGACCGAGGTTCACACACATCCTTCTGTCGTGACCACAAAGACCGAGGTTCACACACATCCTTCTGCCATGACCACAAAGACCGAGGTTCACACACTTCCTTCTGCCGTGACCACAAAGACCGAGGTTCACACACATCCTTCTGCCGTGACCACAAAGACCGAGGTTCACACACTTCCTTCTGCCATGACCACAAAGACCGAGGTTCACACACTTCCTTCTGTCGTGACCACAAAGACCGAGGTTCACACACTTCCTTCTGTCGTGACCATAAAGACCGAGGTTCACACACATCCTTCTGCCATGACCACAAAGACCGAGGTTCACACACATCCTTCTGTCGTGACCACAAAGACCGAGGTTCACACACATCCTTCTGCCATGACCACAAAGACCGAGGTTCACACACTTCCTTCTGCCGTGACCACAAAGACCGAGGTTCACACACATCCTTCTGCCGTGACCACAAAGACCGAGGTGAACCCACTCCTTCTGCCGTGACCACAAAGACCGAGATTCACACACTTCCTTCTGCCGTGACCACAAAAAGACCAAGGTTCACACACTTCCTTCTGCCGTGACCACAAAGACCGAGGTTCACACACTTCCTTTTGCCATGACCACAAAGACCGAGGTTCACACACTTCCTTCTGTCGTGACCACAAAGACCGAGGTTCACACACTTCCTTCTGCCATGACCACAAAGACCGAGGTTCACACACTTCCTTCTGTCGTGACCACAAAGACCGAGGTTCACACACTTCCTTCTGTCGTGACCACAAAGACCGAGGTTCACACACATCCTTCTGCCATGACCACAAAGACCGAGGTTCACACACATCCTTCTGCCGTGACCACAAAGACCGAGGTTCACACACATCCTTCTGCCATGACCACAAAGACCGAGGTTCACACACTTCCTTCTGCCGTGACCACAAAGACCGAGGTTCACACACTTCCTTCTGTCGTGACCATAAAGACCGAGGTTCACACACATCCTTCTGCCATGACCACAAAGACCGAGGTTCACACACATCCTTCTGTCGTGACCACAAAGACCGAGGTTCACACACATCCTTCTGCCATGACCACAAAGACCGAGGTTCACACACTTCCTTCTGCTGTGACCACAAAGACCGAGGTTCACACAATTTACACACTTTAGCTGCAGATATTTCAAAACACTCTTTTAGTTTAGTATTAATGTATTTGTTATTGATGACATGATCTTACTCAGAATAGATTATTGGCATTTATTGTGAGTCCATTGGTCGCACCACAAAACGCCAAAGTACTGTAGTTTTGGATAAAGTCACATCATTTCCATGTTTCTGGTGTAAACGATTGATTTGATTAATTAGAGCAGAATTGATACATTCAGTAACAAATATGTGATTATGAATATTGGCTGTACCCAATATAAGGCTTTTTCACACCAATATAGCACCCATTTTTTCCCCAATGCAGCTTAAAGGAGTAGCTCTCTGCCTTTATCGTCACAGGGCAGTAGCTCCCTGCCTTTATTGTCACAGGACAGTAGCTTTCTGCCTTTATTGTCACAGGACAGTAGCTCTCTGCCTTTGTCATCACAGGACAGTAGCTCTCCGCCTTTGTCATCACAGGACAGTAGCTCTCCGCCTTTATCGTCCCAGGACAGTAGCTCTCTGCCTTTATCGTCCCAGGACAGTAGCTCTCTGCCTTTATCGTCACAGGACAGTAGCTCTCCGCCTTTATCATCCCAGGACAGTAGCTCTCTGCCTTTGTCATCACAGGACAGTGTAGCTCTCTGCCTTTGTCGTCACATGACGGTAGCTCTCTGGATGAAAAAGGTTGGAGACCCCTGACTTACAGTAAACAAATACAAAAAGTCTTAACCCTTTAGGCGCCAGAAGTTTTTTCCTAAACCTTTTTAATTTCTTAATTACTTAAATATGAAAAGAGGTCGAAGCTTTATGTAAATTATAGAGATTATAAGAAGTTTATGTAGGAATTAAATGTACCCGACTAATTTACATATTATGACTTCAAACGCTGGTGGCAAACATGGATTTGAGAATTTTTATGGTTATTTTCTTTTCACCAACAGACATAGAAAACACCGGGACATGAACACACAAACTCACATTGTACCTATGCTCAATGATCTGGGAAATAGTAAAACAAATGCAAATCATTGTGTGGCAGGATTAATTAATTTTGGATTAATTTTGACTCTGCTTTAACACGATCGGCCCATAACAGTAACGCATAATGTCTGCGGCGCCTTCAGGGTTAAAAGAAGGCAGTACAAGGATAGAAGTGTGTAGTTGTCAAGTACCTGAAGACAAATGTCACCTCTGCTCTTACACAAAAGTTCAGTCTCGACCTTGGTCAAATTGAAAATAATTGCGTATAGCTCTTGCCTACAGCTTTTCACACACTGCAGCGACCTGATTGGTTGGCTGCAGCGTACATCATCTTCATCATCTTCATCCTCATTAAGCTCAGAGCCTCAGGAGTTGTTCTGAGTGACCTGTGTCTGTGCTGCAGGTGAGCTGTGACCTCCCAGGACTCTGTCTGCAAGAGTATTTCTCCTACATCTCCGTCCACATCAACACCACGGTCCTGGAGCTCAGATAGCAGCACCCACTCTGCACCCAGACTCCGTAGCACCCACTCTGCACCCTGACTCTGCAGCACCTACTGTCTGTAGCACCCACTCTGCACCCTGACTCTGCAGCACCCACTCTCCGCAGCACCCACAGTCTGCAGCACCACTGTCTGCAGCACCCACAGTCTGCAGCACCCACTCTCTGCAGCACCCACTCTCTGCAGCACCCACTCTCCTTTGATGACAGAGGCCCAGCACGAGGGGGCGACTCTAACTGTAAATACATGTACAGATTATGTGACAATGAAAAAACATGTATTTGAAGATTTACTAAAGTTATTAAAAGTCCAAATTATGCATTAAAATAAATAATCTATTGGACCCATTCTTCAGTTTGGCAAAAAACAGGTCTGTGGTGTTTGTAAATAATATTAATAATAATAATAAAACAATAATAAACATTGTTTGTTGTTCTGATTTATGAGGACATGTGGCTTCTGGTTTCTATGGAGAAATGTGTTCTCTCTGAATGTGCTCATTTATTATAGGAATACATTACGATACATTCATTTTATATTGTTCAGAAATTAAGAAGAACCCAGCATTTCTTTTTTAATAGTGTCCCACAGCGTCAACAAATGAGTCTGAATTAAAACAGTTACAATTCTATGGTAGATTTTAGCAGTGACTAACGACCTCTGTGGAGGAATATATTCAGTGATTCTGAATCAAACGCTGCATGTCATAGAAACGTGGATCTCTCCCTCTCTCCTGCCGCACATAAATAGAGAGGGAGAGGAAGAGAGATTAAAGAAAGACTAGAGAGACCAGAGACAGAAAGAGAGAGAGAGAAGAGAGAGGCAGAGAGAGAGAGAGAGAGAAGAGGAAGAGAGACAGACACAGAGAGAGTCAAAGCAGAGAGAGAGAGAGCAGAGAGAGAGAGAACAGGGAGAGAGAGAGAGAGAGAGGGAAGAGAGAAAGAGAGACAGAGAGAGTCAAAGCAGAGAGAGAGAACAGAGAGAGAGAACAGGGAGAGAGAGAGAACAGAGAGAGAGAGAGGCAGTGGAGGAAAAGCCACTCTCTCCATATTGCGCTTTGGAGCCGTGGCTCTTTTACGCACAGGACGCAGGCACAGACCTCAGTTGTTATAGTTCTGTCTCTCTTTCTCCTTTGGACACTTTCAGACTGAATGATGTGGACTGTGCCAAAGCCCAAGTACGGCCCCGAAGTGTGCGCTGAAGGGCAGATCTCCGTGAACATTGGCGGGGTTCGACTGGTCCTGTTCGGGGACGTCCTGAGCCGTTTCCCGGAGAGCAGGCTGGCGGAGCTGCTCACATGCTCCAAGAAAAACTACAAAGGCATTTCAAGTCTTTGCGACGATTTTGACCCCAACAGGAAAGAGTTCTACTTTGACCGTGACCCAGACGCGTTCCGGTGCATCCTGGATGTTTATTATTTTGATGAAATACACATTAAAAACGGAATCTGTCCGATCTGCTTCATCAAGGAAATGGAGTTCTGGAAAATCGACCCGCACGTTTTGGACGAGTGTTGCAAAAGTTATTTGAGTGAAAAAGAAGAAGAGCTGAAGGAGATCTCCAGTAAAGTGACGGTGATTCTGGAGGACCTGGAGGTGGAACGGTGCGTGACGCGTGGCCAAAAGTGCCAAAGGTTTTTCTGGCTCCTCATGGAAAAGCCTGGCTCCTCTTTGGCAGCGCGCGTCATTGCGATTGCTTCTTTCCTGTCAGTCCTGATTTCTGCGGTGGTGATGTGCGTGGGGACCATCCCGGAGCTGCAGGTGACAGACGCGGAGGGGAAACTTGTTGAACACCCGACCCTGGACGCCATAGAGACCGCGTGCATGGCGTGGTTCTCGGCGGAGTACGTGCTGCGTCTCTCCTCCGCTCCCAACAAACTCCACTTCGCCTTCTCCATTATGAACATGATCGACTTCATGGCAATCATTCCTTTCTACGTGGTCCTGACCCTCACGTATCTGGGCACGGCGTCCATGATGGAGCTGGCCAACGTGCAGCAGGCGATCCAAGCTCTGCGCATCATGAGGATTGCGCGTATCTTCAAACTGGCGCGTCACTCCGCCGGACTCCAGACCCTGACGTACGCGCTGAAGAAGAGCCTGAAGGAGCTCGGCCTGCTCCTCATGTACATGGGGGTGGGGATATTCGTCTTCTCATCCCTGGCCTACACCATGGAGCAAAGCCATCCCGAGACCCTGTTCAGAAGCATCCCTCATTCTTTCTGGTGGGCCATCATCACCATGACAACGGTGGGCTATGGAGACATCTATCCCAAGACCACCCTGGGGAAGTGCAACGCTGCGGTCAGCTTCCTCTGCGGGGTCATCGCCATCGCGCTCCCGATCCACCCCATCATCAACAACTTTGTCATCTTCTACAACAAGCAGCAGGTTCTGGAGATCGCAGCGAAGCGCAAAGTGGAGCTGATGGAGAAGAAGTCCTCCCCAGAGATGAAGAGGAGGAAGAGCGAGGAGCAAGACACGATCAAGTCAGACACAGAGTAACAGAGGTCAGAGGTCAAGGCTGTGGACTCTTTGAAGACAGACTCAGACCTTGTCACGTGTTTTGGTGTAGAATATATTTGGTATTTCCTAAAACTGTCGATCTGAGATGATGTAGCATAATGTGAAAAGTGGATCGTAAAATAAACAGGAAACAGAAAGTCTGTTTTATCAAAGTCTTAAAACGAATAAAGGAATTCTTATCTTAAACAAACTATAATCACATTAAAGTAGCAATAAGTATGTTTTATCTGTCATTAAAGGGCCCTAATCTGTCATCATTAAAGGGCCCTAATCTGTCATCTGTCATCATTAAAGGGCCCTAATCTGTCATCATTAAAGGGCCCTAATCTGTCATCTGTCATCATTAAAGGGCCCTTTTCTGTCATCATTACAGGGCCCTAATCTGTCATCATTAAAGGGCCCTAATCTGTCATCATTAAAGGGCCCTAATCTGTCATCATTAAAGGGCCCTAATCTGTCATCATTAAAGGGCCCTAATCTGTCATCATTAAAGGGCCCTTTTCTGTCATCATTACAGGGCCCTAATCTGTCATCATTAAAGGGCCCTAATCTGTCATCATTACAGGGCCCTAATCTGTCATCATTAAAGGGCCCTAATCTGTCATCATTAAAGGGCCCTAATCTGTCATCATTACAGGGCCCTAATCTGTCATCATTAAAGGACCCTAATCTGTCATCATTAAAGGGCCCTAATCTGTCATCATTAAAGGGCCCTAATCTGTCATCATTAATGGGCCCTCCATCCATCCATCCATGTTCTACCCTTTAATCCATTTCTGGGTCAGGGGGGTGGCAGTCAGAGATGCCACCCAAGTCTCATAGCACCAGCCCCTCACTGACCCTCTGCAGGTGGTGAGTCCACAGGAGGACGGCTGCTCTCTGACTGTGAGCATAGCCTTGATCTTTCAGTGGGGGCTTTGGGCAAAGTGGGGTTAAGTGTCTTGCCCAAGGACACAACGACAGCAGTCATCAGTGGGAGTCGGTGGAGAAGGTGTCGAGGTGGGAATTGAACCCACGACCTTCAGGCCCGCCCTCCACCGTTTCACCAATCAGAAAGTCCATGATCCGGGCGCCAGAACTCACCATGTGGAGCTAATCTCACTGGTAAAGTACCATGTGGCGCAGAACTAAAAAAGGTCTCGTTATGATTCTCAAATCATTAACGACAAAACAAGGATTAAAACCAGGATTTCTATCTTTGAAAAAGGTGTTGGTTATAGATTTGTTGTTGACTAAACTCTTGTCTATTCAGCTGTTATGGTCCCAGCTGGATTCGTCTGCATATCTGGCAACCTGAGTCAGGGAGAGTGGGATTTCAGATTTGTACAAACTGCTCCTTTAAGGTCAATACCAATGAAGCTGTAATCCTGTATTTTATGTTCTGTTCTGGTTGTGGCTCATGCAGCGGTCGATGATGTCGAGGAAAGACTTCAAAGTAAAGCCTCATCCTCCCACTCTCTCATGCTCTCTGCTCTCTCTCTCTCTCTCTCTCTCTCTGCTCTCTCTGTTCTCTCTCTCTCTGGTCTCTCTCTCTCTCTCTCTCTGTGTTCTCTCTCATGCTCTCTGCTCTCTCTCTCTGTTCTCTCTCTCTCTCTCTGCTCTCTCTCTCTCTCTGTTCTCTCTCTCTCTGTTCTCTCTCTCTCTCTCTGTTCTCTCTCTCTCTCTGCTCTCTCACTCTCTGCTCTCTCTCTCTCTCTGTTCTCTCTCTCTGTTCTCTCTCTCTGTTCTCTCTCTCTCTCTCTCTCTGTTCTCTCTCTCTGCTCTCTCTCTGTTCTCTCTCTCTCTCTGTTCTCTCTCTGTTCTCTCTCTCTGCTCTCTCTCTGCTCTCTCTCTCTCTCTGCTCTCTCTCTGCTCTCTCTCTCTCTCTGTTCTCTCTCTCTCTCTCTCTCTCTATCTGCTCTCTCTCTCTGCTCTCTCTCTCTCTCTGTTCTCTCTCTCTCTGTTCTCTCTCTCTCTCTGTTCTCTCTCTGCTCTCTCTCTGCTCTCTCTCTCTCTGCTCTCTCTCTCTGCTCTCTCTCTCTCTCTGCTCTCTCTCTCTCTCTCTCTCTGCTCTCTCTCTCTCTCTGCTCTCTCTCTCTCTCTGCTCTCTCTCTCTCTCTCTCTCTGCTCTCTCTCTTCTCTGCTCTCTCTCTTCTCTGCTCTCTCTGCTCTCTCTCTCTCTGCTCTCTGCTGCTCCATGGGTCTGAACCTTCTGAAGGAGGGGGGAAACAGCTGATTCTGTAACTTCTAATATATAATTTCTGTATTTTGTTTGAGCATATTTTTAGTTTTAATGTTTGTACATTCATTGTAGTAACATAAGTGAGTTATTAGAGCCCTGGAAGAACAGATTCTATATCTTTCCGTGGCTAATGGGATCTAAACAAAAACAAACAATGACAATAACTCGACAGCTCAAATAAATATGTGTCAATACATTAATCCTTTTTAATAAAATCACAAACTCCCAAACACAAGTGTGTTCTCTCTGGACAGAAGTGGTTTTGAAAAGAGTGTGAAATCCATGAGGCGTCTGTGTGAGTCTGTGGAGAGCGTTTATTCTGCAGATCAATAATGAGAGACCATGAAAGGGCTGCAGGTCTGGTCATCGATACCAGCAGCAGGGGTCTGAGCAGGACTCCCACGGTCTTCAGTCTTCATGGTGCACGTGTGGGCGGCGGCTTAAGAAAAACTATTGAGCTCAGAGAAAAAACAGAGCTAAAGGTCAACATCAAGACTATTGGTCCTGCTAACTGTCAATCAATCTGGTGCTCGTCCAATGAGACCAGATTTGTTTAAAAAGTGGAGAGGGCGGGTCTTTCCTAAAATCTGGAAAAATCCCCAATACATGTCTGAGTTATGTTTTGGTTCCTACTCCGAGCTCCTCCTATGTGACCGAGCTCCTCTATCTCTAAGGCAGCAGCGGCTCTACTCCGAGCTCCTCCTATGTGACTGAGCTCCTCTATCTCTAAGGCAGCAGCGGCTCTACTCCGAGCTCCTCCTATGTGACTGAGCTCCTCTATCTCTAAGGCAGCAGCGGCTCTACTCCGAGCTCCTCTCGTGTGACTGAGCTCCTCTATCTCTAAGGCAGCAGCGGCTCTACTCCGAGCTCCTCCTATGTGACTGAGCTCCTCTATCTCTAAGGCAGCAGCGGCTCTACTCCGAGCTCCTCTCGTGTGACTGAGCTCCTCTATCTCTAAGGCAGCAGCGGCTCTACTCCGAGCTCCTCCTATGTGACTGAGCTCCTCTATCTCTAAGGCAGCAGCGGCTCTACTCCGAGCTCCTCCTATGTGACTGAGCTCCTCTATCTCTAAGGCAGCAGCGGCTCTACTCCGAGCTCCTCCTATGTGACTGAGCTCCTCTATCTCTAAGGCAGCAGCGGCTCTACTCCGAGCTCCTCCCGTGTGGCCGAGCTCCTCTATCTCTAAGGCAGCAGCGGCTCTACTCCGAGCTCCTCTCGTGTGACTGAGCTCCTCTATCTCTAAGGCAGCAGCGGCTCTACTCCGAGCTCCTCCTATGTGACTGAGCTCCTCTATCTCTAAGGCAGCAGCGGCTCTACTCCGAGCTCCTCCCGTGTGGCTGAGCTCCTCTATCTCTAAGGCAGCAGCGGCTCTACTCCGAGCTCCTCCTATGTGACTGAGCTCCTCTATCTCTAAGGCAGCAGCGGCTCTACTCCGAGCTCCTCCTATGTGACTGAGCTCCTCTATCTCTAAGGCAGCAGCGGCTCTACTCCGAGCTCCTCCTATGTGACTGAGCTCCTCTATCTCTAAGGCAGCAGCGGCTCTACTCCGAGCTCCTCTCGTGTGACTGAGCTCCTCTATCTCTAAGGCAGCAGCGGCTCTACTCCGAGCTCCTCCTATGTGACTGAGCTCCTCTATCTCTAAGGCAGCAGCGGCTCTACTCCGAGCTCCTCCTATGTGACTGAGCTCCTCTATCTCTAAGGCAGCAGCGGCTCTACTCCGAGCTCCTCCTATGTGACTGAGCTCCTCTATCTCTAAGGCAGCAGCGGCTCTACTCCGAGCTCCTCCCGTGTGGCCGAGCTCCTCCCGTGTGGCCGAGCTCCTCTATCTCTAAGGCAGCAGCGGCTCTACTCCGAGCTCCTCTCGTGTGACTGAGCTCCTCTATCTCTAAGGCAGCAGCGGCTCTACTCAGAGCTCCTCCTATGTGACTGAGCTCCTCTATCTCTAAGGCAGCAGCGGCTCTACTCCGAGCTCCTCCCGTGTGGCTGAGCTCCTCTATCTCTAAGGCAGCAGCGGCTCTACTCCGAGCTCCTCCTATGTGACTGAGCTCCTCTATCTCTAAGGCAGCAGCGGCTCTACTCCGAGCTCCTCCCGTGTGACTGAGCTCCTCTATCTCTAAGGCAGCAGCGGCTCTACTCCGAGCTCCTCCCGTGTGACTCTATCTGCGGCGGAAGCTCATTTCGAGACCAAAGCTTTATTTTTATACTTCTCTATTATTATTAATATTTTTAAGATAGAGATTTCATACTTGTTATCGATCCTAAAGATAGAGATTTTGTTTTATTGTAGTTAGTGAAGAGGTATTGCTCTTTCATCTCGTGCTGTGCTCCTCTTTCCTACTGTTCTGCAGCTTGTGATGCAACACTGACATTTCCCCACAGTGGGACTAATAAAGAATCTCTAATCTTAATCTTAATCTTAATCTCTAGTGCGTCCTGTTTCCATGGAACTGCTCCCTCTGGTCTTGGTCGTGTTCCAGCTTTAAATAACTGTCATTATTCTGCCTCTTGTTTTCTGCTTTGAGTCTCGTTCACTCTGAGTCTGATCCAAAAAGGTTTAAAAGCAGCACATTATTTAAAAACAGGAAAGAAGCTTTAGAAAAAACGGAATACGTTTTTAAAAACAACTTTGATTTGGTTTTGTTTTCATGCATTTTTACCAAAACAATATTTATAAGTACCAGAATCTGTCTGCTCCCCCTGCTTCTGCCTTCTCCTCCTGGTCCTTCGAACCTCCTCCTTCTGGTCTCTCCTCCACCTG